ACCAAAGGGCGGTCAGACACACCACACCTCAGTAATGTTATTATTGGCATCTTGTTGAAAAAAAAAAAACACTGAAGAACTGAATGAATGTGACACAAAATGCACTACTCCTACATCAGTTCACATAATTATGCAAAACCCAAACAGATGAATAATGAATTCACTCACTGTGGTGACACATTTTATTATGTTTCTAATGGTCTCTATTAAACCAAGTAATGTTTCTAATAATCACTTCTTCCACAGCTTTATGTTCAATATTATTCAGGGGAAAAGGGTATTTTCCAAGCTTATAGTGGCCATACTGTAGTTGCTCTAGGTGTTACATGAGGCAGCATACAGAGATGCATAACAGATTACAAGTCAGAGGATGTTTCTAACATATTCTGTTATTTTAACACACAAAGAAAGCCTGAAAGTTTAAAAATGTTGAGTGTACAGTTCACAACAATTCATTTCACGTTTACAAGTTTATACTTTTAAATCTGAATAAACTTTATTTCACAGTACATAAAAGGATTTAAATGTGCATACTGCAAGAGAAGCGTGAAATCAATGCTATACTTGATGGGCTAAAATATATTTATGAACAGAAAGATGCACTATAAAATGCACCAACATAAGAATATGCAAGAGACTAGAATTATTCATTAATTTTACTATAGTCTTGGTTTCCTGTAAGAAGCCAAAGTTACCCCTGTGACCAGGCATCACACCATCAAGGCATAGATAATATTCTACGCATTCTGGACGTCATCAGCAATACCCCTGAAATTTTCACATACTCCAATCTAAACATATAGTAGTATCTTTGTCATAAAAATAAATGTTACCTTTTATTCAATTCAAATTACATTTGAGAGTGAACAACCTCAACACTGACAGCACTATTAAACAGCCTACTTAAATGATAAAATGATTACTGAATAATGAACAGGAAAGGACATTGAACCAGTCACAGCCTGATTTGAGATACTACCTTAGCATATATCTGGAAGGACTGTAGAAAACCAATGAAAAAGAAATATGCAGAATGTGCCAGTGTTCAGGTCGAGATTTCAGCATGGGAACTGATGAATATAGAACAACGGGTTAACCACTCGATCATGACATATGGTAATAAGGTATTGTATTGTACACTCTTACCAGCAGAAAAATTAAAAAAATACAATATTTATAGCATGGGAAAAATTTCTTTGGATGTTCATTATTTGTGTAAAAGAACATCTACTATAAGAGAGGAAAACACCATAGACCGGTGAAGAGAACATACAAGGGGCAAAACATAACGAGCTTACATATAGAAAACAACAGGCTACAATATAAACATCCAAGGAAAGGGATCGCAATATAAAGTCTGGACACATGGATGACTCATAAGGAATGTTGTGTGGATGAGTTTTTTTATCTAGAATTCACTATTTTCATGAAACCAAAAATGTCTGAATTGGAAAAATGTTCAGGTATCCATGAATTTCATTATAATGAGCTTCTACTGTAATACACTTCAAAGATATGGATTTAAATCAAGTTTCTTCAACAGTTTTATGACTGTGGACTGATTCTCAAGAGAAATGTTGGGAATCTTTTCTGTATCTAGAATGGATCTATGTCCTACTTATGAAACAGATTTCCTTTCCCCAAAAAATAAGACTTTCAGTTGTTAGTATGAGTATTATACTGTACTGAATACAGGATGACTAGTGAATAGCAAATTATAAAGGTGGTGGAAGGTAGCCGTCATGGCCTAAACTTAGGTACAATCCTGGCCTGGAGGCTTGGGGGAGGGAGAATGAAAAACATCGGTCAGCACAGCAGGCCACGAGACTGAGATTTCAACACAGGACTTCTCATATATGAAGCAGGAGTGCTGTGATCTCCACTTGCATGGTGTGGTGCTTCAGTAAAGGAATAAATTGGCCATTCACAACAGAATTCTGTAAGCGCTACCAACATTAACTTATATGTAAAACAGTTTTGTAACACAGCTATTATGGTGTGGAATGTTGTTTTTCCCACGCAGTTCAAGTTCCATATGAGTTGCAGCCACATAAGACCACCTTCTCGCATGTGTCTTGTGTACTTTCAAAACAGTATAAAATAAAGAAGTATAAGAGTTCTGTGTCCAAGTCGGATGTCATTAATATGAATTGGATTAACAAAAACNTTCAAGTTCCATATGAGTTGCAGCCACATAAGACCACCTTCTCGCACGTGTCTTGTGTACTTTCAAGTACATAACAGTATAAAATAACGAAGTATAAGAGTTCTGTGTCCAAGTTGGATGTCATTAATATGAATTGGATTAACAAAAAGTGTCAAATGTATTTTCTTGTATGCTTCATCAGCAAGTCATCCTTGAATACTGTTTGCTGGGTGCAAAAGTTTTTCTCCAATAAAAACAAGTGCACAAAGTAGAGATGTATGCTGCACTGTGCATTGCCAGTGGATGGGGTCCACATGTATCAACCACCAGCATGATACAGCATATCATCATGCAAAAACATCACACCCAGCATACATGGAATTACATTTCACAGTTTTTAGTAATGGTCTAATTTTTATGAACAAGGTCCAACTTGAACATTGAACTTTATGCTTTTATATTTGTATGCTGTCATGTACTTGAAAGTGATATGACTGCAATGAAACAATCACTGCAAGATACATAGCTGAATATGGCCATACACGGCTGAAACATGTCACGAATACATACAGAAGATGAACTAGGTGGTAAAAACAACATTCCATATCTAACTAGTTGCATTAGAAGACTATGCTACATATATATTTACAAAAGCTTCAACTATTGCAGAAGGATGCTGAAATACAATATTACCAATGTTACATATCCTTAAAATTCATTCAGCTGCAGTTCCATCATCAATTCAATCAACACAATCCAAGCATAAAGTTACAAAAATTTTAATTTTAAACAGTCTACACATCTCTTGCCATTAATCTCTTAAATGCGGGAACTTCTTGTGCCATTTTTCCACAATATGCGATCAATTCTTGTGGACATGACAATCTAGCACTAGCTGTCATTTGTGTGGCATCCATGCTCATATCTTTTAGATGAGTCATCATTTTTGCATGAATAGTGCTAGCAGATATATGTCACTGAAAACATCTTGTTCATATGCAAACCATTTGTTCGTCAAATGATTATAATACCTTACCTTTTGAGGAACAAGTGGTTTGCCATATCAACAAAGACATTTTCAGTGACATATATCTGCTAGCACTATTCACACAAACATAAAGTTCCTAAACTAAATTTGTGTTAAGAATTCCCACAGCAGACACTGAAGACAGTAAACTTAGTTGAACAGGTAGTTGACACATGGGAACTGTAAGTTGCATAGCTCTTCAGGCAGTTCTGGTCTGTACATTGCTTTCCTACAGTGGAGGCACCAGGCTATGAAGCAACACCATGAGCTATGCTGCAACTCAAATATCCAAGAAGGTTCAAAGGAGTTTAAAAATGTCTTTACTATACAATGAATAAGCTGAACTGATACTTAAACAACTGCCTATGTTGTTGTCACATACACCTACTAACAATGGCATAGTACTTCAGGAAATAAACTCCATTTTGAAATTTGAATGCAACACAATCAGATTCGGAATTCAGAACTTAAGATATACATGTTGAGGACATGTTAAAGGCTTCCAATGTTTTGGAAACATGGCTGGGGGGGGGGGGGGGATCTCCCTAAATATCAATATTTCAAGGTCTGCTAGAATAAATCTTTATACCAAGCGATACTCCTGGCAAGATGACATCCTAACCAAATGTAAGCAACATATATTAAAGAATATAGAGGCAAAACTAATACAGATAATAATTCACATTTTTATTCTAATTGATAAAATAATTACAATGAGTATGTGAAGAAACTGTAACAGAGTTGGGCAGTTCCTTCACCAGAAAAAGCTTAAGCTACTGCATGGAGATGGTTGGGCTTCACGTATAGCCTGATGAATTTTCAGCCAGGCTTTCTTCTGGGATTAAATTTATAGATGAAAAGCTTCCAAATGCTTTGACTCATGTCTCTGCTATCACAGTCTATGCACGTCCCTTACTTCTGATCACTTGGGTAAAAGGTAAAGTTTTCTCTGTGCTCAAAGAATTAAGCACTATGCCATGAAGGCATATGGGGGGGTGGATGTATAGATCCACATTTCTTGACCTCAGCACTAGCTGGAGGTGAGTGGTCAGCTTCATGCCCTTGCGCTTTACCCCTGGGGAAACATCCCCCAGTACCCACTGGATAGGAGGTTGGGTGGACCCCAGAGCTGGTCTGGACAATTTGGAGAAGAGAAAATTCTTGAAACCACTGGGACTCAAACTCCAACCCGAGTCATCCAGCCTGTAGCTAGTCGCTATACTGACTACACTACCCTGGGGTATGCCACCTTAAATTGTCCTCCTCTGGTATGTTAGCTTTCATATAAAAATTCTTTCTAACATGTGAAAGGAAAACTTGATTTGAATATTTTGATTAAATATTGAATGGCTAAAATGCATTAGTCATAATATTATTTAATCAAAATATTCAAATCTAATACATCAAATGCATCTAATTTTGAAATGCTACTTTTCACCATAACACAATTGCAGATTGGAGTGGACTAATACTGAACATCCATTACAACTCCCTTATAAACAATGTGAGTATGAAAAAGAATGAGTTCCATTCTGATTTCAACAGAAAAGAAACACAACAATTACTAGTCCACGGACGTTTCAGCAGCAAACAATCATATGGTTGTAAATTAGTGTACCTCTTTTGGCAAAACATAAAGCAAGCTCCAAACACAATGAAGACAAACCTTTTTCATCCCTCAAGAAAACACTACTCAGAAATGCAATTCAGACCTTTCCCATAGGCATACAAAATTAAGTTAATTCTTCTAATGATTTCGCAATGCAAGTTACTGTAATTATTTCTAATGATAAATATTTTATCTATTGTATTTAATGCCTTTACATACCACTTTCATATCCAGGTCACTTAAAAGAAAGACAAAATCATTTGCAGTTTTTCTTTATATGAGGTTTTATTATTTTTACAGCAGGTATTTTCAGTATAATTTCCTATGAACCTTAAATCATAAATGCATGGTGCAAGTTATGTCACAGACAAAATATCTTGCTTAACCTAGGAAAATTTATGTATAATACTACAAAAACGATCAACATTACCTGTTTTCAAGTTGCACAGAAAAAAAAAGTACTTCTGTTAGTAAATTTAAGGGCACACTAACAGATACTTATATATATTACACAGAAATTAAAACGAAGGACTCTGAATTTGTTCAACATCAATCTGAAATAAAGCAAAAATAATGCATTTCAATTTTCATGAATTCACTTTAGAAATGTTTCTAACTTTCTTAATTGTTACATGCAAAATTATCAGTTATAATTAAACAATTTCAAATAAAATTTCACTGGGGAACTTACGATGTAGGAGGTGCATCACGGTTGTGGATGATGTCACATTTACATTTTCAACCTACTGAAACAAAGAAAAAAAATCTCAAAAGGTATCAGTCTTCAAAATCTCAGATACAGTACAGAAAAACCATTTTCAGGAGTATGCCAAGTACAGTCATCTCTCCATATTTCAAATATACTATTTGCAGCTCTGCTTATTTGTGACCGAGTTCCAAACAGGTATCAACAATTTTCTTTGAAAAATTTCATGTACTCCACATATGGGAAATTTTCACACCTTCTTGGCATCTAACCCATGCACACACCATCTGACCCAATATATGACTCACCCAGCAACATTTGCTCAGACAGATGCCTTCTTATTTTGGCTTTGTATATGGCTGAATTAATGACTGGATATACAGTGAGCAATTAACACAGCTCACTCAAAAAATTTACACTATTATTATTATTATTAATATTAAATTTCTTGTTATTCTGTTATATCACATTCAATAAATAACTAAATCTGAAATATGGGCATTCTTTCATGTAAACCCTGTAATTCTGGAATGTAGTCACCAAAAAGATGCACACAGTCAACTCAGAAAGCTCTGAACTAATATATGAATATACATAATCAACTATTATGCCATAATAATATTAAAAAATAACAAAATCTACCTATTAGATCACATTTTCAAAACAGACTTTATAAAAATGGGAACACAGTACAGACCTGTTACATTCTTACTCTTCCTTCATTACAATTCAGAGATACAAAGGAGACTTTCTTTACATGCATATACAGACTGAATAGAAAATTTTAATCCTGGCATGTACAGGGATGCTTCTTTTGCCACCACATTCACACCTAGCCTTCTACAAACCAATACTCCGGTAACTGACGTATGAAGTTAGCCACTCACTTCAATCTAGTAACGAGATCCAGAGTACATGATGCCTTACATATATGAAATGACATGCCTTCATGATGTAATGCCAAGGCACAGGACAATATCACCCTTACTTTTCATTCTAAATTACACTCCAGAAAGTAAACAGATAAAGAAAATACAGAGTGTCCCAGGAGGAAAGGAAAATAAATTACAAAGTCCACTGATGTTGATGGTGGAATTTTTTAAACTGTATTATACCAATGTCACTTGAACAATAAATGTCAGTATTAAAAACAGTATGCAATATTTGATTTGTTTCATTCTGGTCTGTCACACTAACAATATTATAGAAGACAAAACAACTCCATCCAGTATGACTGTTGAAGTTCTTACTACTTCAGTTCTTAACACCCTTACATATTTCGGTCCCTATAGACCGTCATCAGAGGAATATCGATACTCTTTGGAAACCACTATTACAATGGATGTTCTGAATGTTAAAATATATATACATACAATGTTTGTAACGCACAATATATACAAAATTAAAAGTTTTCACAACTACAGCAGTTGTCTTGGTATATTAAAGTTTTTAAAAACTTCTGTTATTTAAGATATCAAAGAACCTCCTTCTCAAGAAAGACAGGTGGCAAAAGTTTGGCCACCGTCAAGAAAGGCAAAAACAACACAGCACACCACGAACAAACACAGGACAATATCAAAGAACCTCCTTTTCAAGAAAGACAGGCGGCACAAGTTCGGCCTCCATCAAGAAAGGTGATGAGCGAAGGGACACGAACCTATCTGGTTTATAAATTTTAACTTAAATAACAAAAGTTTTTTAAAAACTTTAATATACCAAGACAACCACTGTAGTTGTGAAAACTTTGAATTTTGTATATACTGTGCATTACAAACATTGTACATTTATATATTTTAACATTCAGAACACCCATTTTAATAGTGGTTTCCAAAGAGTATTGATGTCCCTCTGATGATGATCTATAGCAACCGAAACAAGTAAGGGTGTTAAGAATTGAAGTAGTAAAAACTTCCAACACTCACTCTGGACGGAGTTATTTTATCTTTTATAATAACTATGCAATATCTTTTTCTCATCGACAATTTTGGAACTGTACAGTGAAACAGCTCTATCTCAGAAACGGTTCAGAATAGGACACACGTATATGTATACATACACTTTTATGCTTCGAGTAACTGATACTATGACCCCCAAGAGTAAAGATCTTTCTCCTAGGGCATGCTGTATATGAAAAGATGTTATGCCCACATATTAAGCATTTTGGTTCCTTAAGCTTATCAGCACAGAAGAAGACAGCAAAAGGATTGGCTAGAACATTTCAAAGAATTATTTTTATGAAATATTAACTTTTATCATCCAGACTTCAGTCTCTGCTAATATGGTGCTGGCTGGATTTTAACTTGGGAGGCAACAGTATTTGTGCTGAACGAGATGCTGCGCTTGCTGGACCAGCACATGCACTAACACAATACAATGATGCATAGACAATAAAGCTAAGTAGATAGGTATGCAGTGAAGTTGCAATGGAGAGGACATGCAGTAAGGAAGAATGAAAACTGTTACAGAATTTTTGTTTAAAGTATCAGAGGAAAAGGAACACAGGGAGTAGAGACTAGACACGTGAATATCATTCAAGTAGATATCAAGCACACAGGTTGTGGGGTTGAAAACTGTGTGAACTTGTGATAATAAGGTCAAAATTTCTTATGATTTCTTCAAAAGAAGGAAAATTTGTTGAGAAGTAGGAAATGACCAGCACTATAAAATCAGTAGGCGCTGTATGTGCACAATTAACAGCAATCCTGCTGGATTTAAGCATTTACCTGCAATTCCTGCAATGGCTTCAGATGCAAAGTATTTCACATCAACATCACTATCAACATTCAGTTTATCCAAAACTGGCTTAACCTGTGTCTGTATACAACTGTAACGGAAAAAGAAAATCACAATTACACATTACACTTAAAGTTGAAGGAGAAGCATAAAAACAGGGCATTAAAACTCTTCTCAGGAACCTTATTCTTATTAGCAAGATATGTGTATGCCTGTCCCCTAATTCAACTGCAGTCATCAATATTATACGACACAAAAAAGGTTGTTGAAGAGATAATTTGGAGCAGAAAATGTTGAAAAATAGCTGTCCAATTCACTACCATTTCACAGATGAAGTGTTTCAAAGTTCCAGTCTTGATTTTTTGTTATGTTCATGTGGTGGTTCTTTCATAATGTCACAAGTGCCCCAGCACCACTTTGTCCACCACAAATCCCACTTAATCAGACCCGGGATTGAACCCGGGCCACCGCAGTGGGAAGCCGGCGACTAACCGCTTCAGCTATGGCGCAGCGTTCAAACCATATAAGTATCTCAGCCATGCTATTAAAATTCTTCTTTCTGTAAAATTTTGAAACTGTCTATTTCTTTTAGGCTATTATCCATCTTCACATTTTGTAGATTTCCACATATATTGATAACATCAGTTACCTTAACTTTGGAAACCATGAGTGCTTTGGTACAACAACAACAACAAGAACAACAACAACGCACATGCTAACTTCTTAAAGGGGTAGGGTGCCTGCAAAGATGAAATGAGAAACCGGCAGAGATGAACGCTTTGCAGAGCAACTAGCACTCTCTTTAAGGAGGACTTGCCCAAAAAGCAGTGGTGGCCTTTTATAAACAATAATTTTATTATCGTCAGTTGCTGCTTCAATGAAATTATGAAAACTAAACTTCTCTTTTCTGCTTATAATAAATTTACCTGTTCATAACTCCTTGAATATTGAGCATAAGGCAATTAATTACTCTTTATTTTCGAACTGTAATGACATACCCTGAATATAGATGAAGTGACATATTTACGTCACACCACACCATATAAAATATTTATGTGAATAATCAAGGGAAGTTATGTTAACACGAAGTTTTGTCAACGATCCGTACATGTCAACAAGAAAGGGAAAGTGGTCTTTCATTCAGTTTCTCTAATCACATCTAGAGTTTTTAGCAGAATTGTAAAATCCTAAGACAATCTACGTTCGGGAGATGTTAAAATTAATTTTTGAAGTTACAGAATCTGATGTATTCATACAAGACATTTTATTACAGTCATTAACTTTGTAGTAAAATCTCATTAAACACAGACCACTGTGGCAGCAGGTGAGGTAACAATAAATTTTATAAAATATATGGCTGTAATTATTAAAGTAACAAGACTTTACACGTGGTTTAAAAGTCAGAATATTCCTATTTACAAAAGTATCAACAAACAGGTTACATAATGGAATTAATTAATACAAAACCGTTGTTTTGCCGGAACGAAGGACAGCTTAGACTAATGAATTTCGGCAGAGTGCGTGCTTCATCTCCTTTCCTGTTTACTTTTTGTTTTTGGTCCGAAACCGGTGATACAGGCAGCCTCCAAAATGTATTGGCCACAATTGTGATCTCTAATACGGAAAAATATGAAGTACCAAGGGGAATATTCTTACATTTAAATATAGAACCACTGTCACAAAATTTCAGAACTATAATTTAGGAAGTGCACAGCAATTTGCATGTAACATATAGTTTACATGACTGCTCGCTGAGACCCAGATGGCTAACGCCTAAAACGGACATCAGTAATGACCTTCAAGATTCATATTTGTAGTGGCAATAATATAAAATATAACTGGTTTTATTACATGACAAGAATATGCTTGTTGAAAGGGAATTTCGCCTTTGAAGCAAATAAACACTTTTATAACCACATGTTTCAAGGACTACTCAGTCAAGCGAAATAACATCAAGATAAATTGCATATCATTGCAAATACATCTGTACGATATAACATTAAGATCTTCAGTTGTACGGCACTCAGCTCTTGGGAAACAAGAACTAAGTGTGCTCTGAGCACTGTTTGTGATTATTATCCATATTCTTCAGCGCCAAGGACTCCAGGTCCGATTTCTCAGTCCTGCAGACATACCAGAGAAAGACCGCCCGTCCCTTGATCGGTGTACTGTTGCTTTATTTTAAAAACCAAAACATATAATAGATACAAAAGGAATAATGCTTAAATTAAGAAACTGAAACTAATTAATTTAATTTTGTAAAAGAATATTAGGAATGAGGATTTGAGTCACATCTGGAACTTCTTCCGCAGTTCTTGCATATCGTATCAAAAACAAGACGAAATCAATTTCATAATATTGTGCGAGACTTGGCCGTTTCTAGGAAAAGAAATACTTACACACATCCCCAAGCGTCAAGAATAAGAGTCCACTGTTACACAACGATTTTAGTTACTATGGTATACTCTTTCACTGCTTCACTGTCGAAAGCCGATACCACGGATCGTACGGTGCACAGTAACAACTTCTTAAACAGGGGAATATGCAAAGTGACCACTGGGAAGACCAAGGCGTAGGTGGGTGGACAATATTAAAATGGATCTTAGAGAGATAGGACTGGATGATATGGATTGGATTGATCTGGCTCAGGATAAGGACCAGTGGAGGGCTCTTGTGAACATGGTAATGAACTTCCAGGTTCAGTAAAATGCTGGGAAATTCTTGAATAGCTGCACAATTGGCTGCTTCTCAAGAAGGGCTCAGCTCCATGAGTGTGTGAGTGACAGCTGGATTCACGTACAGTTTTACAATGCCAGTAAATCTGTATGGTATAATATTCTTTTGGAAATACATCTGCAGCTAAAAAATAATTCACAAAACTGCCACAGTACAGCCTGATAGGGAAGTGCAACAATGCGCAGAGCTGCATGTTGTGCTGACCGGTGGAGATGGAGGGGTTACATAAATGTATGTTTCATTTTAGAGGGCTGCGGTATCACAGCATTTGAGAGACCTTGTGGTAAGCTAGTAAAATATAATTTGCATCTCGAAATTTGATCTACCTACATCTACACATTTTTTCCTCTTATTGGCTTTTTTTTTTTTTGTTTTGCTTTGCTAAATAACATTATGGCATTAAATGCAAGCCTACAGCTGTACAGCTATGAAACAGAAAGATGTAGGACTGCACGAATTTTAAATTCTCTCGCAGAATAAAACAAATTTGCCACCCGCGCAAGATTTTATTGAACTTTAATGAAGAAAACAAACTTTGATAACTCTTGAATTTGTTCTCATGCATATCGATTATATAATTTCTGAACTAGAACCGTTTACTCCATAGAAAACTGAATGGGAATGTATCACTTCTTATTAAATTTGACTCTGATGGTAAATTTAAATATGTATTCCTTATGGCTTCCTGTGATGATGGAGTTAGAATACCACCACCGTAACCCTTCAAGTTGCAGAAGTTACTGCAGAGGGAACTCGGGGCCTGGGAAATAAATGGGCCACCTTGTCACCGAGACTTGGTCCTCAAGGTTGGGAGCTGGCCGCAAAGCTGAGGACCTTGCTCTGCAAATCACGTACTGTTGCAAAATCCATAGAAGTGGATACCTCATAGTCTAATTCCCAGGAACTGACAAAACTGGCAGAACCTTATGGGGAAAACTATGTCTCAAAAACGGCTGTTCGGATAATGATTATGAATTCCATGTGCCAACTGTAGTTTTCCAGATAAAAGTAATTAATATCAGAAATGCTGAGGAGAAAACTGTGTAAAATTTTCAAACATAATTAAAACAAATCTAAGTTCAGAGCTCATTCTTTAAAATACATTTTCACACTATATCATATCCTTTCTGAACTAGCTTTTGAATTTCAAATTAACAAAAACTAATGAAAACTGTAAAGGTCTCATCTTCGAGGCAAGTGAAAGCACTAATGAACGGCTAAATCACTTATTCGGTTGGCAATAGAATGGAGAAAAAAATACACGTTTAAAACTGAGGTATAATGGAAGTTATTATCTTTTTTTTTATTATTGCTAGTGGGGTGGGACCAAGTCCCTTGTACTGCGGACACTTCTGGCCTATTGTACCACACCCAGGCAGTTACTACAGTAACAGTCAGGGAACTTCCTGACAGTAACTCATATTTGGAAAGCCATCGCACAAAATCTGTGCTTTAAACATCATAATGAGTGATTCCTAAGTAGACACTACTGTTTTCCAGTAACTTTTTGAAGCAACTGTACTGACAGTACTGACAGTTTTGCTTCTGATGTTATTGACAGCTAACAGTCTCTATATAGGTCTTATTACCCCCCCCCCCCAAATTCCTATGGATTCCTGAATCTGAGAGCAAATTACCCCTTCTCAGTTTTAACTAGTAAGATATGTAATAGATCCAAAGCAACAGACGCCTGAAAAAGTTTGGGAACCACTACTACATATTAAACCCAAACAAACTAACACTGTCCATTTTCTTCCTACATACATATTAGTGAAGTCTATGTCATGATCTTGGTTTGAGCTGTGTGACAAATACAATGACAAGAGACCTGCGCTACCAGGGTAACACCTCAGATGTGGGAAGTATAGATGGTGCAAATCCTACCCATGTATGTTATCTAGCAAGTTATTTTTGAGTGTTGCAACTCAATTGTGTTCATTCAATGAAATCAGAAAACTGAAGAGTTATGGGTTCATGCACAGCTTCAACATCACTAGCATAACATGTGATTTACATGTAAGTAAAAGTATTAAGGCTGATTCACAACCATTTCTTACATAAATACTGATAACTGTCCTAATGAAAACAAATACTGTCATGTCCACATTATTGTTCAAACTTCAGTGCCATATCATGTTATATTCCAACCACTTCCAGATATTACGAATATAGTTGGAAAAAACCCTTTTACAAATTTTATAAATTCTCATAATATTAACAATTGTTAATTATTCTATTGTCTACTAACTTGGGTTCCAATACAGGTCCAATCTTCTGAAGAGTTTTAGCTACATTGAACCGTACATTGGCAACATTATCACCTGCCATGGTTAAAACTGTGGGCAACATCAATTTGGCTGTAATTTCTGAACCACAGGCTTCAGCAAGAACCTGAAATACATACACAAGAAAGAACTATTTAGAAAGTTGGAAGAAAATAATTAAGTACACAACATGAAACAGAAATAATCTTCCACAATACAGAGAAGTTCTGTACAATAGGGATTATATAGAGAAGCACAAACATTTACAGCCCATTTTCCTTGTCCTACAGGTGTGATTCATATGAAAACCACAAATTTTATACATACTATTTCAATCACACAGTAAGCAAAACACATTTCAGTGCTTAATGTGGTCCCAATTGTGTCCTTCACATTATTCAGTGCTGAATCAGTGAGCACATTCTGAGGGATGGACTCTCATATACTGCCTGTATACATTTAATATAACACCAATCCTCACCTCTGTATCTCAGAACCCAACACATTCTGAGTCACCTTCTCAGTTGTCAGGAAAGGTTCAAACTGCTTAGCACTAAATCCGTTTGAGTATGGAATGTGAGCTAACATTTTAAACTCAACCTTCCTCACCATTTCCAAAGTCAAGAGAGTGGACAATACTCTTAAAATTATTTGCTAATACCGACTGGTGTAACGACATAATGACCCCAAGATTTGCAAGTGTTCATAGCAAAATGAACATACAAAGAGGCGGTAGCAGAACTCAGCAACGAGTTCTTATTCTTAATATTAGGACTGCCTTTCAATGTATTTTAATTTAACATTACAAGTGGCTCGCACTGTGCTATACATAACAAGCATCTGAATGTGACATCACTTTCCACATTCCCATACCAAAACCCCAGACTAAATACAATTCAGAACAGAATTTGTAACTTTAATAGATAATTACTTTTTATGACACAATCATTTGAAACTACAGAATGCCTCCTCATAACAGTTCAGGAATCACTAATCTAGGACAAAGTTTGATTCGGTGTCACTTACATTAATGCAAAACAAGCATGTCATCCTGTGAAGATAATTCTGGTCACGGGACATGGCCAGTACTTTTGGGATCACTGTGTTCTGTGCCCAATCTGGTCCAAATTTTTCTACCAACTTCTTCAAATTTAATGTGGCAGCTTCACGAATTGCATACACTGAAAAAAAAAAATAAAGTCAACCATCCTTAAACCAAAAGCTTTAAGATTAAAAACATAAACAATATCAAATCATTTCGGCCAGAAAACAAAGTGAGAAGATGATAAAAAGGTACTCAGAACTGAAAAAATGGATCTACCAGAAGACAGAGAAACAAAATGGGCTGAGGTGATTCATAAGGCAAAAAGACTGACCAAAATGATAAAAAAACTTAATATGAATGAGACCTGAAGGAAGGCCATGAATATGATCTCTGGAACCATGTGGGGATGGATGTGGAAAGAAGACATGAAAATGCTGTATCTTCTCAATACTTCAGCCCTTTTAGCATTCCTGACAAAGATACTTTAAAACTGACATCATATGTACCTAGCAAATACAGAAATATGCAGAGAAAGTCTCCAAATAACAAAATAATTTATGTACACACTGATAACATCAACACTAATACAATACACCTCACGTTAAATCACGTTTCAAGTCACCACAGAGGTTCACTGCGCATCTACCAACTGTGCCATATTCAAAACTCATGTATCTGTGCAGTATTAATACAAGAACATTCCCAAAGAACATTTCCACTTATAGAATCATTCTCTTTGGTTCAGGAAGAGCAAAGACATAAGGACGCTGTATCATAAACTGTATGCTTACCTCAAAAGCAAATCCACTATCTATAATGTAATACTTCCAGAAACATAGAACTGCAAGGCAACAAGGAGCAATGGTACTCAAAATCTAATGACTGCTACTTTGTTAACACCTTCATGTTAATACTAGTCTAATGTTTCAATATACACTCAGCAAGCAGTTCTTAGCCCCTCCAAAGAGTATGGCATGACTTTGCCTTCGTGGCTACATTACCGCAGTGCAACCAAAAACTTGGAAGGAGCTGAAAATTTCAGTTCCACTTGGACAAACACAAAACTGCTTTAAAACAGTCACTGACAGTACGCGCGCACATGATTGCACACACACACACACACACACACACACACACAATCTGAAACTATAGAGATGCAAAGATGGTGCCAAAGCGCAGAGAAAACTGTTTAAAATCTTACTTAACCAGCAAAAAATTCAGTTCTTTTAACCTCTTGGGAAATATGTTAGGCAAGAGGCGCTTGCATTTCTTGCATGTGGCATGTTTGAACTGCTGACAAACAAAGGGATATTGCTGCAAGTATGATTCACTAATTTTTTTGGATTTCAGTGCAACAGGATGCAAATTTTATATTTCTTATTCAGCATAACTCAAACACAAGATCTTCTAGGACTCCAACATTACAAGGAGCTATGCTTGGAAAATTTCTTTTTAGCACTTCAAATCATACAGCCTTTGTTTGATGATTCATCCATTTAATATAATACCACTTCGCGTCTACTTACAGCTTAACTGATATCAACGTGTACTCGGAACTTAACCTAAACACCTACGTAAAAGTAAGTAAGTACAGCTATCCCTATAACAGGCCGTGAAGGCCCATAGGGTTGTGAGACGTTAAGGGTCCCACATTATCTTGATAATCGGCTCAGAGATGGCAGTAAGGTTGTCAGCCTTATGCGCCGGCCGCGCTTCACTCCCCAGGAAAATCATTTAAATTAATTCCTGGTACTCATTTCTGTTAGAGGATGAGTAAACCCCAGGGCCTAGTGCGGCCAGAAGGATTAGGTAAATTGAAAAAAAAAATCCAATGACCTCATTGGGACTTGAACCCGTGACCTTCCGCCTTGTAGCATAGTACCTTAACCACTACGGTACCATGTACCCCCAACCTAAACACCTATGACCTTACTTAATTAAAGCTGCTGAAGTATAACACTTTAAAAGAGCAATGCTGTTTTGTGCATCATCAGTTTCAATGCGTAAACACTAAAACTGAGTAGTAACATCAGCTCAGCTTTCAGCATTGATGCCCAAAACCCCACCTCCCATTTCTATCAAAGGTATGGCCATCACACAACCTGTAACTAAAGGTCTCAAGACTCCACAGCCAACTGAGCTTGGCTATTATCTGAGCAAGGGATATTCAGCAATCTAAATAAAGTAAATCAATCAAAAAATTTAATCCCAAGAACAGCTAAATGTCAAGGCAAATGAATGTTAGTGTGTGAAGACTTTAACGACTGCAGATGCATGAATACATCCTACCTCTTAGGACTGTGATTGTAAAATTGCATCCTTGCATATATATCAATGTCATCTTTTTAAACTAAGACGCTGCACATTCCATGAGCTTCTAGTAGGTCAAATATTGCCCGTCTCAATGACATATAAGAACACAAATATGAACATAAAATCCAGAGCCCTCCAAAGATGGAGGACACAGTAAAACTACGTCTCTCTTCATCAAATTAAATATGGAATTATTTTAGACATTTAGTATTATCTGGTTGAAAATAACTGTAATGACAGTGATAAGTTAGTCAGCAGTTAGTACTGGTGTAATGTTACAACTTACAACCAATATACATGTACTGTAAGGAGTACAGGTTATGTATCAGTAATATAAGAAGCGATGAGGCACAACTGATCAGCGCAAGGGCCAAGATGGCCCACCTCTTATACATTCAATATAAAAAGCTGCTGATTATATAAACAGTGTAAATAAATATTTTATTAAACTCCATCTGTACTCTAGTTCTTACCACATTCAGGTATAATAATACAAACAGAATTATGAGTTTTCTTAACAAGGTGATAGAAGACATATTAATGGCAGCATGATGGCATGCCTTCAAACTCATAACACAACAACTGATGACACTGCAGACTGAAGAAAAATCCTTCCATACACATGGCACATAACCAGGACGGGAACTAATACTGCATGGCAACTCACCATGATCAACAAGCCAAGTCATGCAAAGTAAATTCAGTTTCTCATCAAAGAACTCCACTCCAAGCTGGCCAGCCAGCAGTGGCATGTACTCAATGATAGCCAGTCGTACACGCCATTTTGAATCCTCTGCCAGCTCAACAATAGCAGGTAATAATGACTGTGAGAGCTGAGAACATAAGAAAAAATATGATCATTTTACCTGAGCCAGAAAAGGGAAGGAAATTTGCCATTACACTTTCACACATATAAAAAAATCACAATGATAACACCACCACCACTACCATGAACAATAATAATAATACAGTAAAAAGTTAGATCTATCCCAGGAACAGGCCATGAAGGCCCATACGATTGTGAGATGTTGAAGCTCCCAAATTTTCTAGACAGTAGGCTCACAGATGGTGGTGAGGTTGTCAGGCTTACGCACCAGCCAGCCTTTACCCCCAGGGAGATGCCCGGTACTCAATACATAATCAAATGATGGGAAGACTGTCAATGAAAACCTGGGTTGAAGATAGTCTTGGTCTATTTTATGGTGCTGTCCTACAACTCTCCCAGAAGGACTAAGGAAAATCACAAGCTCATTCTGGATAGCTACCTCCAGGCCTAGAACGGATTATGGGTTCTCTTACAGGCATTACACATTCAAACAAGACATTCTGTGAAGATTCCACAAGGTCTCAATATGTCTGAAAGGTGATAATGGTGAGATTAACTGCAGGAACTAGATGTGGGAGAGTAGGATGAGTGGTCAAAGACAGAAGACAAATCCCTGTGGGGTGGAAAATGATGAAAACTTTATTATAAAACAACCCAACTTGTAGGCAGACTGAGGAAAACTGTATACATCTGTCATGATATTAATTGGGTTGATGCAGTGGCAATGCTATCAATTCACACTCAGTATGTGCTCCATTTGAATCTTGGCTGGGATGCCAGCTATCCTGATTGAGGTTTCTCATTATTTCCTTGGTCCCTCCATGCAAATGTCAGCACAGTACATCATTTGGGCCATGACTGCTTACTCTCAAATCCTTTCATCATTTTTCACTCATCTATCATCCAATCATGCAATACTATACAGTGCAGCTACTGATGTCACTGTAAAGAAAACAGTCTTGATAGTTGATGTGTGCCACATATTCTAACTACTGAGGAATAAAACAGTTTGCCATTTATAAAAATGAGCAGACTTACCTGCTGAATTCCAATGACTTCATTGACACAGTCAAGATTGGAAATGATGTTCAACCGTACTTCAGGACATTCATCCTTGAGCTGTGAGAGAAAGAGAGGGAGCAGGTGCTCAATGGTGTTGTGCTTGCCAAGTATAGGACTAAGACCCATTATGACTGAAGCAAGTGCTGACTTGACATGCTGATTGGGGTCAGCAACCAATTCCTTTACGAACGGAAGGATCTGTGTCATGATGATTGTTTCTTGCTGGTAGGAGTCCAAATTCTGGCAAAAGTCACGCACTTTGTGTGCTGCTGCTGCACGCACTTCTGCCTCCGTGTCCTTCAGTAGTGACTGGAATGCTGGTACAAGATCTGATTTTGTGATTTCTGGCCCCACAGCCTTCTGAAGCTAGAAAAATGAAATTAACAGAACATTAAACTAACACCTGATTAACTATAAATGCACAGTGGAGCTGTGCAAAATTTAAACTCAAGCATACAGTATTTATTTTCTAGTCTTAACCAATGTTCCACAAAGTACTCAAATTTACAAAACTGACAAATGAACAAGAGTGACTGACTGCTGCAGACAAAGTTGCAATACTGCTAGATCTTCCAGTTGACCGTGTCATGCTACATAAATCTACAAGCAATGCATTCCTGCAACTGTTCAACATCATGCAAGAAACCTGGCTCTTCACTGAAACATCTGAACACGTTAAAAAAAGTCTCTAGTTTGTTTTCAAAATCTAGTGCTAGCTACAGACACAGCAAAATGGCACCAAAACAACCACATGAAACACATATAAAACCATTATAACAGAATTTAATCCCTTCAATGGTATTCTCAGAATTTTTTTGCAGTCACAGTTCAGTTTTTGTATCTACACAGTACAGCTCAGAGAACTTCCACACTCAGTCCTGTGCCATTTTAGTTATATCCCAACATTTTCCTTCATTGTATGGCACCTTTTGCATTTAATTCATATAATTCTAAGATGGTGCAACCAAGAGGAATAATTTTCACGGCTGTTTGGATTCAAGTACGTCTGTCAGACGTTACTGGACAAAAAATTGCACTTCAAGACATGGCTAAATGGGTAAAACAATGTAAATGACACAATAATTTGTCTCTTTTCATCTATATATCAAACATTCCCCTGGAAAACTCAACTGGCCAGCAAGACTAGTATGGCTGGACGTGTAATGATCTGATTTGACCAATGCTTTAACCCTTTCCTGCCCCAACTCCGAAACCTTAGGCCCCCAGTTTTCATCCTATTATTTTAAAATAGGGAGAAATATTTTACATCTCTTCACAAAACACTGAATAATTTTTGATGGGAACTAGCTTCTGGGATGTAACACGATGCAGTATGGTGGAAGTCCAATAACATATCAGAGGACTGTATTACTTCCATCTTCAGGGTCAAAGAGTAATCCAAGCAAGAAAATGGCTGTGTTACTAGTTTCCTGCTTGCCTTGCTCCTTGATCCTGGAAATGGAGACAGTACATTCCTCTATAATGTCGACTGACTTCTACTGGTATACCTTTTGTTTCATCACAGATGGTAGCACTCTTCTCAGTCACCACTGTGAGAACCTCAAATTCAACAAGAATAACTTTCAGATTTACTTACTTACTCATGGAGCTGAGCCCTTCTGGTGGAGCCGCCAATTCTGCAGCTACTCAAGAATTTCCCAGCATTTTATGGAACTCGAAGGCTCATTACTGTGTTCACAAGAGCCCTCCACTGGTCCCTATCCTGAACCAGCTCTATCCAATCCATACCATCCCATTCTATCTCTCTAAGATCCATTCTAATATTGTCCACCCACCTATGCCTTGGTCTTCCCTGTGGTTTCTTTCCTTCTGGCTTTCCCAATATCCTATACGCATTCTTCGTCTCCCCCATTCGTGCTACATGACCTGCCCACCTCATCCTCCTTGACTTGATCATTCTAATTATACTTGGAGAAGAGTACAAGTTATGAAGCTCCTCATTATGCAGTTTTCTCCAATCTCCTGTCACTCCATATCTCTTCGGTCCAAATATTCTCCTCAACACCCTGTTCTTAAACACCCTCAGTCTATGTTCTTCCCTTAATGTCAGAGACCAATACATTTTAATTAATAGTTCAGCACTTATTTATAACATTTTGGGAAAAGGAAGAGGTATACAAACATGTTTAATTGCAATAACACAAAAATGTTAGCCATCCAAGAGATGGCAGATTTGAAAACTCTATGGCTGCTTCAACCAGAAGCATAAATCCTAGGTGATATATGTATAGCTGCGTAAGGCAGGAGAGGAACAAAGACTAGTTTTCTAGGACATGCAGCAGTTCTGAGTGCACAACAGCACACACCATTATTAAACTCAGCAGTAATATAGGATGATTGCACAAACAAATAACAATGATAATAGCAAAACAGAATGCTGAAATTGGTGAGAAGAAATAACTTCATGCAAACAATGTGGTAAGAACTGAACATTCTTTGAAAGTCTACTGTTGGAATCATAATTCCACTGTTGTGATTGTGACACCTTATTTACTAGCTCAAAATCTTTGCCTTTTAGTGGAATTTTGATTAATTTCCCTAACAAAGTTCCATGGCCCACTGCGATACTACTTGCAACCCACATGTTGAGAAACACTGTTCTACATAAAGTACGTTCCCCAAGAATTCATTCTTTTGAACACTGTAAACACTCAGAGATATTGGGTTTTTGGACTTTATCCATCGCCTTGGTTTTAAGATAACTAAGAAAAACACGATGTTTCGGAAACTGGATCTGTTTCCGTCCTCAGGTTAAATGAATTGGGAGTCACAATTTATTAGCCCATGTGATGTTCACAAAAAGCAAATTGTTCACTTATTCAAAGTTCATAAGTAGAGGTTCGTTTGTACAGAACATTCATTGTTCCACATTTTACGCTTAACCATTGAATGCAGCAATCCCTTCTGTAATTAAACTGTTACAGAACATCCTACCACTTCATGCATTCAGTATGCTTAATGTACAAATCTGCCATGCACAACTGTACTGTGTGTCAATACAGCTTCTTATGCTTACTGTTCAGCTAAATGAGATAATACCTCAGTGAACTTGTCAGCAACCATATAACGCACTCGCCATGAGGTGTCCCCAGAACACTGTCGCAGTGTGGGCATGACCAACTGTTCAACATCATCCTGTTGCAATAGAGTGGCAATGCTAACGCACGCTTCCACTGCCAGCAATCGCACAGAATCTTGTTCATCTTGTGCCAGGTTCACAAACATGGGGATCAAATCTGATTTGAGATACTCAACTTCCACAACTTTTGCAAATTCACCTAGTTTGCTGGCTGCTGCACGCCGTACCATTGGTGTGTCATCCTGACATAAGTTGCGGAAATGATTACGTAGATCAGCTAAAATCAGAAAGTCATGCCACATAATTGAACTACTCCTACATATAGACTGCATATAAGATCACAAATCAATTCTTTAGTTTCTTAATTATGCAAACCACAATTTAAAAAAGTAGTTCTTGAAGTGCACTGAGAATTTTAGTGAAGTACTGATGTGTCAACACACATAACGTTCACAGTATGAGATACAGGTGTGCTGTGATAACATTTCATGTACCTTTTACAGCTGGACTAACTCGCTGATAGCAAACACTGAAGAGACCACACGCCGATGTCCGTGAAGTGAACCAATCACCTGATGCCAGGCGCTGGACTAAGGGCACAAAGTGTTCTTCCAAATCACTTGGGCTGTGTTGTCCAGAAATAGCTCGTAGAGAATCCACTGCTTTGTCACGCACCACTGTCTCTTCAACAGTCGCTAGTGATTCCAAAGGTGGCTGAAATAAGAACAGAACACTATAACTGTTTACAACATCTAACACTACACCAACTTATGACCAAGAGCAGTGATTTCAACCTTTTCCTGGTTGAAGGGTTCTGTAATATATGATTTGTTTCTCCCTTTATGAAATGTGCAGGTTACAAAACAATGAGTGAGAAACTGGGCATGCTGAAGGGAGACAGTCTAACTTTCAGTACACAAAATAATGTAACAGACAACCAATAATGAAATTTGATACGAGGTTCTCAATATGCTGCCTATTACTTCTACAGTGTTATGGGGTGTAATGTTGCATAGTGTGGTAAATAAGTTCAAACATTCTGGATAAACCTGTTGCCTCCATCTTCACAGTAGTTATCTACTGAACTATATGGAATCACATCCCAGAAGACCAAAATGTTAATCATAATCTGGTCTTCATTTTAATTTTCTGCAAATATACTGTATATTGCTGCAACACTGGTCACACTTCAGAAAAATAATTTTCCCTTGAATTTACTGAAATATTCACATAAAAAAGTAAAGAAAAAAGGTAAAGCTATCCCTGTAACATGCTGTGAAGGCCCATATGGTTGTGAGATGTTGGGGTTCCCACATTTTCTCTCGACAATCAGCTCACAGATGGTGGTAAGATTGTCAGCCTTATGTACCGTCTAAACCTTGACCACCCAGAAAGATTTCTGTACTCATTTCTGTTAGAGGCTGAGTTAACCCCAGGGCCATAGTATCGCTGGATTAGCTAAACTGAAAAAGATCCACCTCACCGGAACTCGAACCCGCGGCTTTATGGCCTGTAGTATAGTGCCTCAACCAACTATGCTACCATGTTTTCAAGTTAAAACTGTAGGTCATCATAAGTTACTACCTTAAGCCAATCATAAACAATGTTATCAGCCTACTTTCCTTATTCTGAAAAAATGAAGTAGGCTTCTGTGATCTCCATGTTGTCTGTTGGTCTGTGAATACACCCCCCCCCCTTTCCATTAACTTCTGAATGCCTGCAATAATTTCCACGAAACTTAGTATATATATCATAGCACTTGAGTCCATCTCAATGGTGCACTTCATAACTCCACCACCCCATCAGTCTGCATGTTATGCAAGGGCTCAGTAAAGTGTATCCCTCCTTTTCTTGTTAGGCAACAGCTCTGTAAACACATTCCCATGGCAAAAAATATATGCAACAATTGAAGAATTTCTGGATGTGTGTGTCGGAGGGTCTGTGTATTACCATCATTGCTAGGTAAAGATGTTCCCGCAGCAACAAAAAATTGTTGGAGTCACTTTCTATGTGGTCCATATAATACCAAAGGAAAGTACACAATCAGTTCTTCCTAGAACTAACACCTATCAGAGAACTTTTATGTTCCTTGAGATTCCCTCATATGCAGATTTTACTGTACTCAAAAAGCAACAAAACCATATTTTTCTTTGAAATGACAAGCTTTAAGTAATGTGTGTTTATGCTGTTCACAAACTAGATTTTCTCAATTACTTTATATATAAAAAAAAAATCAGCATTTGTAACATAATTCCACCATATATCATGAAGAAACCATCTTCCAACAAAATTTGTAATGCTGTAATAAACTCTGCCACACTTCTGGTGATGAAACATTTATTTCTAAACAAAGCTTTTAACTGAACTTCTGAAATTTTCTTTAGGATATTCATGTTTCCATTCAATAAATGAATACCAAAAGCACAGACATGCTTTCTTAACTGCATATGACAGCTAGCAATAAGTGGTAGGGTGAATGAATGAAGAACTGCAAAGCCTTAAGAAGAAAGCAGTTGTGGCCTATTTTGGGTACTAACTCCTTTACCTTGAACAAACGAAATAAAAACCATCAAAATTCTTGGTCATCATAGCAGTTCTGCAGGCCAAGATTTCACCTCAAAACCTTCCAAATATTAGGCTGGAACGCTATGAGACTTAACCATGATATTCAGCATGAGCTGCACTAGTGCCATGCAACGCAAAAATCTTTTCTGGTTACAGAGACTATGCTTGGAAGTGGTTATGCTGATCCCTAAATAATTTCTAATTTGTATTGGTTAAAAGCATTGCAAACAATAATATATTAAAGAATATTAAAAGTCTAGGCTTATCACACAGTTCTGTTCCATAAATTCTTAACAATTTCCTCACATGAAGAAAGTCGTCTTCTGGGATCTGGCGCCGTGTATTCTTCGTTTTAACCGGAGGTGGGACCAATGGGAAGAATGAACAGCCTATTTCATATATAAACCAGCACTTTTCACTTCCCAATCATTGCTGCTACAGCTATCTCTATTCGCACGCAACTCAACTACCCTGAAGATGGAGGTGATATGTTCCTCTGAAACGTCGGTTAAAACGAAGAATACACGGCACCAGATCCCAGAAGACGACTTTCTTCATAGTCATCGCTGTGAAAACCTCAAAACTTACAATTTTCTCATATGTCTGAACCTGCTGGCTACAATCATCTATTTCAAGAATTCTAATCCTGCTCCCTGGCAAGCTTACTTACATTTAACTTTCAAACACTGCCAGTTAATATATACAAAATATTAATGACACTAACAGAATTCAGCAGGTACACTAAGAACCATCAATGGCTCACTGGCATATGATTCTCATATTATATTATGGTATGTCACGAAGTAACCTCAATATACTTATTCAAATTAACACAACAGAAACCGGTAACTCAGACGTTAATCATTTTACAGCACAGCTCACATTTATCCAAACACCTTGTCCACAGCTGCACAAGCTTATTTACGTCATTAGAAGAAAAACTGCAGATCACATATGCACCCTCTCCTTCAACTGATGGTTGCTGATACAATTACAGCTTTTAAAGCAACTGCAAGGGTTCCAATCTGATGGAACAAAGTCAGGGATGTATGATGGATGCTTTAACATTTCAAAGCATACCTACTGATGTGTTTCAACAAGGTGGCCAGCAGTATGGGGACAGGCCTTTGCGGTTCCATTTGGCAGCACGCATTGGACACCGCCTTTAATGGTCTCTTTCAACAGCCAGACACTTGGCACCACCTTTAACAGTCCTTTTTTCCTGCTATCTTTGCCCCATGTTAGAAGCATCACCTTTAATGGTAACTGATTCATACTGTGAAGTTGAGCACCTGCTTTAACATGGTCTTCACCTGGAGTGCTTGTAATCACCTACTTCAGACAGCCCCACTGTGGGTGCTGCTTGTAATGGCTCTTTGGGGGCATACTAGATGTTGGTGTGCCCTTCCTTCCCAGTCAGCAATGCCAAAGATTCCTCTGCCTGATATGGTTATCCTTACTTCCTTTCCTTTCTTGTGGTTGATATGATTGGTTGGGAACATAGAAGAACTTATCTGGGTGCCAGTAGTCACCAGATTGCAGTAGCTACAAATTTGTGGAATGCTGTCAGGTAGGGATCGACAGGGCGATGATCAGCTCAGGTTTAGGACTTGGCAAAGCAGGAGGTCTGTCTCTGGGCCTTAACGAGCCTTGCTCTAAAATAACAGGACGAACAATGTGGCTGCACACACTCATCCAATGACTACTCTCGTTTGCATTCAGGATAATTTATTACATAGCACATATGAGGAATTACACTTACTGTCACACTTGTAAATCTGCAGATTCAACTTTAATAATGTCAAACACTTGCTAACAGCTTGCAGGTTGAACTAATTACCAAAAGTTTGCATGCTGTTCTCTTAGTATATTGGTATCTACACAGTGTGTCCAGGTTCTGTTAGGAGTGTGTTCATTAAAAATACAAGACGTGAATTATTTTCAAAATTTCACTCTTTTTATTCAAAATAGTCTCCTTCTGAATCAATACATAGCTGGAATCGATTGAAAAGTTTTTGAAAACAGTCACTGTACTCTTTTTGTGGAATCACATTTAAAACTTCGGTAGATTCCCTTTGCATGTCCTGGATTGTGTCGTGACAGTCTCCTTTCATCGCCAACTTAACTTTTGGGAACAACCAGAAATCTGCTGGAGCCAAATCTGGCGAATACAGAGGAGGATCAAAGACTGTGATCCCTTTTCTGGCAAAAAGAATTGCGCACGATCTTCGGTTTGTGGGGTGGGGCACTGTCGTGGAGGAGCGACCAGGAACCTTGCTCTCGATATTCAGGCCACGAAATACAGCATACCATCGCAAAATGTTTGAGCAACTCAAACAATCACTACCATACACACTTTTCATCATTTTGTACGCTTCTCCAGCAGTTTTGCCTAACTTTAAACATAATTTGATGCTGGCTCTCTGTTCAACCACCATTTTCCGATGAGAGTCAGAACAGTACTGTTACATTCAAGGTCAGAACACGATGCAGCGATGCTTGCGCTTTGAAATTATATACAGTCACAGCCGAAACTTCAAGAATCGCAACTTCACAACTCGCCAACAGATGGCATTGCAGGGGAAAATTAAAAAAAAAAAAGAGTCCTAATGACACACCATGTATGACAGCCTAATAAATTATACAGGTTGTTAATTTTAAATTTCTAAGGAATGCAGATTTTGCTTCAATATAGTTTGGAAGTTGAAAACTGAGTCTATGGAACTGAACTGCCCTGCACCAGCAAGCTCCTCAGAGCCTCATCTTCCACCAAAAGCTGCCTCTCTCAGACTTGACTTATTAACCTAGTTCAAAAACTTGGGAGGTCTCAAAAATTTGCACCTACAATTAGCTGAAGCTGTAAAGCGATTTTAGCCCTTAAAAGACAAATGGCACTTTGGACAGCTCCTTGATGTATAATGGGTTTAGCACTGGTTGCGGCCTGCCAACCCAGAAGTCACCGTCATAACTTTAAATCTCTCATGTCTGCTATGCACTTGATCATGAAACAGCTTTCTGAGTTATTAATAAGTCATGTGAAACATACAAGATAAAGTACAGAAAGAAAGCAACCTTGAGATTATCAGTTCATAAGCTACAAACTGTTTCTGAAAAAAAAAAAGTGAATCGTTTATCATTTTTCCGAATTATGCATCTATGCGAATTGATTCAAATGAATGAATGCTAGTAAATTTAGTTGTGGCATATGCCTCTACACCATTTCGGACATTTTAATATGAGGACTTATTCTACAGTTCCACATACCTGCACATAATATAAAATGGGGCCATGTTTAATATACACACAGACATAACTACAATTGAACATAACACTAAATGTGCAACTGTATTTTAAAATTTCAGCAAATACTTACCAGCAAACAATGTACATGATCTGGACCACCAACAAGCGGTGTAAAGTTACCCAGTTGCTCTGCTAGGGCCAAAAGGACTTCATCTTCATCATAAATAGTTTCAGTCAGGAATGGGATAAGCTCACTGCGTGTCCTGTCAACTCCTAACGCAAGTGCAATTGTCGACAGTTTCTTTATGGAGTTCAGACGAAGCTGGAACATGAAAAACACAAACTCGGCAACGCTATATTTAACACAATATAAGCAGAAGTTGTGTAAATTATTCATGGCTATGAAACATTTGTCGAAGTCCACATTTTAATACATTAGCGATCAAACTTACTTGCACATCTTCGTTTTTCAATTCATCAATCAGTACAGCAATTGGGTAGAGCGAATCGTCGCTGGATGAATCACTCGCAGCCATTTTGTAATCCAGCTAATGCCTACCTCTTACGGTTACTATTATGTTCACACGTCTTAATTTACAAATTTCGACACTCGAAAATATGAAACAAACACAACCACTTTAGTTTCATGAAATAATTCACTACGAAATAGCATTAATAAAAACACCTACTTCCACTACTCTAACACACCGTACTCCTTCGGACCCTTCGGACCCTCTTTCTTCGTTTACATCAATGGTAAACGTTGTCATTGGTTGTGAACATTGTAGATGGCAGGTTAAGCAAAGCAGTATGACCAACAAAAGCAGTAAGAACCGGTTATAATTTCATTGGTATAAATTGGGCGTGAATTAAATTACGGCGTACACCTCAGAAAAGGATGTAAACCGGATATATATTGTTTATTTCTGTGGTTATTTTGGTACAGGCTGAATAACGCGATAACACATTAATTTAGATCATTTGTTAGTTCCTCTACTGGAATACCAAATAAAATTAGTGCCATTCAAATTATACCGAATTATACATCGACTGTTGCCACCTATGAAAATATCAAAGTCAACCAAAATCACGGAATAATTTATAAGCAGTGAAATTAATAACGCTCGGAGAAGGATGCGTTGGTTCTCAGGCACTGCCATGTTATATACCGCACCACTTTCGTTGAAAATGCTTAAGTGTTGTAAATATGTATAAAAGTAAAGCTATCCCTGTAACAGGCCATGAAGGGCCATAGGGTTCTGAGACGTTGAGGGTCCCACATTATCTAGACAATCGTCTCAAATATGGCAGTAAGGTTGTCAGCCTTAAACGCTGCCCGCGCTTTACTCCCCAGGAAAATTTAGTTAATTCCTGGCACTCATTTCTGTTAGAGGCTGAGTCGAACCCAGGACCATAGTGCGGCTGGAAGGTTTAGGTCAACCAAAAAAAAAAATCCAAAGACCTCATCGGGACTTGAACCCGCGACCTTCCGGCTTGTAGCATAGCAAATATGTATGAGTAAAACTAAAAAGGGAAGCTATCCCTGTAACAGGCTGTGTAGGCTCATAGGGTTGTGAAACATCAAGGCTCCATTTTTTAGACAATCGGTTCACAGATATTGATGAGGTTGTCAGCCTTACGCGCCGCCCCCCACCTCTATTGGATGATTAAAAGTACTAATTTATGTTCATTTCGGTTAGCGGCTGAGGCGATCCCTGGGCTGTAATGCAACTTGCAGGGTTAGGTTGACTGAAAAATGTAATGACCTCAACCAGCTATGCTTTCCTCACGGAAACCATGAACAGCTCTATGTTTGCAGATATAAAGTCCTGTAATCCAGCGAAAATCAACAGATACTTCGGACGAACGTATCACTTCTCGGAGCCAGAATGGAGATTTGTTATGATCTGGACAGTAAAGGGTTTGGAGTTCCCAGTACCAGTAGGGGCGACATTTTTCTCTTCTCTGTGTTGTCCAGACTAGTTCTGTGGCCTACCCAGCTTCCTATCCAGTGGGTACAAGGGGCTCTTCCGGTAAAGCGGCCGAAGCGTGAAGCTGACCACGTGTCTCCAACTAGTTCTGAGGTCAGGAATATGTGGGTCCATATATCCACATCCTCATACGCCTCCATGATGTAGTGCTTAATTAGTTAATCACAGGCACAACTTTACCTTTTAAATTAGGCATTTTCTTATCTTTGGGGTTAAATATTAAGCCAAGCAAGAACCAGCATAGCTCTGCTTGCTACCTGCTTGGCTTTCTCTTCAATCCTACAGATGGTGACAGAAACCTCTGAAACCCCCACTGATGTTCACCAGACAACATGGCGTTATTTCCCACAAGACAGAACTCTTTATGTTTAAAAACATTTTTTGAGAATCATTTTGCTCTTACAAGGCATCTGTAAATAATTGCAACGACTATGTATTTATATTTGCATTGGTATTAAGTACTGTCTGTATTATGACACATTCTACATCCATGGTTTATACTATGAAGTATCTATATAATGTAAACATAACCTAGTCAAACAATCTAAATGAAGCCACAAATTATAATGCTCCCTATTACGAGGGGGTACACAAAAGAAGCCGAACTTATTTTTTTTAAACTTATTTATTCAAATTTTAAGCACAAACCTTCAATCCCCTTCAAAGTACTCTCCACTTACACTAATACACTTGTCTAGTCTTTTATTCCATTTTTCAAAACATTGTCTAAATTCATCTTTTGAGATGCTTGACAGCGCCTCCGTCGTTTTTTCCTCCACCTCAGCAACATCAGCAAAATGCTTTCCTTTCATGTCTCTTTCATTCGAGGAAACAAAAAAAAGTCGCACGGGGCAAGGTCGGATGGGTATGGAGGGTGAGGAACAGGGGTCATACCATTTTTTGTCAAGAATTGTCGTACAGACAAGGCTGTGTGAGCAGGGGCATTGTCATGATGGAAAAACCAGTCACCCGACTGCTCCACAATTTCTTCAGTGGTCCGTCGTTGATCTTCCTTGATGATTTCACGATTTTTTTCAACATTTTCATGTGTTCGGGCCGTGGAAGGACGACCAGAACGAGGTTTGTCATCAATTGACATTTCACCATTTTTGAAACGGGAAAACCACTCAAACACTTGAGTTTTCCCCATAGCATCGTCCTTGTACGCCGTTTTTAACATTTCAAGAGTTTCTGTTCCACTTTTCCTGAGCAAAAAGCAGAATTTCATCACCGCACGAAAATCAGCCATTGCAAAAACGACGTTCACACAAAACAGTTGTCACTATAAACTCTGCCAAAACTAGTCCTTACCTTCTGAAGCAACGGTAGTCAGCTTATCGACTCAGGAATGTTAGCTCTATGCGCTCACAGCGGCAAAACGCGGTACTACAAAAGCTCTGCCCACAAAAAAATTAGTTCGGTTTCTTTTGGGTACCCCATCGTATGTAATTTTCTTCATTGCCTGTGATGTTCACCTCCCTTAATTTAACTCACCTCTAGTCCTTGTCCCTACATGTATATCTCCTTCCACACTTCATGTACTCTTCAATCCTGAAGACAGAGGTGGCATGTTACCAGATTGCATGGTGTCATACGCCTTAAGACAGTTACTTTCACATTTTCTAAATGTGTTCATATGATTTTGCTTACTTGGTGACCTTGATGTTAATTTGTATCAGACAGAATCCTACTGCTTTGAAGCAAATCATGTAGTGCAGTCATACATTACATTTTCTTGTATTTCAGTGACTATTCATCAAGAACATTTTTTTTTTCAAATAAAAGTCTGAAACATGAATAACATGTACACTGTAGGCAATGTACCATTATTTTGTGAATGAGCTGCTTCTGAGAAAACCAAGAGCTCAGTCTCACCTTTGTGTAAAATACAGGTTATATTAGGTTGATACCAAAATTAATTTGCCCTACAACTTTACATTTTCTTTTATTGCTAGTGGGGTGGGACTAAGTCCCTTGCACTGCTGCCACTTCTGGCCTATTGTACCAGCCCCAGATGATAGGTGAGGGTGATTGTGGAGCAATTGGTGGAATGAAGATTGGCAGGGGAAACCGAAGTACTCGGAGAAAACCTGCCCCAGTGCCACTTTGTCCACCACAAATCCAACTTGACCAAACCCGGGATCGAACCCTGGCTGCCGCAGTGGGAAGCCAGTGACTAACCCCTTGAGCTATGGCGCGGCCAACTTTACATTTAGTTGAAATAAATTAAACAGATTTGGCAATGAAACATACAAATAACATCTCCATATTATGCACTCAATGGAAATAATCCATAAAAATGTAAACATGCTTTTGTATGCAACTGTAATACCATGAAAGGTACAGAGGAGAAGTTATTATCTAAATCTTGGGTCTGGATGTAAGTAGGTAGTTAGACCTTCCAGCCAACACTATTGTGAACATGGCATCTGCCCTGTATTCAGAAAACATCTGGTTTGAATCTTGGATGGAGCACTGATTACCCTGACTATGTTTGTGGTATTTTCACACATTCCAGGAGAATACCAGGACAGTACCCTGAATCAGACTAAGGCTATACCCTCATCCATCCTCTGGGAATCTTCATATACATAATTATCCCCTTATCTCATTGTAGACTGCATACATAACCTTGCAGTTTGTACAGAATAATTAAATAGCCTAAGGATACACACATATCCATACTATCACAACATAATATTGTTTACACTTTGAACAATGCATCATTTCTCTGCATATTTAATTTAATACTTCACACTAATCAGTTGATCTTAAGACATTTGTTTCAAAAATTAATTTCTACTACTGATTTTAAGTAAACTACCCCTCCAGTATTATAGTAACCAGCATTTTGTACACTTAAGTGAACACTTATTCAAATATTGTACAAAAGTAGCCACAAAAGAAAAAAGGAGGTTCAAGCAGAAACCACAGCTTACTTACTAGTACTACAGGGATTGCATCCTACTTCAACCAAAACCCTTTTATTGCTTTCTACTGTAAATATGTTACAGACTATTGCTGTTAATTATTTTCTTTTTGGGAATAAATTATTACTCAAGCATGTATTTTGTGTATGTTAAACTTGTTGAATGCAACTTCAAAAGTTCATACCATTTTGTAACTGCTCACATACATGCAACATTTCACACATAACTTACAGGAATACTTATAAATAACTATCATAAAAAACGTAATTCTAGTTTCAATTGCTCATTGGTTACCACTGTTAAACTTAAATCTATGGAAAAATGATAAATACTGAACAAAATGGCTATTTATAAATATACATGACAGAACCAACCACTATGGCTCAGCAGGCCATAGGCTTCACATAGGACATATTGCATGAAGCTGAAGCATGTAGTAAAAGTTCATTTACTGTGCAGTTTATTAAGTTGGAACCTTGCTCTAACAGCATATTTTTCCAATGTGTCCAGCCTTATCTACCGGCACAGTTTTGCTCTTATCTGGCATCGCATGGCACAAATCAGCTGTACTGACCAGACATACTTAGTTTTCAGTCAGTAGCCATTGTGATGTATTAGTTCAAAAGCCTTACTTGTTTATGTATTAACAACCTGTGCATCCTTGAGCCATGGCCTTGAACAATATAACACTTTGCAGCAAAAAGAAATATGTTAACTACTGCTCAGAAAATTGAAATTATTGGGAAAATAGAGGTGTGAATCACAATGTGATGATGTCTGAATATAATATTAGTTTATCAACCATTCAATATTTAAAGGCTCAAAAAGATGACCTGCTAACTTATGCTGCAGTTCTAAAAGTTGCAGTAAAGCTGTAAGTGAACATAAAAACCTCTGACAGCCTAAAGCAGATTTTATGAGAAAGATGATCGATGAAGACAGTTCTGCTGAGAGTCTGAAGTAACTTCAGTATTGAGGATGCTATATTTTCAGTTGCACTTGCTTGGAATGCAATTAGGCCTGTAACTTCTAAAAAAGGATGCAGAAAATTGTAGCCAAGTGTTATGTTTATAGACAGATCTTCAGACAAAACCTCTACACTTCATATTGCTGATCTCCCAGAGGAAGAAGTTAATAAAGTACCAACTCATAGAACATCTGCACAGCATTAAATGCCATGCTGTAAATGTTATTGTTTGCAGTGTTTTGTAATTATATTTTATTTGTATTTTTTTGTCATAGAACATATTAAAATTGCTTATCATGAGTCCTCATTCCATCTATCGGCAAAATCGACCTACTGGCACACTGTACTCCTCATGCATGTCAGATAAGATAACTTTTACTGTAAATTGCTTTAACAGGTACACAAGTATTACAAGAAGGTAACTATGAAACACTGCACTTAAAACTATTATAATACATCATTATTATCCTAAATGCTGTGATGAGAGTTCTAAAAATGGATTTATGGACATGTCAACTGTACAAACAACCCTTTACCCACTCTACTTAAAACAGTACTATATGGTGCTATCAGCCCAGTTTCTTCCAGGCATTTAAATCCCGAATGAAATTTTATTACGTTAGAAGGGGCAAAGGGTTAAAGACTATCGCAGCTGCAGGGTGATTCACAACTGTGGGCACCAGTGTTAGCTCTTCACTTGCAGCTTGGCATGCCACTGTGCTGCTTCAGCTTTGCCATCACTTGTTCATCAAGCTCTGGGTTGGAGAGCAGCTCATGACCTCCTCTATCCCACTGGGTAGAAAAAAGAGCATCTGCTGTTGTCCAACCTTCTCGGTTCAGTTTAGCTGCTTTCACCAGACATTCAGCTTCTGGAAATAACTCAGAAATAAGCCTGAAAAAGAAATCAGTATGAAGGCAAACATTCTCATTCAGATATGAGTAGATGAATAATAAAATGGGTCTATGCACTTAATTATATGTGCACTACAACATAATGTGTGGTCCATCTGAGAGAGTGCTGAAATACTGCAATGCTGTAGCTGCTATGAATCTGGAATTCTGGAAACTTCAAGTTCCGCTCATTTCCTTCCCTCACGATCATTTTGTCAATATGCCATTCACACTCATTCAAAGTCTTGTCAGGTGTGAAACAGCAATGTCTCTGTGTCAAAAAGAAGACCAAAGTCTACTCATGTGTTTGGAGTTGGTGTGGGAAAAAGAGGGAATAAGGATGGAAGATAACATCCCCCAGTCTGAACCTAGTCACTAACCACTGTAATGTGTTGAAATAAAATAATAAATACATGAAAATTGATACTGTGTTTGTAGTTTGATAGGGTGGTGGGCAATAATGAGTGGAACAGGGTGTAGGAGGGAGGGTCAGGGGACTAGACCACCATCAAGAGCTTTGAATACAGACTAACCTGTGTAGTCTGTTTACACTAGTCCAAAAGAGTAACATATGCACTGTATTACTTCCAGAAAAATTCAATTCTTTATTTCCTATAACAGTGAAAATTTTGAAAAACAAAAGTAGGTACTGCAGTATTTAGATACACTTGATAGAGATGGATGCTCACAGCTTCCTGACATGACCGAACAGGAGATGTGGCTTTCTGGCTGTACTGTAATAATGAATCATGAATTTCTTCCACTGCCCCACTCCACATGCATACAAGTGCACATATAAATATATACCCAAACACACACAAGCACCTGCGACAGCATGCACTCATGCACACAAACACGCTTTTTTTTTTATGAAGAAAGTCGTCTTCTGGGTTTAGGCGCCGTGTATTCTTCATTTTGGCCGACGTTTCGGAGGAACGTATCGCCTCTATCTTCAGAGCAGGTGAATGGCTTGGAATGCAGAGAGCAGTAGCTTTTTCATGTGACACTCTTCTAATTTGTGTGACAGAAAGAAAAAAGGAAATACTGGGAACAAAGTATATGAGTATTTTAAGATAGGAATTGTTTTTTTTAAATGAGATTAAAAGTGAGTGCAATTGCATTTTATGTTCATCATGATTGGTAATATTCAAATGAAGATACAATTTACGAAAGCCAAACTGTTCATTTTTAGCAACATCTAAAAGGGTAATTTTTACTTAGGGTATTCAAAAATATTAAACACACCAAACCAAAAAACATGACCACATATTTCATAATAGCAAAAGTGTCAACAAAGGCTTCTTTTTAATGAGCACTGTCTTAGTGTATATTTGCATTGGTAAATCTATTAGAGACACAAATACGCACCCATACAATGGAATAACAATGTTGTCAAGGAACTGTATCTGCAAACTAGGTATGTAGGCCTTGTCACGGTCCATTGATTCAACCGGAGAGCTACCCATCGTCTTCTCCATGTCTCCTTGTGTGAAGAACTCCTTGTATATCAGATCCTGCAGCAGTAAATTGAACAGAATGACAAAGCAATAATGCTGTTGAATCATATTCAGGAGGCGCTAAGTGTGAATCTAGCAGAGGACACTAGCTAGCTTGTGGTTGTTATGTAACCTCCCCAGTCCCTCCAGGCAACCGACAAGATAATACTGTCACGTGTAAAGTGATTATAGATGGGGTCTGGATTAGTAATTGGATTTACTGGACTCTTAAAAACTCACAACTATACGAGTAATAAATTATAGTTCTCTCACTGATTCACACTCTCTACAATACACTACAGCATGCACTAATTCAACAGTTGTCCTCTGGTAATGGCTCCCAATGTCGAGGCTCCCTCAGATTCTGGATTCATGTGCTTATTTGCTGGCGGCTGTCTCACAACTCACAAACGCAACTCCTGGCAACTGACTGCCTAGCAGTGACTGACCTCCACTGGCTATCACTGCTATCATTCATGTCTGCCTCGTCTGCAGACTGCTAACCACCCCCTGCTTAACTGTCTGTTCATCAGTTTCAGTCCTCCAGGTATAGCCTTGGAGTGGGCCCCACAGAAAACACCATTTTAAACAGCCCCTCTCATGTGTGAATAGCTGCTGCTATGCTGACATCATATTTATGGTGCTGTAACCTAGTAACAAACATCTCTTCTGATTAAAGTGTTCTTTCAATGGACATGTCACAATATCTTGATTAGGCTGTGATCATTTCCTTCCAAATCCTTTCAATTCATCATTAATTTATTATCTTACCATTTTACGTTATAAAGTCTAATTACTGACAGCATCATAAAATAGAGCACAGAAACAAGATGCAGAATCTTATAAGTAATGAGCTAAATAAATTTTTCTGAAACTGGTGTACAGCCACATGATGTTCTATAATGTAGATCAGAAAGGAGAGGGAAGTTCCTTGGAAAATGGCCACTTTGATAACCAGAACTGTGGTAAAAGGATGGATAGCAGGGCTTGGGATCTGAGGACTGTCAGGTGCCAATCCATGATCAGGTTTCTAATTGGAAGTGTTGAACCTCTGTTGGGTTCTACTGCCTGTCAGAAGATGAGCTAGGAGATCATAGTAGGTATAGTAACTGGCTATAGGCTGGATGACCTAGGGGTCAGAATCTGAGTCCCAGTAGGGTCAACAAGTTTCTCTTCTCCGTGTAGTCTAGACTGACACTGGGGTCCACCCAACCTCCTATCCAATGGGTACAGGGGCCTCTCTCCCCCAGGGGTAAAGCGGCCGTGGCGTGAAGCTGACCACCACCTCCAGCTAGTGCTGAGGTCAAGAAAATGTGGATCTATAATCCATTCCCCACATATGACCTCATGACGCAGTGCTTAATTAGTCAATTACCTTTTCAATACCTGTTAGAAGGGAGGAAAATATCTTTTAGTTATAGGAAAGGGACAGCTATTGTGTTACTTCATGCTCCATGTCAAAGAAGTCTGGGTGCAATCACAAGGCAAAGTAAATGATGTGACACTGGAGCAGTATTTTCTCAATGAACTTCCATCAATGTTCCACACTCATCAATTATTATATGCATAACCATGTATTGGTACAAGTGACCTATCAGAGGCCACAGAGGTACAGGAATAAGTCTCAACCTGATATACCTTAGAAAGCCCTCTCCAAGCCTTCTGGCTAAGTTTGTTTTACTTACAATGCACTGTGTATGCTCAGACAGCAGATAGGCATCACATCTAGATAAAATACACAACCAAAGGCTCATTTGCCAGTTCTTGCTTATACTTACAGCTGTTTGTCTTGCCACTGACCAGTGTTTTGTCTGATCACTGAGGTCACAAGCAGTCATAAAAAGGCAGAGAAGCAGGCGTCGCTGATCTTCCTTATGTTTCTGAAATTCTACCAGGAGCTTCTGTTGCTCTTCAAAAACTCTGAAGTGGGATGCTAGATCTGTTGCTGAAATCCAGAAGCAACATAGTGAACACTTCATCCTATGGGGAAGGAAATGACTGAAGTTAGGAAATGTATGAACAGCATAACAATTTGGCATGCTGGACTTTCACATAAATACCAGCATTAAGTGTTTCAATTTTCAAGTTCAACACCCTCTTTCTTGTGCTTAAAATCACACTTACCTAAAATCAGATCCCTGATCAAATCCAAACACTTTGTGTACTGCTCTCGCGGAATTCCATCCAGTATGTTGCACCCTTCTGTGTTAAGCATGCACACTGCTTGAGCAAAGTGATGCCTCTGCAACCAAACAATACCACACAGTGTCTGCAAAAAGTTTACCTCACATTTTCATTATTGTAATTCATTGTTAGTAAAATGATGGATTTATAATCCAGTCAACTACACTGTTACATTTGGCTGTCAACACATCAAAACACATCTCTACTTCATAACTTAAGACCTATAACATAATCCAAATAACAATAGATCTGACAATCCTGTAGCACTATAAGGTGATATGATTATTTTTTTTGGACATTATTCATCATACTGTTTTTTTTAACAACGTTTCAGAGACTGGATTCTGACTTTGTCTTCAAGTAAATGATTACTCAGTTGGTCCCAATCAATAGAGCTAGTCCCTATATCATCCAGACTAGCCCTATCGATTGGGGCCAATTGAGTAGGATTTGCCTGAAGATGGAAACAGAATCCAGTCTCCAAAACGTTGTGTTTTAAATATAAAAGCAGGATGATTGATAATGTCCAAAAACTCAATACTTTAATTAATATACCATCATCACAAAATTTTAGACCTTATTTGCAATAAGGTAAAGCTGGCATTAAAGGAACTGGAGGATGATGTCACATGCTCTATTCCTTAAACTCCCATTCACCATTTCTAAGCATTTCACTTCCACTTAATGAGGTTTAAAGAAAATTATGGTGATTGCACACATGAAAGTTAGAATACAGATCTCATAACATAACAGTATTATATAGAGCAGACTGTTTAAACTTTGCAATAATTTATCAATGCTTTAAAACTGTTTCAGTAAACTGAGGTGAAGTAATATTACTTCAGATTTGAAAGTTTCATGGCAGTTAATTTAATAGAATGTTCTTGGACTATCAGCCATGCAAGTTGGTTAAAAATTTCTGACATTTCAGGGACCATCTCAGTCACATTAGGCCCTGATAATGGGGACAGAGATGGTCCCTCAAACATCAGTAATTTTTAACCAACTGACATGGCTGAGAGCCCAAAAAGATTTTATTAATATTATTTTGACATGACCATGCTTTAATTAGGATGACTGAATCAAAAATACAAAACTGACAATAGAATAAAAACTCCAAGTTATCCAGTATCTAAGCATCCATACTTCTCATCCAACAAATAAATTTTCAAAAAAAATTTTTTGTGAAGTTGCTCAAAAACAAATTTGTGATGCCCATATGTTCTTACACCATGTGATGGTACTCCCAACAACCACTAGCAACACTACCCATCATCCTCCATTATGCAGCTGCCATCATAGTAGCAGTTAAGTTGAATCTGTGATTGGGTTACAGTACCTGTCAGAAATCTACCACTCATCAATTCATTACGTTGCCTAGGAAATCTCCCATGCAAGAACTAAAGTAAAAATATGTTTTGATTTTGTATTGGGTTTCTGCAAGCTTCTCTCATGCAACCAGCAAATCTCATTCCTCATGCAAGGCAGATAATGAGAAATTTGTTATATTATGATTCTGTATATTGTACTGAATGGTGTCTCTAAATCCATCCATCCAGCCATATAGTCTGCTGAAAATCAACCAATTAGTTGTGCTTGCTGACTGCATCACACTGGTTTCTTGCTTGGCTTATTCTTTGGCTATGAAGATAGAGGCAACATGTTCCTCCGAAACACTGATTGACTTCCAGTGGAATACAAGTATTATATCCCAGAAAACAGAATTCTCTTGGATGCCAACAGCTTTTGGACTGAATAACCACCACTATGTCCACAATTTATTATTCTCCTAATTTCATAATAATCAAAGTAACTCAAAAGGTTTACACCAAATATGGTAAATGCTTTTAATAAAAAACAAGTTATTTAGCAAATGGTAATTAAATTCCTATAGCAAGTTACTATTGAAATGTTATAAGAGCAGATCTATGACATACACCCAACAAGGTTAAAGCACACTTCCCAACCTACATAAAATTGGCAATGACAAAATATGAAAATGGTGAACAAGGTATAATTTTGTACCTCCATGATAGAACCTTCAGAGCTGTAGAGGTTGGCAAGCACAGTGCCTGACTGTGTCTGAAACGAGTTGGTTGTTCCCCGGTGATCCAAATCATGACAGACACATGATACCATAAGTGCTAGGGATTCTAGCGGCCTGAAATTGGTAAAATATTTATGGTCACATATTAGTTATTTTTCATGCATGTATTAATAACTGCATGGAGCTTTGGTGTTGAATGGATGGTTCAAACAGGCCTTGGCACTAAAAAAGTGACAATTTAACAGGCAAAATATTCTGCAAGCAGAAGTAGAAAGGTCTACCCTAATCAAGACATACAGAGTGTCTCAAGGGAAAAGATCAATATTCTGGGAGGTCAGAGTATCAGTCATTCTAAGCAAAAAATTGTACATGTACATGTGTCCTATTCTGAACAGTTTCCAGTATGGAGCTATTACACTGTATAGTTCCAAAATTGTTGAAAAGAGAGAGTACATACTGTTTTTATATCAGTGACAAAGTGAGAAAGTTGGTACAGTTTACCAGTATAATACAACACCAATGCACTTTGCAACTAGAGTGAGGGCATGGCATGTTGCTCGTCTGAGTGCATCTTGACATTCATTCATTCAGGCGATAACAAGAAATAGCTCTATCTCAGAAAATGTTCAGAATAATACACATGTATATGCACACTTTTTTGCTTAGAATGACTGATACTATGACCTCTCAGAATACTGACCTTTCTTCCTGGGACCCCCTGTATTACTTGCTTACTTACGGAGGTGAGTCCTTCTTGAGGAGAAGCCTAATCTGCAGCTACTCAAGAATTTTCCAGCATTTTATGGAACCAGAAGGTTCAGTACTGTGTTCACAAGAGCCCTCCACTGGTCCCTATCCTGAGTGAGATCAATCCAATCCATACCATCCCATCCTCTCTCTCTCTCTCTCTAAGATCCATTTTAATATTGTCCACCCACCTACGCCTTGGTCTTCCCAGTGGTCTCTTTCCTTCTGGCTTTCCCACCAATATCCTATATGCATTCCTCTTCTCCCCCATTCATGCAATATGCCCTGCCCACGCCATCCTCCTTGACTTGATCATTCTAATTATACTTGGAGAAGAGTACAAGTCATGAAGGGGACCCCCTGTATATGTTTTCTAAACTTCTTTACTGTACAGCACACCTCAATGACCTTGATGTTTGTTTAATCATTCATCAACTCCATGGAGCGGAGTCCTTAAAAAAGACAGCAATTCAACAAGAAATAAACTCCTTCCCCCCAGCAGTGACGTAGCGGCATAGGAGCGCTGTCGTTACTACGGTAACAGGCAAGTCAACACTCCTTCCCCTACCCCACCAGCACCCCACCACCCTGCCCTACCCCGCCACATTATGCAAGTGCCTTCAACCTCTTGTTTCTTCTCTTTTGGCCCAATTATTCTTCTCATCACACTGTTCTCAGACACCCTCAATCTATGCTCTCCCCACAGAAGGAGAGAACATCCATATAAAAGAGAAGATAAAATTTAGTTTTGTATATTTTAATGGCATGGAAAAAGATTCTGAAATGGATGGTAGCAAAAATTCCCCAGATTCAACCTGCTCTCAGTTTCTTTGTGAATGTGATTCTGATTTGTTATTGCTGTCCTCAAATATGTGAACTTCACCAAATTTTCAAAGAATGTATTGTTATATTTTAACAAATTTGTCCTGCATTCTGACAATGAAACATGGGCATGGATTTAGATTCGTCTGTATTTATGACCATTTTTTGACCAACCTACTTACAAGTGTCTAGACCTTAAAAGATTTTGGTATTGTCATGTACTACCAATAATTTTTTGTAAGCTGAACATTTATGCTAAACTGGGCTTCATATAAAATTAGTGTTCTTACTGGCTGAAATGTATTGAAATTAAATTCATCTGACTGCTGTTAGTGCAGAACCCCAACATCAAATTTTATCAAAATCACTAAAACTGTGATACTCCCTGAAATTATTTTTTATATATATTCTGTAATTACTTAGACAAAAGGAAAAGAAACCACAATGGTTTGCCATGTCAACACTTCCCAAGTTTCAAGTGACAAATTCTGATGGTTTGTAAACTTACGTGATGAATCCTTGCTTTATAAGGTCCAAATTCTTAATCAGTAGAAATGCAAAGTGAACTGTACAAAATGCATGCCTCCAGTTATGGTATGGAGTGTCTCGATAACCCTTTTCCACAAACAAAATGAATCTGCAATACAAAATGTGTAATTGAATTCAGATTACTTGAAAATGCTGCTCCACTTGCAGACATTATATGTCCAAATGAGACAGATGATCATGAATGTGCAGATAAAGATCTGGAAGATACAGCTGTAGCCAATTTCAAGCTGCCCTTCTGACATTCACCTAGAGACTGGAATAAATCACAGCAATATACAGTAAGAAGCAGTTCCTTCCATCTTACATAATCCCTGAGACATCATGTTCTTGATACATTTACGATCTTCAGACTACTACACAACTCATAATCAGATGAGAGAATAACTGAAGTTAAGTTAAATAAGTGAAGGTCATTCTGAGCTCTGTAAATACTATACATATAGTGATATGGCACTTAAAATTCAGAGTCTTGAAGTCAGAACAATGTTGCAGAGGTATCCACCGCTGAGCAATGTTGAGTACCAATCACCGACAGCCGTGTGAGCATATCATGACCAATTCCTGATGGGCACAATAGTTGAGGAACTGCTGGGGCAATGTTTTATGATCAGTACACAGCAAGCCTATGAGCCAACAGATGAACACCCATTATCAGAGCCTGAAGCTTAGCAAATTGAGTGTAAAGGCACAGCCAACAAGCAAGCATGATATAACAGCTATAAAAGAACAGTGTATACTGTGCAATTATTTATCAACAGACAATTCAGTTTCAGATAAATTTAATTACCAATCCAAACCCCATGTCCATTCACTATCATGTGACAATGTGTTACAGGTAAAGGAGTTACAAATGAGTATAGTAGAAAAATTTGGAACAGAAAAAAACTGTATCATAAAGAAAAACTTCACTCTGTGACGTTGGAAAGGGTAGAACATATACACTTCAAAGCTGCAGAAACAGAGATAAAACACTTGGGAATGTATCACTAATATTCATTTCATTTCATTTCATTTCATTTCATTTCATTTCATTACAAAAGGACTACAAAAATCCATCATCTTCTCTTCATAGGCTTTTCTTTCAGTCTCCCTTCTCTCCATAATTTCTTAAAGGCTTTCCTGTTTGCTCTCCTTTTTTCCAGTCGGCGTCTAATTTGTATTGTCAGGCTTTTAGGTCCTCTTCCATTTTGGTCTGCAGGTGGGTACATAATGGTTCCACCTGATCACAGGGTGCATGTGCGGCTAGCATTTCCATTATTTGTTGCATCATTTGTACCATTTTCAAGGTATGACTACCCAATTCAATCTTCGATCCAATGTAATAATAAATTTTTCCACCGTTTCCAGTTATCATGAGTTTATGCCTGCATGACTAGTGACACCAAATTGTCACATATTTACAGTCGTAACCAGCATTGATGAATCCAATACAATCCAAGCCACCAACTTCTGACAACAACAGTCATGTGTGAGGTGATAAGCGGGATGAAAATGATCGGTTCTAGCTCGCATGATTGGATTTATTGGCATTTTGGTTACAATCTCTCCTAATCACATTTAAGTACAGCACTAACACTGATTTACACTTTATAATTCACTGTTACACATACACACTAGTCCTCTCCTGGTAATGCAATTAAAACACAGGAACTAGTGCTTCAAATAACTACAAATATTGCATATAAAGAAAATATTCAAATCACATTATAAATCCTCACAGGCTGACCTCCTGTATTCTTCTGTACTCCTGGTTCCAATTTGCTCTGTTTGCATGCTTCTGCCACTACTATTTCTCTCTCTATAATGAATTCAAAACTCAGAACTCAGGACTCTGTCACTCACAACTAGTTCCAATTAGCTCTGAACTTACAGCTCACAGTTCTTGTCATATGGCCACAGCACAGACCGCACAGGAAACACAATTCCATAGCTGATAACACAGACTGCACTGAAAACATATCATGTGATATCTTGTCAGTCACCTAGCAATGAGCTATAAACATTGGTTGCATTGTTGTAACGCACTCAACTGAAGGTTGTTTACAGGTTGCTACCTAAAAATGCTCTGTCCATCCACGTTACAATATTATATGTACACAAAGATTAATAATACTTCACTTACTTTACTTCATTTTAGTGATTAACCTAATCTAATATTAACTAACTACTAAGGGCCTTCCGTACATAATGCCTCCTATTTTTTTTAAAGAAAACTACAACAGATACAGAAATCATAATAACACAGTTAAATAGAGCAAGATTTCAGCTACTTACAGCTATTTTTCCACATAATCACCACCATTCGTTATGCACTTTTGGCATCGATGAACAAGAGCCTGTATGCCGTGCCCATAAACGTCTGTGCCAGCAGAGGCTAGCCAATTTCTTACAGCTGCAATGACAGCATTGTTGTCTGGAAAATGTTGCTTACGTAGTCCATCTTTCATAGGCCCAAAGAGATGGAAGTCTGAAGGTGCTAAATCGGGGCTATAAGGTGGATGTGGTAGGACAGTCCAGCCAAACTTTGCAATGTGCGCAGTGGTCACCAAACTGGTATGGGGTCTAGCGTTATCGTGTTGCAAGCGAAAGGTTGTCTGCTTCTCTGGCCTGACTCGGGAAATACGGGCTTTCAGCTTAGTCAGCATCGTCTTGTAGCATTCAGAATTGACAGTCCCTGGCCGTTATCTGCTGATCTGTTCGGATGAGGCGCTGTTCATTGTGAGGAGTGGTAGCTGAGCAGGGACACCCATGGCGTGGCTTGTCGTGCACTTCACTTTCGCCATTTTTGAAACGCACTACCCACCGAATCACTGTGCTGACATCCACTGTACTGTCTCCGTACACCTTTAGCAAGTGTCAATGGATGTCAATGGGTACAATTTGTTTGGCAGTGAGAAATTCAATAACACATTTCTCTTTCATACGCACTTCTATGTCAGACGCCATTTTGGTAGACTGCTATCTGTCGCATGACAACCAAATTAAGAGTACACTGGCGGGAAGGTTCAACCTTTACTACAACACCACCAACATCCAGCTCAGACGTTACATATTAACACAAAAAAAATAGGAGGCATCATATATGGAACGCACCACGTAGTTTAAACAGTGAGTCAACTACTTTCTAGCATAAAAAACCAATTAAACTCATTTATCCTCTCCCACTGACAGGATATCCTGCAACTGGACAGTGTCTTGTACTTACTGCTCAATTATATGAACCAAAAGAACTGTCAGTTGTTGAAACGTTTAGGATATTTTCAAAAACTAAAGAACTGTTTGGTTGTCATAGTTTAAAAACTTAGCCTTTCTTTACTCCAACATGCTGCAGTCTTATGACCCAAAATGCAGATGAGTCAGAAACACATAACTCTTTCCAGTCGTGCTCACCTTGCCAGTGTCTCACGTCTAATGTTAAACAAGACATCAAGTTCCAGATCGGTAAACATCAGGAAAGTATAACAGGCCATTTCTTCCCATGGCAGTGAACGAGGTGAGAATGTGAAGTTACTAAAGTTAGATGTGTTGTGACTATTAGGACAGGCCAGCAAGAGCTCAACATCCTCATCACCAACCTGGTGAGAGAAAAATTGGTTAATCTACAATTCACTGCTCAAAATTGAAACCAAATTTCATACAATTGGTTCCTTTTGTGTTCATTAGTTTATTGTGCACAACATGGTTCTGCAGGTATAACATGTCTGTCAGTTAGGATAACATTTTTAACCCTCTGCATGCCACAAACTGACTATATAATCTCAGATAGCCTGTGTTAAAACTGCCACATCCAAACAGAGCAACTTGCTGTTAGTCAATTAGTAGAGCATTTTTTCAACAGATGGCATCATACTAATGTTTAGAGGAAAGACCAGGGGTGGAAAAATAATGGAAACACAAAGAAATTGAAAAATAGAATTTGTGTTGGTTACACTGAAAGAACTTCAGATGACAACATTGAAGGTTCTTCTTCCATCCATTTACACTTTGTAGTGCTTGTGTCAGTGTACTAGTGATTGTGTTGAGTGACAGTCCATGCAAAGAATTCGAAAATGGGACACTTGTCCGATCTTGAAAGAGGACTGATCATTGATGCATGCTTAGCTGGAGCATCTGTGAAGGACTGTTTCAAAAATCACAGAACTACCTCAGCAGAACTGAATATTCATCTTGGAGACCGTTTCCACAAAAACTGTCTGAAATGAGCTTCACAAATCCAACATTCACGGTAGGACTGCAACTGCTGAACCTCTGATTACTTAAAGTAATGCTCAAATGTAAAAATGGCGTCATTACCATAAAACCTGGACATTGGACAAATGGAGACACGCGTAATATGGTAAGATGAGTTGTCCTTCATGCTGTTCCCTACATCAGGAAGAGTTTACATTCGGAGAACACCCAAGGAGGCCTAACATCTGGAATGCCTGGTTCCAACAGTAAAACAAGGGGGAGGTTCTATGATGGTTTGGGCAGCAATATCATGGTACAGTATTCTGTTTGTCAAATTATTATTATCCTTCATGGCCGAATTACTGCAAAGGAATAAGTGGACAGGTTGGATAAACAAGTGCACCCCATGATCCAGATGTTATTTCCAAACAATCAAGTATTACAAGACAACAATGCTCTCATTCACACAACTGGAACTGTTTACTCATGGTTTGAAGAGCATGAAGGTGAACTGCAACATCTTCCCTGGCCAGCACAATCACCAGATATGAACATCATTGAACTACTGTGGTCAGTTTTGGAGAGTGGGTGAGGAACAGATTCCCACCTCCAACATATCTAAAGCAACTTGAAGATGTTCTTCAAGATTGATATAAAACTCTACTAGGGACTGCTCAAAACTTGTACCATTCCATTCCAAGATGGAATACAGCTGTAATGAAGATAAAAGGTGTTCCAGCACCATATTAATAAAGAAATATGCACATTACCTGTAGTGTATCCATTATTTTGTACAATCCCTGTACATATGACATTTAAATTCATGGTAATGACCTGTAGATATATAACCCTTCAAGAGGGCAGTAGGAAATCATCTTCCACCCCGGTAAATAAGATATCAATCCCTTTTTACATGACCCTCATGTGCAAACCGATAGTGGTTATCAGAAAATTCTCAAAGTTTGAGAATAAAAAATGAATCAATAACTTTTCTTTTGACTTGATGTCGAAAATTTTGAGACACACAGATGCCTAACAAATACTTCTCTGCACATACCTTCATATGGTACATCATGAGCTCATTAATCAGCTGATTCCTAGCCTGAGCTTCTTGTATCTTCCTGTAGACTAAACTGTGCATGATGCTAATGCCACAGTAAGCACTAAATACCATGGCAACCTCCTCATCAAGCACATCAAAATAGAGGCCATTCTTCTTGTTGCAGAGTTGGGCCACACCAATAACGTCTGTATCTTTCCGGATGGGGAAACACAGGATGTTCCTAAAAAGTGTACAAAAGAAAATACATTTACATTCTCAGTTGTTATTGCTTTTTGCTTACAATGAATTCTATCAGACCTTGAAAATGAACATCTTCACATGAACACTAGTTAAAATATGTTAAATAACATAAATAAGTGCATGTAATGTGCATGTGTGGCAACCACCTGGAGTGGCACAGTTCTAGGACAGCAAAAATTTCAGCGTGGGAAATATTTTAGAAACTTTTCTTTGCTTACTATTATGAAAATATTAAATTCTCATAATTTGTTATTGTAACCATTGTCAACAATCTAAACATATAATGCAACAATGTAAACAGAACAGTTTTTTTAAGAATTATGACACCAATGCAGTTTTCATCCCAGTGCATGTGAATGTTGTGTTACTTACTAACTGCAATGAAGTTTTTGAGAAAGTTGATCTGTTTTACATGAGGGTGCAGTGGGGGAGGAATGTGTTGTCACATGGAGTGGCATTTTGGCCCATGCCAGCCCTACATACGTGTGCGTACACATACATGCATGTGCCACACACACACACACACACACACATTGCATTTTGTTGTATGCCATACATCCTCAGATTCCACTGTAAAATGAGCAAAAAATCACATCCTCCAAAAGTTCATTCTTACATATGACAGGCAACCATTGTTTAAGCCATCATCATCAGTGACTTGCAGGGATAGCACGAGTTATAATATTTGAGCATGAGAGGTGAACAGAAGACAAATGGTGGAGTTTCACGAGCATTGTTCTCTCACGTGCTTCACATGCATGATATTGCAACCACGCCAATGCAACAGATAAGACACTGTGTCACGCTAAAGAATCGCTGGCATGACACAAAGTTGAGATCAGAAATTAGGCATGTTGTCTGTGGAATTCATATTTGATATTCTGCTTTGAAATAATCTTCTTATACATCCAGCGTTTAAGGAAAATGTGTTACAGAACATAACCAAGTTCAACAAAATACTTCATATAATAGAAAAAACTACACTTCGTTAACACTTAATCCCACCAACCCAGATTTTTAGAGAAAATGTTAAGGTAATCTGAGGCAGCTACACGAGAGAAACAAAACTGCATTGCCGTGAGCAGCAGATTCCTTAATCACAGTAAAGTGTACACCCGAAGATGGCTGATAAGGCTGAGACATGCAGTGTCAATGAAGAAAAACAAAGCGTGAATAGTAATTAACACTGCACACATACAACACAAAGTCAAAATGCAAAGTCAGATCTATGCAGTGCAACAAGATGCTGCAATAATCGTATAACATTATGTAAAGGCAAAGTTGTTCATATGCTTAACTAATTAAGCACTATGCCATGAAGATGTAGGGGAAAGAGCCCCAGGTACCCATTGGATAGGAGGTTTAATGGGCCCAAGAGGCAGTCTGGACAATGTAAGGAAGAGAAAAATCTTGACCCTAGTGGAACTCAAACTCCAACCACTCAGTCATCCAGCCTGTAGCCAGTAGCTATACTGACTGCACTATCCTTTCTCCTCCAGAGAAAATGCATTACTTTTATAAAAAGATAAAGTAGACAGCAACACTTTCCACAATGAACCACCTTTACAGTCCTCAAGTGAAACATTCCATAATGTTAGAAACTGAAATGTGAGCAAATTCTGCAATAAAATATTGTGTGCGCACTCACGCGCCTGTGCACGCATGAGAGAGAGAAAAGAGAGACAGCCATGCACACATGTAATATTAACATTTCAGTTTCTTTTCCAAAATTAATTTCTGTAAAATCTAAATCCAACCTGTACTATCAACTGTAAAACTTCATGTTCAATATTTGGTATTGTAGCATTATCAGTGAGTCCTTTTATGTCTGTATTAGTGTTTTACCCCTTTAGTGAACAAGCAGAACAGGTCTCTGCATCGATCTTGGTGAAAATAAACTTACCACTTGGTGACATTCTTTTGTCCACTGCAGCTAATTACAAGAAGACAATGCAGAAAAGGGAAGCAATGCAAAAAAGCATTCTTTCCTAGTTATAATGGCAGAATGTTTAATTTCTAAGTTATCTGATGATACTGTTCCAACTACAGATGTTATATAGCATTAAAACACATGGACAGTCATGAACAAATGAAGGATACTGTGACATGATACGTGAAAACTGTAAACGGCTCAGTAAACACATTCCAACAGAAGCAAACACACATGTTATCTGTGGTCGGCGCTGCACTCGCTGCTCCACAGTGGTATGGTAAACACATCTGTGCAGCAGTGAATCAACATGCAACAATAGAGGAAGCGGTGTTTTTTTCTGTGGGTTTTAAAGGTAAAGCTATCCCTGTAACAAGCAGTTGAGGCTCCCACATTTTATAGACAACTGGCTCACATACAGTGGTGAAGTGGTCAGTCTCATGCACCAGACACCCTTTACACCCACAAAGATTTCTGGTTCTCATTTCTGTTAGAGGCTGAGTCAACACCAGACCATAGTGTGGCTGGAAGGATTAAGACAACTTAAAAATCTAATGGCCTCATCATGAATCGTACATACAACTTTCCAGCTTGCAGCATAATGCCTCAACCAACCACACTACCGCAAGGCCCGAATGTGGGTTTTAGGAAAAAAAAAAAATAGAATGGTGTACATTCCTCAAATTTAAGATGCACCTCAATTTTTCAATGTGAAATAATGTGTAAAATAAATGTCTTATATTTGAAGTAATATAATATAGTGTAACCATACACATAAATTGTGGTGCCTGAAACAAATAATAAATTATTCACACACAATATGACATTACAATACACTATTTCTAACAATGATATGGCTAACAGGCTCAAACATAAGAGGAAACAGGGACGATTATTGAGTTGTGACAAGATAAAAACAGCAAAAGTACAAAAAGGCAATTTTAAAGTCAGGTATACCTTGTCTTGAAACCAGTTATTTCATCAATGCCCTTATAAAACAGTGGGTGTGAGTAGGCATTACGAATGTTGAGTACCTCCCCTGTATTTGCCACATGTCCTGCAATACCCTGATTCTTGGCAATACGCATTTCCTTCAGTGTCTAGAACAGAATTGCGTCAAATATAATAATGAACAACATCCTTAACTTGATATAACTCATTTAATGAATCTCTGGGGGAACAGTTTTCTTACACTAAGCTGAGGTTTTCACTGGACAGAGGTTATGCAAACTACCTCAAGAAACTGTTGAGGTAAGATTTGTTATACATAGCCATGATAACATGTTATTTATCTAAGTAAACAAACTATTTCCTCATGAACAAATATCAAATTCACATCTAAAGTAATTAATGACGTAAGAAAAACAATGAATAAACTTCAGTCAAAAATCAAAGTAAGACGGATGCCATGCACCCACACATCCACAGGTGTATTCAAAATGTGGCCACGCCACACACTGTCAACATCATCTTGACTTTCTCCATGACACCTTTGGTCCACATGTGATTTCCGGTAACCATCTTGAATGTCAAGCATTTAGGCAACTTGGTCACCTAACAGCCTTGACATTAATCACCATCATTTCTTTCTTTGTGAATTTATGACAGAAATTCTGTTCCCAAAACTCAAGGATGAAGTTCAAGAATGTGGTCATCCAACTGTGTCGAGAATTTATGGAGTACATGCCATATGGTCATAAAAATATACATTCATCTTTCAGAAGATACACAACAGGAAAACAAACATATCGAAAAAGCAGTGCAGTAATGATAAATTTCTGTGTTTTCATGACTGTGTGCATATGCAAATTTGTACCATTATGTTAGTTACAGTACCCATGTGAAGTTTAAATAAGGGAACATTTCATATACCACCCCCTGCACTCTCTCTATGAATAATTCCCATATGTTTCATGCAAATTATTCATAGATGAATGAGAACACAACTTTTCTCTTGTAGAAGCATGTATAACCAGTCCATGGTCATAAATAAATTTTCAGGAACTGAAAGTAGGAAAGCATTTTTTAATCTGGTATGTAAGGGTTAATATGAGGGCCTGACACACTTAAAACTCAAAATCCCACTCACAGAAGAGGGGAAAGATGGTCCACATAAAAAACTGCACCTGATTCAGCTAGGTTTGACCTTGAGACTTTCTGCACACAACAATGTCTGATGTAATATTACATCAAATATGGATAGTCACACAGTATTTATGTTTTATGTACATACAGAAAAGCCAACATATGGCTGACTGATATTTCGGCAACACATACATAGCAATGCTTCTGAATTCCCAATATGCACACATAATGTACTTGAACTATTCAGCCCCCTTATATCTCACCTCCTTTGATGTTTCCCCATCAAAAATGTTAGCCACCAAATGATCATGTTCTGAATCTAGCAGAAATAATGAGCATCTCTCAGCATTTGTAAGTTTACGTGCCTCCCCCATGATTTCTCGCAATAAATCTGTCAGGTCACCTAGAAACAGCATCAAAATTTTTAAATCACTGACATATCCTGTTCTCTCAGGAGAGACTGAAGAACAGTTGACAGAAGGTTCTGACCAGCTTCACTAGTGATGCTTTGAGCCCCATCAAAAATTTTTAAGCCTGTTTTTCACAGAACTTTAGGATTCAAGCAACAAGTTATAAGAGGAAACTAGTAAGTTTGTTAACTACACTACAAACTTATTATCCATTATTAAAACATGAGGTACTACTAACATCAAATCCTGGCAACAGACAAAAATATTTCCATCCACCACCCATACTGACTAGGAAGCCGGGATGGGGCAGCCGGCATAGAGACTGGCTACAGGCTGAACGACTGAGGGGTTGGAGTTCAAGTCCTAGTAGGATAAAGAATTTTCTCTTCTCCACACTGTCCAGACCGGCTGTGGGGCCCACCCAGCCTCCTATCCAATGGGTACTGGGGGAACTTTTCCTGGGGGTAAAGGGGAAGAGGCATGAAGCTGACCACTTACCTCCAACTAGTGCCAAGGTCAAGAAAATGTGGATCTATACATCCACTCCCCCACATGCCTTCATACAGGGAAAACTTTACTTTACCTTTATTCATACAGACTGCTCACATTCCCAATGTATCCTCCCACCTCTTGTACAGTTTTCCTCACCAAAATTCTGTATACCTGTTGCTGCACCCCAACCATACCATGTGTCAAACACACCAATGACCTCCATGATTCCATATTAGATGCTCCATATCAACACAAAAATTACAAAATAACTTAAAAACCTAACAGTAAAAATAATCTTAACATATCATAATTTTATCTCTGACTTGTGTTTTTATGGCTTACCAATATAACCACATAAACTGATATGTACAAAGAGCAGGCTCATAAAATATCTCAAACAGAGTTAAGTTATCAGTTGTAACTCACCTAAGTGAGAGAAGATGTTTTTTGCAACAGCTAACATAGACTGGCACTGCAGCCTCTTTCGTTTCTCTTCCTCATATGCAAATGTATTCAGCATGGTACCCAGACAGTATCTGTAACCATGCCAAACCACCATAGAATTGCAGCCCATCTTCAATGATTCTGAATGCATAAGCAATTTAACATGTAGAAAAAAGAAACTATAATATTTGCCCAGTTATAAGTTGTATTTGTTTTAATACAGAGTCTGAGTTTTCCAGTCACTATTCAGTGCAGTTCTGAAATAATACTAGTATACTTGTAATTATACTCATCAAACTGGTTTACTGACATTATTATGTGTAACATGGATCAGTACTGACAAATATAATCAGGATTCCATGTTCATCTCCAGTTGTAGAAGTATACAAAACAAATGACAACCTGCTTGTGCTCAGGAAAAAATACATACACATGCCTCAGCAAAGTATTATGCTTTTCTTTATGATTATATGAAAATTTCTCATTACTCAGATGCTAAATTGGGAAAAACAACTCTTTCTATATTTCTCTAAATACTGCACTAAGATGACAAAAAATCTTTCATTCAGGAGCACATTTTCCTCCAGGAACTACATGATACTCTATAACATTTTACGTACAATTGCTTAACCGAATCCTTTGAAGTAAAAGTAAGTAAAGGTATCCTTGTAACAGGCCATGGAGGCCCATAGGGTTGTGAGATGTTTCAGCAACCCTAAATACAAAAAGGGAGGGGGGATTTTGGAATGTCATTTATCTGTCTGTACATGCCCCTCATTAGTACCCGAATAGTTGGACAGATTTAATTCCTATTAGGTATTCAAGAGTTTATCCAACAGAGGTTGGTGCCTTGTGAATATCAACATTCTAGTTCCAAAATGAGGGCACCTTCAGAAAACAAAATGGTCTTTTCTAAAAAATGGGTCTAACAATTCAGATTTAATTTTTGTTATCTGTGAATATCATCGCCCTAAATAAAACTGTGAAACACTTGGGGCCAAAATGCTTATGTAACACATACTCGTACATATCCTTGCTTATATAAGCAATGACCAAGAACGGTCTACTGAACAAAAAAGAATTTCATTTCCAAGGTAATGCAGTCAAGATCAATCTTACATGAGAAAGTATGAACAATGTTTTTGCATGAATTTTGCTACTGTTAATATTCTTAATGTTATGTCTGATGTTGGTACTAAAAATTTTTATAATACTTTCTATCACTGCAATTAGTATTGTTATTTTCTGTATCTACTTTGGTGCTGGATTTCCATGACAAGTTGAATGCAGAAATCATTCTCCCAGATATGCAAGAAAATACAGTAGAACTTGGTTATAACGTCATCAAAGGGACCTAAAAATAGTGTCGTTATAAACGAATGTCGTAACCGAAATGGGCACTTCCACAGTAGCCTTATGTTAGTCACGTAAAAATCTACCAAAAAACGAGTTAAAATGTTGCATTTTTTTAGTGAAATACGTAGTTAAGTACAGACTAACGTAACATTAACGTGGAATTGCCCAAATGTGTAATATCAAAGACATATTACAGCGCTTTTCACTGACAATACACACCGCACTAATACTGTATATTAAAGGTAGGCCTACTCACCAAATTACAGTAGATTACATCAATTGTTGTGCCTTACTGTACCTAGATACGAGTACAGTAATCAGTTATCTTCATCTGTTTCCTGTTACTTGCCCAATACACACTTTCTAAATTACGTTCAATGTCCATATCAGAGAAATTCAGGAATGAAAATGACGTTACATACGAGGTTGATGCATTTGTGCATGTCATACTAAGCAAGGTATAAAAACAGTTGCTTTATGAGGAATTAGTTCGTACCATTGAATATTTGACGCAATAGACAAGGTGTCGCAGAAACCGATGTTGCTATAACCAAGTTTTACTGTACATACGTACAGAGAAAATAAACTAACCGAAATAGTTCTGTTACCAGATTGGCGCATGCAGACTCAGTCATCCCTTTTTCATCATAATCAATAAGGCAGACTACAAGAACTGCATAGTTTTCCTCAGGATGACACACTGGTACATTAAGAAAAGTTCTAGGTTCAGGTTCAATGGTTGCACGTAGATTCTTGAGTAGTTCTATATCCAGCTCAGATGGAATACCCTCAACAGAACATCGACATTGTACTGTTGTGTTCAGATAACTGTCAGACAACTGCAACAAAACCACAGTTTGGCCAAAATCATTTTGGCTGGAAATATTTGACCTTTATTATGTACAATACAATGAGATAATAAATTTTAAAATTCAGCAGCTAAAAAAGTGAAGTGATATTTTATCATGCATACCTTGTGATTTATACATTTCACTGGTCTTGATACTCATTTATTGCTGATACATTTCTAAGAATGCAGATACAAATGTGCCTTCGCAAGTACGCCATATCTCTGCCTTAACTTACAAGTAACTTAGGTCTCACTGGTTGAAATTTTGACATTCTGTATGATACTTCCCCAAGTCCTACTAATGTCCACATTATCATCCAAGTTTTCAAGGCTGTAAACCTGGGTAAGATTTCATTTTCATACTGTTCTTTAACTTATACATCATTTAACTTCTTGAAATTAAATCTTTCCATATCACATTTTTGTGGTGGTCATCTGTTCAGCAAGAGCCCCTTTTTAATTCCTGTATCATCCCATCGTGATGAGCACCACAGTATGGTCCTCCAGAAGATTGGACAGCAAGTACACTTGAATGCAGTCCGTGTCACTGATCTGATTACATCCTCCGATCAGGAAACAACCAAATGTCTTCACAAATGTTGTGATGAGAGAATATTGTATGGCTTCTCTTGACAGATTTCTGCATTTGGTAAAATTTACTGTTCTAATCCCATTACCATACATGGTTTTATGTAAAGTTTCATTCCAAATTATCAGTTTAAAAATATTTTTCTCTTCTTACATTTGCATTTAAATCTATCAAAATTCTCATGTTGTATTTCAGGTACTGACTGAATATATGTCCTACTTCCTCACAGAACTTTTTTTTATCGTCACTACTACTACTCCCAGTTAGTGCATGCTCTTTCAGAACATTATCACAGAAACTTCCTCTTGAATATTACATATGACATCCTATAATTAATAAATTCTAGCCTCTTTTTAATAGAAGAATGCTGTCTTCTGGGATGTGGCACCGTGTAGATATTGTGCGAATTGACGTTTCGGAGGAATTTATCGCCTCCATCTTCAAGGTAGAAAAATCTGCCAGGTAGGAACCAGCATGAGCAGGTGGCTGCATGCTGGTTCCCCACTCGTGGATTTGTCAACCTTGAAGATGGAGACAACACATTCCTCTGAAACATCAGTTCACACAAGATCTACATTGTGCCACATCACATGAAAGAGCATTCTTCTTAATCACCGCTGTGAAAATCTCAAATCTTACTCTTTTTAATAGTTGATGATTCCCTTAGGCATGAAAAAGTACTTACATTTCAACACAAAAATGTGATGAATACTACCTGCTAGTTTAGTACCACAACTATCTCATCAAGATATCTCAACAAGTTTATATTTTGCTAATTCTCTTAGTAATGCTTTCCTTATCCCTGACCTATAGCAACTCCTGACATTTAGATTATTTCACAGAATTTGCCAAAGTCTGCAATCCTGTGTAAGACGCTAGATTTTTATGGTGAAAGCTATCATTAGCATGAAGTATCATCAGGTTTTCTTTAAAGTAGTTCAGCAATTAGTCTGCCACCTAAAAGGGCACATTTTCAAACTGGGACTGACAGATGACACAACTTGTGAAAGGTGCCTACAAGAAGATGAATCAGCCACACACATCTTATGTGATTTTGAGGCTATATCTCATCTATCACCACCTGGGTCAATTCTGCATGGAACCAAATGACTTTTATGACGCCTCCATAAATAAAGTCCTACATTTCATTCGAAGAGTTGTATTAAAAAAGGGTTAGTTAGTTAGTTAGTTAGTTAGTTAGTTAGTTAGTTATTAGAGAGGGTGGGTTTCCCCATGCACTTAGACCTGTAGTGGTCCATTGTGCTTCCCTCTAGATTTCTACCAGTCTCTATATCCTACCGGTATTGGTGCTTACCATCAGTCCCGCCCAGCCAGCGAGACCGGCTCTCAAATGGCTGAGAAGTATCTATAATGCTTCCCCCATCTACCGGAGGTATTAGTGACTGCTGTTGGGCAGCAAACGTCCGCAATTTTGTCTCAGTGGCCTCCTTTGGAGGTATGAGGTTCTTTTACGTGCCGTAAAGCTATGACACGGGACCCACGGCTTAAAGTCCCTCCCGGAGGACTTGTTCCCTGAATTTTTCCGCCCTTAAAAATTCGACGACCTCCACCGGGTATTTGAACCCGTGTACTACGAGTCATGAGGTGGGAACGTTACCTCTAGACTACGGAGGCCGCTTAATAAAGGGTTAATCCAAAGGGAAGCGATCATTGAAGGTCGCAGTGGGAGAACCGGTTTTCATGGCTCACCCCTCATCCTCATACTCATACTCAGCAATCTGTGAAGTGTTGTAATAAAACAAAATACCTTGAAATCATCTGCAGGTTTCAATTATTCATACATCTTACCCCCTTCATTAGCCCTAAATTCAGGAGCTCACTGATTGGAAATGAAAAATCAAATCAAAATGTCAATAATGAACAGATTAACATTGGGAATGCTTGTTGAAATTCAGTTCTGAATCTTTTCTTCTCATTTACTATCTAAAAATGCAGAGTAAAATACCCAAAACTATAATTTCAGCCATACTTTTGTGTGGGTGTGAATCTTTGTCTCTCACAATAAAGTAAGAACATAGTGAGCATGTTTGAGGGCATGCTTAGACCTAAGAGTGACAAAGTGAGGGGGGTCTTGAAGAAAACTGCATAATGAAGAGCTTAGAATTTGTTCTCATCGTGCATTATTAGGATAATTAAAGAAAAAAAAAATGTAGCACACGCATGCGAGACATCGGAAATCTGTGCATGATTTTGTTTGGGAAAATCTGTTGGAGAACATCATTTGGCAGACCTTTACACAGATGGAAGGTAAATATTAAAATGGATCTTAAAGAAATCTGATGGGAGGGTGTGGCTTGGATTCGTTTGGTTCACGATAGGGTCCAATGGTGGATGCCTGTGACCATGTTAATAAACCTTCAGGCTCCACACAAGGAAGTGAATCTTGAGATTTTAATTCTGATGCATATGCCACATTGGTAACAACAGAAGGTCCTCTTCTAACAGTGGCACCAACCCCTATAAATGAACTTATGCACTGAGTTATAATAACTCACGAATGTAGCTTCTTTTGAGTACACTTCCATGTGTTCAACTTACTGGAAATCTCATTTCCTGTTGAAGAACTTTTTCACCAATTACTTGAACTACAGCTTCTTCGGTCTCTTTTAACAGTGGAACCAAAAAGACTGTTGATGAGCCAGTCTGTTTCTTAAGCTGTGGAATAAATTTATAGTTAAGTTTACAAAAACAAACCGAGCAAGATCCTTATTAATAATAAGATGAAAGTTACCATCTAAGTGTATCTAGATATACAAACACAAAAATAGCACCTATATGGTATCTAGATATATTTAAATGTTAACTTACATCTTGTTTTAACACAAACAGTATACTGGAAAAATGAACCCTATCAGAACCATCCATAATGCTGTTTACTGACTATCAGTTTTGTCTTCTGCATAACTTTAAATGTGTTTTATAGCAAAAACATTATGGTGTTTTAAAACTATACCAGTACCAAACACAGATACAAGTTGGAGATAACCAACTGTTACCCCAAGTACAGTGCATTAATAAATGTTCCCTTAAAGCAGGCCCATAAAACATGATGCAAATGCATACATCGGAGGACATATGACCATAAATATTACTAAACAATTAAGACAATTGAATAAAAAGTACTGTAATGTTACTACTGTTTTGACCACCTCAGCAGGGTGGGCATTACATCAGAAACAAACCAGCCAACTCCATAAGACTATATATTTCACAAACTCTTCTTTTACACTTTTTGTTATATGAAAATTAATTTCTGCTGATCCTCTGTTCATACTGTAGCCATTAATTGATTGATTGATTGATTGATTGATTTATTTCGTCACTGTAGATCATTGTACATGATATATGACAAGTCAAGTTAATTCTGAATATTAACAATTTGATATATAAGTAGATTAAAATTACAATAGTTACAATTTTTTACATTCTTATTTGTGGAGAATTTGATGTCAACAACTTAAAAATTTTATTAATCAATGTCAATAAAACTGTTTTTACAATTATGACACCAATTACAGTTCTCATGACATTATTCTGAAGGAGTTTTGTGAAGTTTTAGTCACCTGCAGCATCAATGGATTTGTGTCAGTTTACTCTTGGAAGTAATCAACACTGCTATTACTACTGCTACAACAATTCAGTTCAGAAACTTACATGGTTATTTATTTTAATCTGCATTTCTCGAGCATTTCTGTCGTACAGAGTTGAGCATAGCTGGAGTATGCTGGCTGGATCACTTGACACATGCTTGAGTGTTGAGCAAGCCATAATTGCATAATTGAGGTTATGTACACCATTAATACCTTAATCTCGTTTGTTACATGTCAGGTCACATTGTAATGATTTGTTCATCTGCTTATTTTCCCTTGTGTCTTTATAGGTGCTGAAATTACCTGAAAATAACAAATGTCATTCATACTATGGCACAAAAACTTGTCCAAATTATTAAGTTCTGAAATTTCCAAACGTTTTATCAATTCTTAATATATTGTAACATACTCCTACACCTTCTACCCCTTCCACCCTTTCTACTTACTTACATGGTAGGTTAGAAATATATTGTAATGTCTGTGGTATGATCAGAATCACGGATCGCCAGAATTACTTCCCTATCTGCGCTTATCACCACTGTTTACACCACAGATAGGTCTACTCAGGCAAGCAACAACATTACTTCATGTGGGGCTTAAGAGTTCTCACAGCGGTTGTTACTGTAGTCCGTTTAAGTCAACCGACGTTTCGGAGGGCCATACAGACCCCATATTCAGGGTCAATGAATAGCTGAGCAAGAAACCAGCGTGTAAAGCAAGCGGCAATCTCTACTTCCCTTCGCGTTGATTTCTTGCTCGGCTTATTCTTCGACTCTGAAGATGGAGGCGATATATTCCTACGAAACGTCGGTTAACTTTTAATGAACTATTCAGTGTTATATCACAAACATCACTACATGTATATTGTGAGGAACACACATATGGCGATAGGCACAGATCGTTTTAAATCAGTAGGAACTACCGTTAAAAAATTCTCCGAACTGCTGCTAAATGTATAAAAAGAAACTAAAAAAATAAAAAAGTCTGTAATAAATTAAGAACAAAGCAGGCTCAGTGTGTGCGCTATTTCTGTTATTTCTCGTTAAGTTTTGCGCGATTTGTTTGCCACCAAAAAAGCTGTCTGCTGCGGGTGGGAATTTTGCCGGCTAAAAAATACCACCTCTCCTCTTACAGCGTAAGAAAATACTCCAAGACCTGAAGTAAATTTGAGATGTATGATTCGTTAAGGGTCATTTTAATGTATTTGTAGTGTTGTGCATGGAATTTTAAGTTTCAGTATTTGTCCTGCACTATTATGTACTAACACCAGAATGGCGAACGTTCCGCATTTAGTAGTGGCCATCATCGGTAGCTATGCATTGTGTGTTGTGTAGATTTGCTTCAGAAACCTTTCATGCGTAACAGACATCCTGTTAGAAATTCTCAGTTTAAGAAGGCGATCAGAGATGATCATTCTTTCTTCCAATAAGAAAATCTGAAAACAGTACAATAAGAAGCCAATTATGCCTTAAACAGCAATACTGCGTACGCCTTTGACAATCTGTGAATCTACAGTTCCAGTAAGACTGAAGGCGTTTCAGACCTGTAATTCACCAGGCAAAAAGCTGTTTCCTCAACATATACATTGTTTATAGTAAGATATAAAAATATAACCGACATATGTTAATCTTAGAAGATAAAGGTTGATGTTTAAATATTTAATTTTAGCTACGCTGAGGAAGAGGACTTGTGTTAAGAAGGGAGATGTTGGTTATTCCACAAAAGGCAATACCAGGCACATAATCCATATGCGTTGTTAAAAAGGCGAGATTCCTGTTGAACAAAAAACAAAACAAACTCTGTGGCTTTAGTCCCCAAGCGAACTATACCGACAGAGCAACCGCCGCTTGTCGGTGAAGTTAGTGCCAACTTTAATAAGGATGTCGCGTGGTCAGCTCAACGAATCCCCACGGCCGTTAATTTCGGGTTTCTAGACCGGAGCCGCTATTTCCTTGAAATAGTTCCTCACTTATTCTCACGACACTGAATGGACCTCATTCAACACATAAGACAAATTCATGTTAAGTTTATACACATAGCACATGTTCTCCAGCATGTTTAGGGAAATTTCAAAATCACCTGTGGGGGATCTGTTTACAGACAGGAGTACAAAGAGTTTCGTACAAATTTTGTAGATTGTGTAGGTTAGGCCTGTACACAAGAGCTATCCTCTTGCCAGTTTCATATGCCGATCATGATTTCCACTCATTGCAGACAGAAATATATTGTGAACAAAGGTAATCAGATACTCGGGTGAACCTAATTTTGGTAGATAATAATAATGAACACTTTGCACTTTAATAACAGCCACTGAGAAGAGATCCTTTCAAAGAGAAGAGACCTCTATACTTGTCACGGAATTGTTTGCTAGACCACCATAATGCACTAGTTTCGACCACTTAGGTGCAAACCAATCATCCGATCTGGAACCCGTATTTTCGTCATGCGTACCATCCTACACGTGACAGTATTTTGCCTCATCATAAGCTGAGCGTTGTTGGAATCTCTCGTTTCGCAGTTACCTAACCAACAGATAGTCCCAGACGGTATTTCGGGAACTCTGACATCACCTTTTGAAATAATGTCCTGTGTTCCTGAAGGATGACCGCCTCTATGGTATAGTGGTCAAAGTTCCTGGCTACAGATTTTCTGAGAAGTAGTGGGTCTGGAATGGGGTTCACTCAGACTCGTGAGGATAATTGAGGAGATATTTCAAGGAAATAGCGGCTCCGGCCTAGAAAACCGAAATTAATGGCCGTGGGGGTTCGTTGCGCTGACCACACGACACCCTCTATCCGCTAAAGTTGGTACTAACTTCGCCGACAAGCGGCGGTCGCTCAGTCGGTATAATTCACTTGCGGACTACAGGCCATGGAGTTTGTTTTGTTTGTTTGTTCATGAAGGATCTCTTCTGTGGCCTCTGTTTGTTAATGACCTCTTTGATTCAATTAACTATTATAGGTATTTGTTTTTTGCTGGTGATATAAAAATCTATCGTGCCATTAACTTTCCTAAAGATTGCAATCTGCTAGTCTTATATTGATACTATACGAGACTGGTGCGCGGCTAACTATATGAAACCAGGATTAGTAAAATTAAAGTTATATCCTTCTCAAGGAAAATTAACATACTGATCTACGAGCATAAACTTAGTCAGCTCTCTTAACCCGTATCGACTCCTTTAACCCAGACACGCCCGAAACTACTTCCAGTCAGTTTTTTACTTTTATTTGTATCTCTGTAATCATTACAACACAACGAACACGCCTACATGATTAGTATAATATAGCCCATTTTCCTTGTTTTGAAAAAGTAAAATCACCTTGCTGTGTGTGAGTCTCTGTGCCTGTGTATGTGTGTGCTGCCCCCCCTCCCAAATAAGCCGGAAGGGTGTGGAGTCAGAAAACACGGCAATTCCTAGACAATGGCTCTGTAAACACATCCTTGCGGCAACGAAAACGCACGCGACAGAAGAACTGTTGGGCGCTGTGTTTTCTATGCGATCCGTTTCGGTATCAAATAATCAATATGTGGTGAAAGGATCCCGTGTGGAGGCGGGTTCGAATACCTCCACCGTAGCCCTGTGGGTAGTAGGAGGAGTCGAAAATGGAACCCAGTGTCTGGGGGTATAACTGGACCGTCCTGTTCCTAGAGTATATAAATACGGTGACCTGACCCTCCAGGTTGGGGTATCCTCGAATCTGAGATAGTATAAATATGGTCACGAGTCCCGCGGCACTGGGACCTGATAATGACAGAGCTGGTGAGGACCAGCAGCAATTATAAACGACAACTCTATCCTATCATCAGAGTGGATGTCACATAAGGACAACGAAATCAAGTGTTCAGTTGAAAAAAAAAACGCTAGTCGTGAGTCTTAAGGGGCTTGTCGCCACGACGAACTGATTGACGGTTAACCGCCAGTTGTAAAGTAACTCTAAGTCTGATACCGGCTCTGACTCTGACTCTGAAAGAAGAGATTAGTTCTTCCCAGAACTTCTTACTTTCAACGTAGAATAAGGAGAAATAGGACATCCTGTACATAGGGCATCAGGAAAATATACAAATACAAATTGCTTCTTCGTACAAACACACTTATGAAGATTATAACGTTCTATATTTTCATCAGCCATGTGGCAAGCTGGTTTTTTCCAACATTTCGACATCTTACTTTGTCTTAACAATCAGAATGAAGTTTGTGTCTGACACATGATCATCTCATTCCTTTGAAACACAGCTGGTGGGGCTTAGAGACTTCCGCCAAATATGATTCTGCAAGAGCTTCAGATATATTACTGAACAGAAAACAACGTCTCTCATAATGCAGTATGAAATTATACAATAAAACATCTAGAAATCACTCCACAAAACTTTTTACATGCCAATTTTCAGACTTCTTTATTTATGTGATATACTATAACAAAACACTTCACGTGGATTCCAGCATTCTAACGTGAAATGTGTGTTTACACAGTGCAGCAGTGATATCCCGATGCAGGACTAAAATGTGTGAAGTTACGGTCTTTCGGAACCGTAGAAATCGCCGTTCTAACATAAAGAGCTTTTAATAAGTTCGTTTCCTCTGACAGTAATGCAACTTCCACAAAGTGACAGGTCACAGATTTGTATATGGACGCGATGCTAACCGATACGGCCTTGCGTGTAGTTCAGTTACTCCTGCTATCGTGTGATAAAACAGCCACTAAGTAACCTGACATTATTGCTTTTGTGTGTTCAGGTATTGACTAGTGAACCAAAAGTGTGCTATAACGAGTTGCAGGCCATTAATGTGGAAGAAATCGCAGAGATTACTGCATCCATAAAGAGAAATGGCAACTTCAACTAGTAATAGCGCGTCGGTAATGGTAACTAGAATGGAGCAGATAATCAGGTAAGACACTGGCGATTTCAGAAGATAGCACTATGGTGTTAACGAAATAAATCATCCGGCAATTACTTGGAGATCTTACGAGGTTGTTAAAAACACACTGTGAATGTAAAAACGGAACAAGTTCTCGTGTGTAAGTGCATAGGCATCTTAAAATAAAAAAGTTTTCCTCTGCTTTATTAAACATCGCGCCATTAAGATTTGTGTGTGGGAGGGTGGGGGGAATCAGAGGTATAACTCCGCGTATATGGATACATAACTCGGCATTAAGCTGGGGCCACAGGAGCGCACAAAATGCGTCCGTTGTAACGAACGTACTTTATGACGGACGTTGCTGAGGACACCACACAGCTGCAGAATGCGGTGCGTAGTTTTTTGTCTGCAATGGAGCCAGAAGAAAGCGTAGCATTCGCCTCTCTTGTGTATTTCTACAACGGACGTCACGACGTTCTTTACAATGGATGCATTTAGTGCCCTTGTGTGGCCCCAGCCAGATGGAGCTGGGTGGTCAGATTCGCTCTTCGGTCGCTTTATATCCATGGACAAAGCGCCAATACTCATTGGATAGGTGGATCCCAGAACTGGCACGGGTACTGTGGAGAAGAGAAAGTCGCTTATCCCTGCCAATAACACAATCCCGATCCTTCGGTCCTCGAACCCGAGTCCTGGTCGCTATACCGACGAAGATATCCCAGAAGAAAGCAGTCTTCTGGGATTTGGCACCGTGTATATGTGGTGTTAACCGACGTTTCGGAGGAACGTATCGCCCCCATCTTCAGGGTAGAAGAAAAAGTATAAGAAATCTGCAAGCGACAACACCGTGAGAAACGGTAAAGCAGACTGTCTGCAGATTTCTTATACTTTTTCTTCTACCCTGAAGATGGGGGCGATACGTTCCTCCGAAACGTCGGTTAACACCACATATACACGGTACCAAATCCCAGAAGACTGCTTTCTTCATAGTCACCGCCGTGAAAGCCTCAAATCTTAAGAAGATATCCCAGTTTATGACCTTGTTAAACCGTACTATAAATAGTAATGGAATAAGGAACCAGGTAATTAAGTCCATTTGATGTTCATGGGAAATAACAGGATATTTTAAGAACAAAGAGTGGTAAAATAATTCGTTAAGATATTACAATCTTATTAGCTCGCACTGTGGCAAAAAGAATGGATTGAGGTCTGATAAAAAGTAAAAGGTAAAAAAGGTAAAGACATCCGTATAATAAGGCTTGAAGGCACATAGAGTTGTGATACGTTGAGGCTCCCACATTTTCTAGATCTAGACAATCAGCTCACAGATGGCGCTGAGGTCAGCCCTACTCGCCCGTCGCCCTTTACCCCCCAGGAAGATTCCTGGTATTCAATTGTGTTAGAGGCTGAGTCGACCTCAGGGCCATAGTGCGGCTGGAAGGGTTAGGTCAATTGAAAAATCCCATTATCTCATCGGGATTTGAACCCGCGACCTTCTGGCTTGCAGCATAGTGCCTCAACCTGCTACGCTACCTCGTGCTCCCTTGATCAAAAAGTATGGAGACTTAATTCATTATCTCAGGTAAAACTGCACTGCGCAGAGATCGGACTGTGATAGACGTGTCCTAACACGTTATTCCATGGCTAGGCGTGTTTACAGCTCATTTCACTGCTTCAGTCGCTAGAAGCCTGCGTTGAACTTCAGAGCGTTTTGTGAGGTGTCGATTTGCCGATGCAGCACAGTGCAGTCAGTGCGTGCGTTGAAGTACGTGTACGTGAACACTGCAAAAATGGCAACAGAGACGTATCAGCTGTTGGAGATAACATTTTAACATGCAACAACGAGATGACAACGACTTTCGTAGCAGATAAGGCCGCGCCATAGCTCAAGCTGTTAGTAGCTGGCTTCCCACCGCGGCGGTCCGGGTTAGAGCTCGGATCTGATCAAGTGGGATTTGTGGTGGATAAACTGGCGCTGGGCAGGTTTTCTCCTAATACTTTGGTTTCCCCTGCCAATCTTCATTCCACCAAATCTCCATCATCATAATCACCCGGGGCAGGTACAATAGGCCAATCAGTGGCCGACGTGCCGAGTGGACTCAGCTGGACTCCACCTCCCACTATGCGAATTAATTAATTCGTAGCAGATACGTCGTTCTTGAAAGGGACGAATAATTGACGAAAGTAAGGAAACAGTAGGAACGATATTTTTAGCCCAAATTAGTATTTTTCGTAAGAAATGAAATAAGACAGACATTTAGTAAAGCGGCTGAAGAAGTAGACGTTACCTACGGCTCATATCAGGCTATTTTAACCGAACATTTGGGGAGCAGTCGCGCCTAAAGCCAGTCTGTTCCGCAACTACTGAAGCAAGAAGAACTCTGTGGTTTTAGCCCTCAAGCGAACTATACCGACGAAGCGACCACCGCTTGTCGGCGAAATTAGTGCTAACTTTAGCGGATAGAGGATGTCGCGTTGTCAGCGCAACGAATCCCCACGGTCGTTAGTTTCGGTTTTCTAGACTGGAGCCGCTATTTACTTGAAATAGCTCCTCAATTATCCTCAGGAGGCTGTGTGGACTCCGTTCTAGACCCACAACTTCTCAGAAAATCTGGTAGCGCCGGGAATCGAACCAGGACCTCTGGATCTGTAGCCAGGAAATCTGACCACTAGACCACAGAGGCGGTGAAGAATGAACGGAAATAAACTCCTAACATGTGAATTACGATCTGCTTGAATGTGCAGAAACCGATGGAAACCTATTACGAATATCACAACAGGCAACGAATTATAACCTCGAAACTGAGTAATAGTCATCATAATAGAAAACTGCTTTATCGCCATCACTGAAAACAGGTCTCCAAGTGCGTAGCAAAGCCAAATTGATGGCAGTTGCTTCCTTCCATTAAGCGGACGTTGTCAGCCTTAATATGTTCAAAGTCAGAAAGTAATGTACATTACGTGTTGAAGCTCCATGATACAGTTCTTTGTTTAAGATAGCTAAGGTGGGTATTCGGTGAAAGGGAAATTCATCAAGACATCGGATTCATCCATTCGACATAAATTATGAGAATTTTTAGATGAACGGAGGCACAAGAGAAGTGACCACATATTCGCCAGTTGGCTTCCTGTATCAATTTCTTGCTTACGACTCATAATAACGAAAATAGAAAGGAGAAAGATTCCACTGTGTAAACAATTGAAAATAGGGCAACAGGACAGCTGTTGTTGATTAAAAGACGTGGCCTGAGAGGTGCTTTCAGCACTGCCAGGAACGGCGGAATAAGTAAGTACATGCCGATACAGTTCTTTGTTTAAGATCGCTAAGGTGGGTATTCGGTGAAAGGGAAATTCATCAAGACATCGAATTCATTCATTCGACATAAATTATGAGAATTTTTAGATGAACGGAGGCACAAGAGAAGTGACCACATATTCGCCAGTTGGCTTCCTGTATCAATTTCTTGCTTACGACTCATAATAACGAAAATAGAAAGGAGAAAGATTCCACTGTGTAAACAATTGAAAATAGGGCAACAGGACAGCTGTTGTTGATTAAAAGACGTGGCCTGAGAGGTGCTTTCAGCACTGCCAGGAACGGCGGAATAAGTAAGTACATGCCGAAGGAACATATCTTGATGGCAACTAACTTCTTACCCTTGCAAATGTAGTATCGAGATGTTCACATATTCTCACTATACTTTTTGACCAGGTTGTCGGGTTAAGAAGTAACGGCTCATGAAGACACTGTTATGGACATTAGAAAGAAAGAAATCGTTAGGTACATAAGTCTTTGAAGACAGCAATACCGTTGTTAAGAGCTGGATACTTTGTCTTGTAAGTATACAGCGATCTTAGAAGATAGCGGTATGATTTGGTATAAAAACTGAATGATATCGGGTGAGTATAATAAAACAGTGTGGTTATAATAAAGAAATAAATCGGAAACCAGGTCAGGTAGTCATCTCTGAAGATAGAAATATTATTGTAAGAATGGCTTGAGGCTCTGTTGATGTCTTGATCTTTCCAAATTACCCACCTTCCATTATTGATCGTTCACCACTGGTTTACAGGATGGGTCACTGAGTAAATGCAAAAGATCGCAAGAAATAAATTATTAATTGCTCTGTGTTTGCAAGAACATGTCTTAGGGCCCCTGGGTAACTTTTACGTTAGAAAGATTCAGACAATCTTGATAACTTAGGGTTTTGATGAAGTATGTATATCCACGCAAGAGTCCAATTACAAGACTTCATTTTTGCTAAGTTATCATGCAATATTTCAACTGTCGTGACATCCGATGGCCGAACAGGTGAATATGTACATGTATATGCAACTTCTGACATTCACGTTCATCACAAAAAACTCATATTAATGAATACCTTAGACGGTTGGCGAACCTGCTCCGAATCTCACCTTCACAATCTTCTTCACAATTCCCATGTGAAATTTCATATCCTAACTAAAAGCAAACTATAAACATTAAGCATTGCCTCTCACAAGTTCTCCTACTAAATTACAACTCAGAGACTCTACAATTAATCACTAACGCCAAAGAACACGTTAGTTGATACAACGTGGTTAAAAATTTAATAAGCGTCTTAAATCATAATTTTGAGGCTGTGTGTATCTGTAGCCCTACTATATTCCAACAGCGTTTTCTGCATATTATTTCTAGAAAATTTTGTATTACACTTTGCTTACGGCGTATGTGAAGTGAACATAAATACATAACAGACTGGCAGAAGTGAATGTAAGTACATAAAAAGCTGGAAGAAGTGAACATAAGTACATAAAAAGCTGGCAGAAGTGAATGTAAGTACATAACATACCGGCTGAAGTGAATGTAAGAATATAACAAGCTGGCAGCAGTATAATAGAAGTGTGAATATATTAGCTGAATAGAAAATCAAGTGCGTATATTGATAGTCATTATATTGTAATATATATGAATTGTATTGTAGTATATATTGTAATATATGAATTCATATATAAGCCGGTGACGGTAGCCGAGCGGTCCAAAGCATACACTGTCTTCGCTCGCTCGAAAGCCTGTATCGTGAGTTCGAATCCCACTCAGGGCATGAACCTCTGGTGTTTGTGTGTGTGTGTGTGTGTGTGCGCGCGGGCGCGCGTTTTTCTCTGCTTGTGTAAAGGTAGAGGCCTTACGACGTGCAGATTACCCACCCGAGGTGTCCTACCGAATGTCTAAGATCTAGTAAACCGAAGTGAAACGGAGAGTTTCATGGAGGTAGGCCAAGGCCCATATTGGGGCTGTAGCGCCAAAGGAGAAAAATTAATTCATAAATAAAGCGCAATTCAATAGTTTAAGAATATTCGTTAATGTGTACTGCCTGATGATGACTTTATAAGCTGAAAAATGTAGCGCATTGCCATAGTATTAAGACCAATAAACTCACTATTCACAGTGAGATATGAATAAGATTTTGATAGTTGTTGTGCCGAGAAGGAAACCAAGTTATATAGAATAACACAACAAGATGCATTCTTTGAAAATCATAATCCCCGTCCGTCTCAACACACTTAGCCCAGCAGTCCACAAGCTTCTTCACGTGTTGATGAGTGAGAAGCATCGCAAGCACCGCATTTTTCACTTCTTGGTCACTGGTGAAGTGACAGGCTCTCAGAGCGTCTCTGAGGGAGCCAAACAAATGAGGATCAGGAGCCAGATCAAGACTATACAAAGGATTCTTCTACACCTCAAACTTCAGCGGAGTGAGTAGCAGTGTGCGGACGGACATTATCGTGCAACATTGGAACGCATTTCCACAAGAGACCTCGGCGTCTGGTTGGAGTAATTGGTTTCAGCTAGTCCCGAATCATCTCACTATAACGGACACTTTTTACTGTTCTTCCCACTCTTGGTAGTGTTCCAAAGAGGGCCCTTTTGTATAAAAAATGTGTAATCGATTTTCTCACCATTGGTTCAGTTTTGAGATTCCTTTTGATTGGCCATGTCACGTGTTTCCATCCAGTGCTCTAGAGTTTGCTTTATGGAGCATAACGGTGCATCCATGTCTCGTCCTCAGCGATAATGCGTCTAAAAAACGTCTCCTTTGTTACTATAGATTCAATAGGCCTTGGCAGATTGTCAAACCGTTGTACTTGCGTTCTCCTGCAAGTCATTCTGGGACCCATACCGCAAATAGTTCTGTGCTACTGCTTTTGAACATGCTTATCCATTCGTACACACTTCTCTGCGGTAAAACACGGGTTCCATACTGTGTTGAAAGTCAGCGAAGAATTTCTGACCCTGGTACATCTTCAGGCCACAAAAATCATGTGTCTGCACGCTGTTCTTCTTTGATACGCATGGAAAGAGGAGGGACCATATAACTGCTGAGCTGGCAATAAAGCTGCCGGGTAAAGGTCGAAATTATTTCGCAATTACGTAGGAAGTTCGTTCTTCTACATGCGCGCAAAGTAAACAGTGCAGCCGGCACAAGCTTTAAAGTAAATCATCGCAGACTTTTTGACTCACCTACACAAAAAAGATCAACACTCCTCTTATTCCGCCTATATATATGTGTGTGTGTGTGTCTGTGTGTGTGTCAGGAGTCATATTTCATAGCAGTATGTATAAATAAGGACATATTATATCAGTTGCTCACTTAAGCATTTTACATTTTACGAAAATCGACGGTTCATTGCCATGTCCACAAGACCTCGCCACTAGTCCCTATCCCGAGCCAAAAGAATCTACCCCATGCCATCCTATCCCATTATTTAAGATCGACTTTTTACAATATTATATTTAAGCATCCTGTTGCACTCTACACGATAAATATCAACGACAGATATCAACGAGGTAGATGTTGATAATAACGAAGAAAATAACAATGTGTTTTTTAAATGTTAAATTTTAGACTGGGTTCAGTTTGGCAGCAACGTAAGAGTATACACCTGATGATGGCCGTTAGAGGCCGAAACATGTAGTGTAGAAGAGAACAAGATCAGACATATAATATATATTGTTTGCACTTGTGACGGAGTTTGTATCATTTATCGACTTTATTATTTTCCTCCCACCTACGTCTAGGTTTCTCTCTAGTGGTCTTTGTCGTGCGTCTCCTTCTTTCTGGATTTCCCACCAAAACCCTGTATGAATTCGGTAAGTGTTATTTCGCAATTGTATTGCTATTAAGTTATCCACTCCCTCATACGCCTTCATGGCGTGATGCTTAATTAGTTAAGCATAGGGACAACTTTACTTTTACCTACCTAATATAAACCTGTCCCCTGATAACAATCCACGTCTCAGCACTATAAGTCCATTTATCCAGCCATCCACACTTCGGGGTGCTTTGGCATGACCTCTTCAAGGGACAGGAAAAAATCGCGGCGCACTGGAACATTTTCTCACCAGATGCCTCAAATTCGTTGACACTGATGGCAGCAAAACTTTCCCCTTTAAATTTCATGTGGCTTTATGCCATCGTAATAATTGATATAAAAGACTTCTGTCTCCAGACGAGTGGTTATCATGCTGGCAGATGTGATATTACTGTACATTTCTACATTATTGTGACTGCTGAGATCGAATCCAGAGTCTTTTGAAATAGGCTACCACGCTGAGCCACCAAGAAAATATTTCGTTACTGAAATAGTTTAAAATTGTTCTCCTACAGCACTGGCCCGACCAGAATCTTGGAGTCAGTACCAGAAAACATAATTTACGTCGACTCTGCTTAAGAATACTTTATCAAATACCTGATGCTGCAAACCTTCAGTTCTGTAACAGGTTTCAATACGTGTAGTTCATATTATAACACATTTGTAAGCGCGGAAATCTACTTCAGAATAGGTCGAAAAAATTTTACATGAAAATAATCTCTGCCATTTAGATTCTAGTTGACTGGTTGACTGGCTGATTCATTCCTAGATTACTTACAGACGCTGTTTCAACTGTAGAAGTTATCTAGCTTGGAATGAAGTAAGAAGACAATATTGGAAACCTTCAGTATAAATGCGTATAATTCGAAGTTTCCGAAACTTTGAAAAAACTGTCTCCCATCCTATGCACAGAAGACAAAGACAGTGTGTTCCTCTGAAACTTCGACAGCTTCGTCCTTTCATATGCGGCGTTTCATCCCCAAAAACACAGTGCCGTGAAAAACTACACTCTCATACGACTCACTGATGTGGAAGGACATGGAGAGGAGAGGCAGAAGCCTCTTGCAGAAGCTATAAGTGCCGAACGTCGCAGCTGAGTGGTTAGCATTCCTGTTTCGTATTCGGGAGATCCCTAGTTCATGTCTAGACCGAAAAAAAACTCCTTTCCTGTTTGAGGTTATTTGTTATGCCTCCTGGTTTACCTCAGTCCTTGCAGAAAATTCCTGAGACATTATGATCACTTCCTTTCAGATCATTTCCAATTAACTGTTCACTTCAGTGTAGCCGCTATTTACTTATCCCTGCCTCCTCTTGATGTGACATACCAACTCCTAACTCGGACGAAAGAATGTAACACTGTTGTCAGATGTTGATTTAAAGTCCAAATTTCGAGGCGTGAAAATTCATTCGGTAATGTTATTGCAATGGAACAGTGTTCGCAGGTAAAACATACATAACTGGCAACGCAGCTGGCCAACACATGACTATCGGCCATTGTCATTTCGAGTGGATAGCGCAGACGTCACTCTTTGCCAGTGCTGTTTTGAGGCGGACAGAGTTGTGGGCCGAACGTTAATCATCTTATCACGCAACGCCATATATCTGAGCTACTGAAATCACCCCTAAAACCCCAAGATTAAGTACAAATAACTTAAAGTTTTATCTCGATTTTTCTCATAGGGCTTGACGGAAAATAAAGACATTCCGTGTAGCAGGCGTAACTGCAGAGATTTCAAATACAAAAGCCCTACTTTGTACCACTGTGATAACCTGTCATTTAGTTACAGGAGATGAACTCGGAGGGTCGAGCAGAAGACAGGCTGAAGAAAGCTGGAGATCACTACATGGTTATGGAGCATACCATAAGGGGAGATAACCATGCCAGAAGACGTGACCATGGGCTGCAGTACAGGCAACAGATCCACACGATCGGCGGCGGCCTCGGTAATTTTCACTTTGGTAAGCGGTTACAGTAAAACTCGTCTATAGCGGAACACCAAGGAACCTGAAAATGTAGGATTTAAGGTTCTCAGAGCGGTGGTTAAGAAGAGTACTATCTTATGGGATATAACGCCTTGTAGTCTGTTGAAAGTCAACCAACGTTTCAGAGGAACATATCACCTCCCCCTTCAGAGTCGAAGAGTAAGCAAATGGCGAGTAACTTGAAACATCGGTTGACTTTCAGCACACTACATGGCGTTATATCCCAGAAGAAAATTCCCTTCGGAACTAAAAGTGTTTCCGTTTCTGTGTGCTTGTTACAAAATAGAAAATACATAGCCTAAACTCTTAGAGGCCTACATGTGACAATATCACAAGTCAGAAATCCACTAAAACTTTTTATTTTTATTCTTTCTTTTCGTGGTGCCTGCAGAGTAAATTAGAAAAAAAAAATCACCTTTTAGCCTCACAAATGAGAACCGCAGAACCGATTTCCATTCTTTCTAAGGGACCCTAAAGAGGTGTCTTCCCCAAATCACTTGAGGGCGGAAACAAATCCAGTTTCGAAAACGTAGTTTCTAGTTTCTAGAATACAGGGCGATGGACAAGGTCCAAACCCCCAGTAATTCTATTTTCACGACATTTTGGAGTTTTGCAGAACATTCACAGATACAATTCAATTTTGGTTAAGGTCAGACAACAATAGCCGATAATTAATAAGAAGATTATTCAAGTAACCCAATAGACATGTATCGGAGCGGAACAGCTATTCTAATATACTTTTCTGTGAGTTCCTGTCAGTCTCTCCAGGCAAATGATGTGATAGTGTTTAAAATAGGCAATGACCACTTTCTCTCATATCCTTCTCGATTCTCTATTCAGTCGCCATTTCATTTAGTGTTATGCAATGGTGATAGACGCGAAGTCCGTTCCGGACAGTAAGTAAAGCACATACAATAATTTCATACATTTCTGAATATCTTCATATGTCCCTTTTTATTGCTAGTGGGGTGGGACTAAGTCCCTTGTACTGCGGCCACTTCTTGCCTATTGTACCAGTCCCAGATGATAGGTGAGGGTGAATGTGGAGCAATTGGTGGAATGAAGATTGACAGGGGAAACCGAAGTACTCGGAGAAAACCTACCCCAGCGCCTCTTTGTGCACCACAAATCCCACTTGACCAGATCCGGGATCGAACCCGGGTCGCCGCGGTGGGAAGCCAGCGACTAACCTCTTGAGCTACGGCGCGGCCCAGGTGAGGGTGATTGTGGAGCAATTGGTGGAATGAAGATTGGCAGGGGAAACCGAAGTACTCGGAGAAAACCTTCCCCAGCGCCTCTTTGTGCACCACAAATCCCACTTGACCAGACCCAGGATCGAACCCGGGCCGCCGCGGTGGGAAGCCCGCTTGAGCTATGGCGAGGCAAATCAAAGACAATACTACTCACGTTCCTGAATCTCCTCATGGGACAATGTCAGAATCAAGAGCGACGCTGCTTTGCTGTGCAGACGCAGGAGCTCGGAGGTAGCTTCCTACACTTACAGAAACTATCGTCTCCTCAAGCGGTAATGCTATTATTCGGGAGGTGCTCGTTTCGAATCTCCGCTCTCCCGACTGAGGTTTTCATGTTTTCTCTCAGTTCCTCCAGCCAAGTGCAGGACTAGTACCCCAAAGAGGCCAAGACTCTTTCATTCCTAATAGATTTCAACTCATTAATTTATCAATCCCGATGAAGTCAATGGATTTTTCAATTTAGCTAATCCTTCCAGCCGCACTACAACACTAGGGTCGACTCAGCCTCTAACAAAAATGAGTACCAGGACGCTTCCTGGGGGATAAAGGGCGGCCGGCGCGTAAGGCTGACAAACTTACCCCCATCTATGAGCAGGCTGTCTAGAAACTGTGGGAGCCTGGACGTCTCACAGCCCTATGGGCCTCCACGGCCTGTTACAGGGATAACTTTACTTTTCTTTCTACCCTTCGACACCGGACCCTCTAGCTACAGAAAAATGTGTGGTATAGTCCTCACAAAATACATATTTTTTTCTTGATTCTGTAATTACTACAACTACTATATAACTTCTAGTTTTTCAGCCATGATATGTATAGAGTGGCCGTCTTGTAGTGCATTCAATTTCACCTGTCACTTCACAACATGTTTCGGCAACATAGTGCCATCATCAGGTGTCCCAATTACGTCAATCTATTGCATTGCTTGCCCTCATATGTTTTCACAACACCATTAAAAAAGTATTTAAAAAGTCCGTATTTGTCAACTATGATAAATTTACACTCGCTAAAACTTGTTAAGATAATTCATCTTATTTGTCTTAATTAAAACTTGCATGCGGTTCGTTCACTACGGGGTCGTTTTTCTTATTTTCTGTGTAAACAGCGTCTTGTGATGTGTGTTCCCTTCTTAGCTGCGAGTGTTGCAATAGATTGACGTAATTGGGACACCTGATGATGGCACTGTGTTGCCAAAACATGTTGTGAAGTGACAGGTGAAATTGAGTGCACTGCAAGACGGCCACTCTATACATTTCATGCATGAAAATCAGTGCAACAGGACGCTAAAATATAACATAATTTCTAGTTATTGAAATTAGCCCGAGGGCGACAACGTAAATTCTGACGAGACAAATGTGGCGGAAGGAGCGTCGGTTTTATCTAAGCATTTGCGAATGCGTTGCAAATTTATCAAATCAATTGAACATTCATAGGAATTAATATTAATATTAAATGGTAATTTTCTTCCGTCAGTTCGGACACTGCATATTTTTGAGAAACATTGACCTGAATATTACTAATTTATAAGAGGACTTCCCCCTGTTCTCACATTCCTTTTACCTGTCTGTCACGCGAAATGTTTCCGAGAATATAAAACCTATGTGTCTGACAAATTATTTCCCGTGAATAATGGATCTTTTTGGGGTGTGTGTGGGTAACAGTGTACATAACGAACGCAGGTGACAAGGTTTGACACGAAGCGAATGTTTCAATTGACTTTTCTTGTTAAGCTTGCTCCAGTTTTGATGGAATGGAGAGAACACACGAAACGCATGGTTTTTTTCGGAAACATTTCTCTGATCAAAGATACGCAATAAAGGTCGCGACAGATTTACTCAGACACGTCTTCTTTAGTAATAATTCTTATGTGAACAATATTAATATTCGTAACTTGTGTATGCTCAATCCTCTTTCAAATTAAATTATCCGACCCTTGTTTGGTGTTCCAGTTTTTCCATAATTCTGGCGGCCTAATTTGTATCGGCCTACAACTTGTAGTTAAATTTTCTGTATGTCTAAGCAAAATTAAAACCACCAGTCTCCCCTTATTCTATGGATCTGCCTGTCTATCTGTTGCCAAGAGACCATATGTGGTGTAATGCATAGTGAGATCTACTTGTATGCATCACTTGTTTCTTTAAGTACTATACACTTTCTAGGTTATAAAACAAGACATTTGCTATTTACATTATTTGTCGGAGAAAATCTACCCCAGAACCAATTCGACCATAACATATCCTACATGACCTGACCTGTGATCGCACCCCGGTGGCCGCGGTGCGTAGCAGGTGACTAACTGCCGGACCTATGGTCAAAGTAGATTTTACTCAGAAATGCAGAGAACAAAAAAAATATGGAAGAATAATTTGCCTCCGAACGTTTGACTTGTGATGAACAAATCCATCTCTAATATGAAGGCCACAGGTATAAAATAAAAAATATTTATCATATGATCAGCCAGAAAATTAGATATCTATGAATTTATAATTTTTTCCAAACAAAATCTAGTACAAATTTTCCGACCTCATCGTATCAAACTATAATTTTTTTGTGTTGAAGTGGGCCCCTTGTCACCACGGCGTAGCACGTCCTTGGATTGCGGACGGTGGAAGAGGTCTGTGGATATGCAGAATAACTGGGAATACGTTCATTAGGCAGACACTGATAGCTGAACAGGGAGATCCTCCAATCTTTGATTTGGGTGGGCGACTAACAACCTCCCTAAATGATATAACCATGTTACGAAATGCCACAATCAGACTTTGGAGGATTCTTTGACATGACCTAGGCAATTGAAATATGAAATTATCTGTAAAAAACGATAAGTTATTGGCCGGATTTAACTGGCCTAGGTCAGGGTCCAGTGGTAGACTCATAGAAACACGAAACACTCCCTAACACGAGTAATTCCTTCATGACCAGAGTGTGTCAGTTTCTCAACGCGGTTTCGGTTCATGAATTTCGTGTTTAATAGACGTACTCTCAACCCCAGCCCATGTCTGCTGCCCGAGATTACAGCTGAGCCCACCACACTTGGGCTCCTTCTCCACCATTAACGCGCTGTGCCATAGTGACGATGGGTCCGCTTAAAGGAAGAACAGCGAATCATCTGGCCGAGAGCCAAAATATTACCATTTTGAAAATGAGACAGAAGTGACACATTCGGCGACCTGTAAGTGTATGCGATTATTTATTGCAGACGGTGGCCGCGGTACCTTCAGAAATGTACAACACCCTCAACATGGCCACCTCCACATCAACCACATCAACCACACCGTCCCCACTTGCAGCTGCACGACGTGTGCTGAGCTTTTCAACGAATTCTGTGACAGGAGTACCTTGCATGGCCTCAAATATATTGGTGACAAACGGCTGCACTTTCTTGAAAGGTATATAAACAAACTTTACGATATCAACCGCTCTGTCTACTATCTGCCTATCTGTCCGCCGATGTATATGCCTACATGTCCGTCCATCCATCAATACGTCTCTCTGACTCAGTCGGTATATGTTCCTATCTCTCTATCTGTCCATATAGCTATTCATCTAATCGTCCTGCCTTAGTGTTGTGTATAATCGGCCCGATTTACCTTCTCTGAAACTACCTCTTAGTCTATTCGTCTCTCTGCACGTCAGATTTTCTGTTCAACTACATGTTAAGAATGACAAATATTATTTCTACATAAAATTCGTCCTTTAGCGGATACAGGCTCATAAAAGCTTAAATATCACCAACACTAATAAAAACGGAAGCCATACTAGATCTCCAAACCATATATTTACATAGGCTCAACACACACCCAGTTATTCAATAAAATTTTCATCCTCTTTACTCTTAATCGCTCCGGGAAATTTCTCGTGACAATTATAAAAATTCAAAAGGAAAACTGCAATAACGATATAGATAGCGCACAGAAACTTTAATTGATGTTACTAAGGAGGTTGGTCTAGAAGTAAACACAGAGAAAACTGAGTATATGTTGCTGCCTCGTCACCAGAATGCAGGGCAAAATCATGACATAAAGACAGGTAACAGATGTTTTGAAAATGTAGCACAGTTCAGATATTAGGGAACGACGATAACAAATCAAAACCTGATTCAGGAGGAAATTAAGAGGAGATTGAACTGGGTTAATGCTTGCTACCATTCAGTTCAGAACCTTTTTTCTTCTCGTCTGCTGTCTAAAAACATAAAAATTAGAATATACAAAACTATAATTTTGCCCGTGGTTCTGTATGGGTGTGAATCTTGGTCTCTGACATTAAGGGAGGAACATAGACTGAGGATGTTTGAGAACAGGGTGTTGAGGAAAATATTTTGACCGAAGAGAGATGAAGTGACAAGCGGTTGGGGAAAACTGCATAATGAGGAACTCCATAATTCGTATTCTTCTCCAAGTATAATTAGAATGATCAAGCCAGGGAGGAGCTTACTTACCTTATTTCAAAGGAATAAAAATAAGCTTATGCATTCTCCATCCTGCCTGTGTCTGTGTATTTCCCCTTATCAGCTTTTGAATGCCTGAACCGATCTTTATGAAACTTGGTATGTATATCATAGCACCTGAGCCCATCTCATGGGCTCTCCAATAAGTTTGTGTGTCTGTATGTATATCCTTCAATCGTTGCCAGGCAACCGCTCGGTGTACAATACAAGAAAAAAGAGGAATTGCTGGACGCGTCGTCTTCTGTACGGTCCGTGTCGTGTCAAAGAAAAGCAGGCTATTTATTTTTGCCAGAACGTCTTGTATATAATGCTAAATTATCATAAATTCGCGCTACCAGGGAGTAAGTGAATAACATAGTTAGTGATTATTCATCAAGACGTTTAAGAAGATAGTAAGTTATTTAATTAGTGCTGTAGAACATCAGCTAACAAGTAAGAGTGGTTATGTGTGCGTGATCCATGTGTAAATGTGTCATGTTGCCTTCAGGTTGTTCTGGACCATAGCCTTCATCCTGGCCACAATGACTGCAGGCTACTTCATCAAGATTGTGTATGCCAAGTGGGATGACACTCCAGTCATCGTGTCTATTGCGGCGAAGACTACTCAGCTGGTGGACATTCCGTTTCCAGCTGTAACCCTGTGCACGATGAATGAAGCCAGGAAATCTGAAGCAGAGAAAATAAAAGCATCCACGTATGTATTCAGCTGATGGAAACAACACGTCACTATTCCGTGTCTCTTTTATAATCTGAACATTACTTTATAAGGAAAATGGGGCCATCTTAATTGTATTCGGATGGTAACCGCTTCGAATCTCGGCCAGGATACCGACTAACCTGAGTCAGGTTTCCCGTTAGTTTCCTCTGTCCTTTCAATCAAATTCCGGAATATAGCCTCAAATTAGGCCACGGCCGTTTTCTTCCACATCTGTTTCGCTTCGTCATTCATTAAGCATCCTACGATTCTACGCTGCGGGCACGGGATAGCGTGGTTCGTTGAGGCATTATACTATATGCCGGAAGTTCGCGGTTTCGAGTCCAGATGAGGTGAATTTTTCTTCAATTTACCAATTTCTTCCAGTCGCACTATGGTCCTGGGCTCGACTTAGCCTCTAACAGAAATGAGTACCAGGAATTAATTAAATAATTTTCCTGGGGAGTAAAGGGCGGTCGCCGCGTAAGGCTGATAAACTTACCGCCATCTTTGAGCCGACTCTCTAGAAAATGTGGGAACCTCGAAGTCTCACAACCCTATGGGCCTCCATGGCCTGTTACAGGGATAGCTTTACCTTTTTTATGAGTCTACGCTATTTAGTGTAAGGTACTGAGAACACCATTAAATAAAGAAAGTATACTTCCTGTGCGTGACTTCTCCTTATCCTGTACCACGTACATTTGGATCTATGTAGCTTAGGATTACGTCTGCCTGTGTCCTGCATAATACAGTCATATAGTCATACACGTATACTGAACGGCAAATGAAAAGTCTGGTCCTTACTTAAGCATATCATGCAGGAATTCGCGGGGTATAAAACAGTTGCAGCCAATACTGCTGTGTCTTGCGCGTTTTTAAGATAGCGCAGTAAATGAGTTTATTTATCTTAATCTCTTTTAATTTGCAAGTTATAAGCAGAATTCAGCATCATGCAGAGTGCGAGTCATAAGCCGAGTTCAGCTTCATGCAGAGTGCGAGTCATAAGCCGAGTTCAGCTTCATGCNTTCATGCAGAGTGCGAGTCGTAAGCCGAGTTCAGCTTCATGCAGAGTGCGAGTCATAAGCCGAGTTCAGCTTCATGCAGAGTGCGAGTCATAAGCCGAGTTCAGCTTCATGCAGAGTGCGAGTCATAAGCCGAGTTCAGTTTCACGCAGAGTGCGAATCATAAGCCGAGTTCAGCTTCATGCAGGCGAGTCATAAACCGAGTTCAGCTTCATGCAGAGTGCGAGTCATAAGCCGAGTTCAGCTTCATGGAGAGTGCGAATCATAAGCCGAGTTCAGCTTCATGCAGAGTGCGAGTCATAAGCTGAGTTCAGTTTCACGCAGAGTGCGAATCATAAGCCGAGCTCAGCTTCATGCAGGCGAGTCATAAGCCGAGTTCAGCTTCATATAGTGTGAATCATAAGCCGAGTTCAGCTTCATGCCGAGTGCGAGTCATAAGCCGAATTCAGCTTCATGGAGAGTGCGAGTCATAAGCCGAGTTCAGCTTCATGGAGAGTGCGAGTCATAAGCCGAGCTTCATGCACAGTGCGAGTCATAAGCCGAGCATCATACACAGTGCGAGTCATAAGCCGAGTTCAGCTTCATGCAGATTGTGTTATAGGCCTAGTTCGTCTTTATGCAGAGTACGAGTTGCAGGTCTATGTCGTGGTCCGATATTAACTGTAACTAAATTCCCAGAACAATATTCGCTATAAACTCCAAGCAGCAGTTATCATAAAAAAAGTTCCATAACTTTTGGAGATGAGTTATCCGTTGTAGGAAAGTCACAATATTTCCATTCTGCTTTAACTGTATGTATTTCCCGCAAAGAGAATGGACTAATGCTTGAAGAAGGCCCAATCATTTGCAAGGTATTGAAATAATTTGCCTCTTTTATCTTCTTTATGTGCCTCTCTCGTTTTTTGCAGAAATGAGTCAGATGTATTGTTCAAGAAATTACTGAGCGATTCCTGCGAAAATTCGGACAGCCAGAAACCAGTAAAAAAATGGAACAATAATACTTCTATTAGCTGGGAAAACATCCAAAATTTTATGGTGAAAGTAAGTATTTGAGACCTCAGCATATACCCACGTATCTTGAGCTATTTTACTTTCAACGGATAGATTCTGTTGAGGAGAATATTTGGACCGAAGAGAGATGAAGTGACAGGAGGTTGGAGAAAACTGCATAATGAGGAGCTTCATAAATTGTACTCTTCTCCAAGTATAATTAGAATGATCAAGTCAAGGAGGATGAGGTGGGCAGGGCATGTATCACGAATGGGGGAGACGAGGAATGCGTATAGGATATTGGTGGGAAAGCCAGAAGGAAAGAGACCACAGGGAAGACCAAGGCGTAGATGGGTGGACAATATTAGAATGGATCTTAGAGAGACAGGATGGGATGGGATGGATTGGATAGATCTGGCTCAGAATAGGGACCAGTGGAGGGCTCTTGTGAACACGGCAATGAACCTTCAAGTTCCATAAAATGCTGGGAAATTCTTGAGTAGCTGCGCAATTGGCGGCTCATCCAGAAGGGCTCAGCTCCATGAGTAAGTAAGTAAGTAAGTAAGATTCCTCCAGGCCTATCCTTCTTGCATGATAACTTATTTACTTACTCATGGAGCTGAGCCCCTCTGGAGGAGCCGTCAATTCTGCAGCTAATCAAGAATTTCCCAGCATAAAGTTTACTACCGTGTTCACAAGAGCCCTCCACTGGTCCCTATCCTGAACCAGATATATCCAATCCGTACCATCCCATCCTATTTCTCTAAGATCTATTCTAATATTGTCCACCCACCTACGCCTTGGTCGTCCCTGTGGTCTCTTTCCTACGTCTCTTTCCTCCCGGCTTTCCCACCAATATCCTATACGCATTCCTCGTCTCCCCCATTAGTGCTACATGACCTGCCCACCTCATCCTACTCTTGCATGACAACAGCTTTTTAAAATAATTATAGTTGTATGAGGATCAGTAAAACACTGTAGGCCTATGTAATTTATTTCCAATCTTCTCTGAGCCATTACAAGTGAAAGTTTATTTTTTGGCTAAGCCTAATTCCGTATGTAAATTTTGAAATATCTGGCAGGACTATATAATATGTAGACATTAGGCTCTTTAATTAGAAATTCATGCTACTTTATTATATCGTATCTCGCAGACTTCCAGTCCGAAGGAACAAAATTTGTTCTTTCGAAATCTGAGATACGTCTGTCTGTTCTGTCGGCCCATTCGGTCATTCACTGACGAAGGAAGTATTTTTGTGCCATAACAATGACTACTGAATCATTGTAAATTGACATTTGTAATTTCTGTGGCGACTCGTTATAAAATCTTCTGCAACGAGCATAAATGTCTAAGAGGTAACAACTTTACAGCACGGTGACCTCATAGTTCAGTCCCTTCATTATGCACCCCCCCCCCGTGTCATGCAGACCTACTGCCATATTTCTTGTTCTTGAATTGACACAACCTCTCACCAAACTCAGATTTCTTCAATAAATATAAAAATGCTTCACAGCGCATGAAAACCAGTTAAACTTACTCGTGTTTTAATTTTGATTTTGCAAATGAGGCTACGGTAAACAAATTATGAAAAATGTAAAACACGCAATATTCGAACATCGAAAAAACACTTATTTCTCGAAATACCATCCACCAACATTGATACACTTGTCCCATCGCTTTATCAGCACGTCGAAACCCGCAGCACAGAAATATTTTGACTGTTGTCTCAGCCATTTCCGCGCCTCCGTTTCAACTTCTTTGTCATCAGTAACATGTTCGCCACAAATGTGTCTTTTCTGCGGACCAAACGGATCGAAGTCGCTAGAGGCTAAGTCCGGGCTGTAAAGCGGATGTTCAAGAAGTTCCCACTGTAGTTTTCTAATTCTCTCCTGAGTTGCTCGGGCTGTATGGGGTCTGGCATTGTCATGATGAAGCAGTGTCCCTCTTGACAGTCGACCCGAACGTTTTCTGCGAGTTTCATCCCGAAACTTCAACAGAACTTCACAGTATGATGCAGAATTCATATTTTCACCGCGCTTCTGAAAATGGGCTAACAGCATCCCCTAAGGATCACACAACTCGGTAAGCATAACCTTAAACTTCTTCGTTGAAGGTGAACTGGGATGTTTCCATTGCAGTGAAGCACGCTTTATTCGGGATGGTGGTGATGCACCCATGATTCATCCCCAGTAACAATCCTGTTAAGCATATCTTCGCCTTTGTCTACATACCGTAAGAGATGTTGCAAGGACGAACCAATTCCGTTCATTTTTTTCGATCATGCAGTTCTACGGGCACCCAGCGTGCGCACACGTTCACACATTCACGCTCCTGAACATTCTTCAATGTTGTGTTGCATTACATTCACGATTCTTCTGCTTCTGTTACAGGTCAGACAGCCATGCCATGAGATGCTCAAAGTTTGCTACTACGCTGGCGTGGCTCATAACTGCAGTGACATCTTCAATCCTTCACTTACCGACGAAGGACTTTGTTGCTCGTTTAACAAAGCGAAACGTGATTACATATTCAGAAACCCGTGAGCATTCCTTAATTCTGAAGTTTATAGTATGATGTGAAATTATGTATATTGTATTCCCGAAGTCAGCTAGTTTCGTGATATACGTAGAACTTTCCTTCAAAGAGCTTACTACGAAATTTCCTGATTATGTGGTCCCGGATAATTCATCACCATGTACATGAAAGTCAGTCATGTAGATGTTCTTTTCTTCCTCTTCTTGCTCATAGGGCTGATTTCTCAGTTTCATGATCACTTTACAGACGGTAGGACTCCTTGGACGGGTGATCAGCTCGTCGCAAGGCCTCTACCTAAACACAGGACAACATAAACACAGAATAAACGCATACACACACAAGACATCCATGCCTAGTGGGGGACTCGAACCCACGATCCCGGCTTCCGAGCTAGCGAAGACAGTTCATGTCTCAGACAGCTCGGCTACCGTGACAGGCACTACATTAGATACCCCGTGCCAATTGATAGCTTCCAGTAGAATACCCTGACCGTGCCACATCTCAGACCGTTATGAGTCCGTGTGGGAGGTGTGCTGGGCAAAATGACAGTCGTAGAAATATTTCTCAGAGAACTGTAGTTTTTCCTGCACTCATTATTCCACAGCCTATAGTCTTATCTACCATCATCAGTATCCATGGGGACTGGAACATTTAACGTCGCAGTGGCAAATCATTCAGTCTCACAACAATCCTATTGTTTTCACACTATATCATATTATACCTAGATTTATGCTTATGACTCCTGAGTACCCTCTTTTTCTAGATGCCCAAACACGTTATGTATATATTTCTCTGTATAATCATTCAATCCTTCTTGGCTTAGTAACCCTAAGAATTTCATATAAAATTTATGGCTTATAAATTGGGAACTATTTCTCCCTTAGATTTAAATATTCTTATGGAGCAGATTTCTCAGACTCCCTCAAAAAGAAGAAGACCATGTTTCACGTCTATATAAATTGTTGCGCAGAACCAGTGATAATTTTGGTTTTTATTTATTTATTTCAAGAATCGTTATCAATATCGTGATATATGCTTTCCCATTAAATTCATCAATTCATATCAGTTCTGTGCATTTTATAAATCACCTTTTAAAATCTGAAGGGTAAGCAGCAGTATTTGCAGACTCATGTCACTATTGTTTCAGTATCAGTGTTGGTGGTGGTAGTAGTAGTAGTAGTAGTAGTAATTTAGGATTATAAAATTATTCTTAGTAGTTACACATATTTATAAGATTACAGGTTTATTCTTTTAACTCATTTGATTCCAGACACAATATTGTCTCATTTTCGGCCCTTCATTTGAGAGCAAAATTTCTGACCTAGCTTTTGGCTGGTTTCAGGGTAAGAAATTTTTATTTAAGTTTGCTTAATGTCATTGTAATTCGTATTTCGTATCGAGACATGCTGAGAGATGCGGATGGTATTTAATATTGAGGTCTATACTAAACGTAGAATTTAATTTCGTCTCGAATTTTTCCGGGGGCACGCGGTAGCGTAGTTGGTTGAGGGGCTATGCGCAAGCCGGAATGTCGCGGGTTCAAGTCCCGATGAGGTCAGTGGATTTTTTTTATTTAATTTAACCCTTCCAGCCGCACTAGGGCCCTGGGGTTGAATCAGCCTCTAACAGAAATGAGTACCAGGAATTAATTAAATAATTTTCCTGGGGAGTGAAGCGCGGCCGGCGCGTGAGGCTGACAACCTTACCGCCATCTGTGAGCCGACTGTCTAGAAAATGTGGGACCTTCAACGTCTCACAACCCTATGGGCCTTCACGGCCTGGTACAGAGATAGATTTATACTCGAATTTTTTCAATATAAAATTTATTTTAGGTTCCCAAATCGTACTGAGATATACGAGTAAATCCCATATACTCGTATGACGAAATAAAAGAAAAAATATTTTCTGACTCTTCTCTATTATATCTGCAGTGCGATTATCTTTTAACAAACGATCAGTATCTACAACATAGATTTGTATCGATAATAATTGAACATCAATGCCAGTAACTCGGGAATGCCTATGGTTGAAATGATGTGTATTTGATCGGGTACACTTTTCAACCTATTTATTTGCAAGCCTTGCGATAACTGCTTTCACCTATGTTACAGCCGTAACCTCACAGACCTGAATTTGACCTTCCCAATGAATGCAACAGACTGGAACCCAGAAACTGGCTACCCGCCAAATACTCCTGCAGGGGCACTTCCCTGGCGACCTCGCGGGGCGGGGACCCACCTGGGACTCTCTGTAGTGTTAGACGCGGAAGTAAAAGAATTCTACTGCTCGACATCCGCGAGTATTGGCTTCAAGGTAAGGGCCACTGTTTCCACTGCAGCTTATGGTGTGACTGAGTTATTTCTAAGAGGCATCGAGCTGACACACTCATATAAGACCAACCCTCAGATTATCCTCCGATCGGTCAATCTATTTACGAAGGAATGGAGGAAGAAAAGGGGAAGTATTTCCAAAAACTGGAGATAATTCGATGAAATTCAGTGCATAGTTCAAGTTGTTAATATGGCGGAAGTATGGATTCAGTCTCAAGGAAATCCATGTGGAATTTGTGGTGGATACATTGTCATTGGTGTAGGTGACCTTCATCGGTTCTCCATACTTATCTAACGCCTGCCCGAATGCCGATCAGCCAGCATCTATAGAGAACACTCCTAACATCGCGTCTTCTGTTGTTGTGTGACGTCACCGCGCACGCGTATGCTGCGGGCGCTACATAGCAATAGCTGTACACGTCACGTATCTTCGAACCTTCTCTATTATTGCGTATGGCGATTACCTAGCAACGGTTGATATTTACAGAGTCACCTCTTAACAATGGGTCTATACGCCATAATATATTAATACATCTTACTGCCGCATGATTGACAACTATTTTCCTCGATTCTGCCAAATACAGCTGGTTGAGGCACTATGCTATAAGCAGGAAGATCGTGGGTTCAAGTCCCGATGAAGTCATTGGATTTCTTTCAATTGACCTAATCCTTCCAGCCGCACTATGGCTCTGGGTTCGACTCAGCCTCTAACAGAAATGAGTACCAGGAATATTCTTGGAATATTCTTAGTGGTAAAGGGCGGCCGGCGCGTAGGGCTGACAACCTTGCCGCCATCTATGAGCCGATTGTCTAGAAAATGTGGTAGCCTCAACTAATCACAACCCTATATGCCTCCACGGCCTGTTACAGGGACACCTTTGCTTTACTTATCAGTACCGAAGCGTGTTTAAAAAACCCTTAATTTTAATCAAATATCAAATACAAACATTCGGTACCATGGCAAAATTTTGTATTTTTTTTAATTGGATAAAACTCGATTCGAAATATATGGAACGTAGAAGTAATATTGCCGATCACAGTGGCCGCGCGGTATAAGGCACGAACTGTCTTCGCCCGCTCAAACACTGGGATCTTGGGTTCGAATCCAACTCAAGATGTGGATGTCTGTGTGAGTTTATTCTGCGTTTGTGCTGTCCTGTGTGTAGGTAGCGACCTTGCGACCGGCTGATCTCCCGTCCTGGATTCCTACCGACTGTGTAAAAGATCAAAAAACTGAAAAAGCGGCCAAGGCCTAACAAATGGCTCTAGAGTCATAGATAGATAGATATTGGACCAATAGGAATCACAATTGAATTTTCATGGCAACTTTCAGTACAGACCCCAGCAATACCTAATGTGATCGGCATCCATTTAGTAAATTATGAGATGAAACAAGCGGAAGGACAGGCAGATACATCCATATTATGCGTTCCTTTGGCACAACGAACCCATTAAAACGGTGTGCACAGATTATATTTCATCGCTCTGGTATGGCACATTTTTTCAGTTACTCCTTCATAACCCAGTCGAGACGCCTAAGATTGCTGACTACGGACTGCTGCTAGCGCCAGGAAGAGAGTACCGGATAAAAATCACACCAACTATTAACAACGCTGCGAAGTCACTTCATAACTTGAGAGAAATAGATCGTCAGTGCGCCTATTCTGCAGACAAATATCTACTGTTCTACAAAACCTACACCCAGAGGAACTGCATGCTGGAATGCGAAGCCAACTACACTTTCTTAGTCTGCAACTGCGTCCCGTTCTACCTTCCAAGTACGTGGCTGCCTACTGGATTCTTCCTTGCTTCCTTCTTTTTCTTCCTCTGTTTCTTGCGTCATTGTCTTTCGTTCGTTTACTTACTTTTTTTGTTTTTTTAAGTTTCTTGGTGTGGGGTGAGACTGAGTCCACTTGGTACGTAGGCCACTAGCTGACCTATTGTACCAACTCCGGATGATAGATGATTGTGGAACACTCTTTGGAATAACAATTGGTAGAGGGTACCGAAGTATTCGGAGAAAACGAGCGCCAGTGTCATTTTGTCCACCACAAATCCCACATGACCTGACCTTGGCTCGAACATTTTTGTTTCTTTTAATTTTTTCCTTTCCTTTATTTGTTTCCTTCTTTTTATCAGTCCGAGAGAAATAGAGCTAATATGACTGGGAATTTGCAAGAATGTCTCAATGTGTTATTCACTGTAAAATTAAGAATATTGTGCAAGCGACAATATTTGCAGTAATTTAATATGAGCAATGGGATAGAATGAAGGGTGTAGGCTCTATTAGCACCGGGGCGCCAGTCGTGATACAATCTGCATCCCAGCAGTGACCCTTCACTTCAATAGAGTGGAATAGTTTTCGGGTTGAGACCTTGTCATAGTCATTTTGAGAAGAACAGGTGAACTCCGAAGTGGCAGTCAAGCTGCTTCGTGATGCCGACTCACAGTTGCACATTACAGCATATGTAAGCAGTTCCTTTTGTGTTCTGCCCCGACCCCCGCCCCGAACTCACGAATCCGTGCCCTGTTCTTGTGATCTTATGGATTCCACTCCCAACATATCTAAACGAATTCATTTTATTTATTTATTGGTTTATTTTCTGTGGTCTAGTGGTCAGAGTTCCTGGCTAGAGATTCAGAGGTCCCGGGTTCGATTCTCGGCGCTACCAGATTTTCTGAGAAGGAGTGGGTCTGGAACGGAGTCAACTCAGCCCCGTGAGGATATCTGAGGAGCTATTTCAAAGGCAGTGGCTCCGGTCTAGAAAACCGAGATTAACGACCGTGGGGATTCGTTGCGCTGACCACATGACACCCTCTATCTACAAAAGTTGGCATCAACTTCGCCGACAAACGGCGGTCGCTCGGTCGGTTTGTATAGTTCGCTGGCAGACTAGAGGTCACGGATATTGTATTGGTTTATTTTGCTACGTTGTCAGTGCCTGAGGTTATACAGAGTCAGGATAAAAGGTCTACGTGAATAATAGATTGGAAAGGATGTAGAAAGAAGCGGTCATGCCCATATCAGAGATATTATCCCTGGAATTTGAATGGAGGGGGATCTGAGAAAGCTACAGAAAATCTCTCTCATGACAGTCGGTGCCCTGGCTGAGATTCGGAACAGGCATCCCCTGCAGATGAGTGAGAACCATTTCCGCTTCAACTGATTTGCTTCTTGCTAGAAACGATGATACTAAAATCGACATGTACATAGAGCACATGAGATATGTTTATAATGTATTACTTTACAAACATAACATTCCAAACTGCAAAGATACATCGAATGTCACGAAATAAAAATATCTCGGACGATTAACATGTTATTCTACGCTGCACATATATGTTACCTTAAATGATACATGACCGCCATGATGGTGTGGAATTTTATGTTGTTATAAATAGGAGTTTTCCTGAAATTAAAACGATGTCCATGCCAATTTTATGAAAATCGGAGGTTACTGGGGAGACAAACTTACGGATATAGAGAGTAAAATAGGTTGAAATGTATATCAGTTTGTAAGAAGCATATTAATACAAGTCCTACTAGAATCTACGTGTGCCCCATTTTTCAAAACAGAAGGCTTGTTATGTCTGGGACAATTTCAAAATAAATAAGAAATTTACGATATAATTTTGAAAATTGTTTCTGTGTTTGTTTCAGAGGATATCAATACCCCTATTTGTGGCAAAGAAGAGGAGGGCTGTACAAAGTTAGCTCGAAGTGAGTGCAGTAACATAAATTTTCAACTTAATATATATTGATTTTTTTTTTTGCGGTTTTGCCTTGTACATAAGTAACTCTGACAATATAATCCAACAGCTCAACACAAATGCTACCAAAGCCCACCTATAATTCAATCCAGTCCACATCCTCGAACACTATTTTTCTAAGATCAATTTTAATATTATCCTCCCACATTTTCAGTAATCCTATTGGCCGATTTTCAGAAAATTTCCCCGCCAAATTTTGTCCATATTATACACAATTTGGGGGGAGGGAGCGCGCGGTAGCGTAATTGGTTGAGGCTGGAAGGTCGCGGGTTCGATTCAAATAGTTGAATTTTTCAGTTAGCCTAATCGTTCCAGTCGCAATATGGCCCTGGCGTCGACTTAGACTCTAACATAAATGAGTACCAGGGATCTTCCTGGGGAGTAAAGAGCGGTCGGCGCGTAAGGCTGACAAACTCACCGCCATCTGTGAGCCGACTGTCTGGAAAATATTGGAGCTTCGACGTCTCACAAACCTATGGGCCTCCACGGCCTGTTACATGAATAGATTAGCCTTTATTTTATATACAAAAATGTATATACGACAGTATGTATTTATTGTTGTGTGGAGGACTGTGTTGGCTGACTCAGAGAATGAATTACTACAACAGAAAATGCAAAGAAAACCAGATCATTATATAAAATGAAACTTTCCGCGATCAGAGTGAAACCTACAGCAATAAGATTAAAAAATAAATAAAAATATGCATTATGATCGAGAAAGTAACAGAATTTCGGTAGTTGAAATGATCACAGACCACATAAGAGATATGTAAAAAACTATAATAATACAGTAAATAACACATTTAAAACAATATATATATATATATCGAACAGTAACAGAAATGAAAATAAATAACATCACACACACAAAAATATAACTAAACTGGTAATACGATCCGGAGTTGAAAGAGAATTCTCTTATCGAAAGACTAGCAGCAGCATCAATGAAGGTGCTAGGCCTCGTTGGTGACATAAGACTAGATGACTAAGCGTATGGGGGAGTGGATGTATAGATCCACATTTTCTTGACCTGGGCACTAGCTGGAGTGGTTAGCTTCACACCCCGGCAGCTTTATCTCCGGGGAAAGAGCTCCCGGTACCGATCGGAGTTTGGGTGGACCTCAGAGCCAGGCTGAACGACTTGGAGAAGAGAAAATTCTTGACTCGAACTCCGATCCCTTGGTCGTCCAGCCCGTAGTCAGTCGCTATACAGATTACGCTATCCTGGCTCCCACAAGAGTTTAGCATGGTCCACAAATAGTGAATATATTTTGAACAAACTTAACATACCTAAGTCCACTTCTGGTGGCAGGTGCAGGTCTGCTGCGAGGTGTTTAGCTCAGACAGTAGTACCGTACAGGTAGAGGACTTCCGAGACCAAACTGGAAACCTACTGTTGGCTTGCAGAACTACTTGAGATGACGCTAGTAGAAGCGAGTGATTTTAACTCGACGGATGGTTGGCCAACCCCTAATTGCAAATGTCTACCCGGCTGCAACGAACTGGGCTACTCATCAAGCATGACCTATGGACATATGATTCCGTCACTCGCGGTGAATAAAGGCTACATGGAGGACACAGTCCATTCGAACAACACCGGAAAAGAGTAAGAATCATACTGTATTATTCATACACAGCCAAGCAAGGCTAATCTAAATTATAATATAATACAAATTAGTAAACACACAATCAAATTAGAATAATATATTGTACAGTTTCTCAAAACTCCAACATGTTACATATTACATCAGTATGTTGTACTATTCTTGTTTTAATTAACTGCAATGTACGTTTTTGGGATGAAAGAACAATTATTATTATTATTATTATTTAACTGCAAATGGGTTTTCACCCAGTGGCAGTGGTACTACGAAAATGAGAAAATAAGAAAACAGACAAATAACTCACATAAACATGTTCAAACAAAACACAGCACACAAACATTAGTAGAAAATTAACATAATATATAACAACTAACACCAATGAATGTGTAATGTCATGTTCTCATTTTCCCTTCATTTCGCTTTACTTACATAATCATCCCATTCTTAACACTTTTCACTTCGCTTTACCTCACTTCACTACACTTTACTGCATTTTTTTGCTGATTTCCACCCCACCTTCACTTCGCCTCATTTATCATTTTCCTAGCCCTTTTCCTAAAATTACTTCGTTCGCAGGAGAGAGTCCCTTAAGCATATGAAGGTAGTTGATTTCAGATCTGATTGGTCCTATTTACAAAGGAGTATTTTCCTATATCTGCCCGCTGTTTTTTCGCTCCTAATTTTCTTGTCATTGGACCCTCAACGTCTCACAGCATTATGGACCTTCACGGCCTGTTACAGGGATACCTTTACTTTACTTTTACCACTGACTTAATTGATATATTGAACAGAAATTGTAATGTGTACTGTCTCTCGATGTATCGAGTACGCTGTCGGAAGACCCGAGTTGACGCAAGAAGAGTTGTCTCTCCCGCCTGAGCGAATAAATGGTTTTCGGGTTGCTCTCAGATGATCGCAATGCTTTACTCAAACACACAAAGCCATATTCTGAATTCTCGAGTTCATGTGACAGCATTTACATCAAGTTGCTGATATCTCACTTTCAGGAAGGATTTGACAGTCGTGCACCTGTACTTTACAGAGACACAGTTCTTCAGCTACTACAAGACAGAAATATTCGGCCTCAGCGAGTTTCTGTGTAAGTAACGTGAACTGCATTCCCTTAGGTGTGTGGACATTTGTTTTACAAACAGTTGCGGGAAATATTTAAATCCGTCAGTCCTTCTGATGTGGCTAGCAGAGACTAGAAATTCATAGCACCTAATTATATGAATTGGTTGCTTACTTCGTAGCGTAATTTCGACCATTTACTCGCCGAGTGATACACTTTTCCAGTTCAATATTAGAGCAATTGTTGACAAATTTGACAAAAAATGTTCAGAATTCTTAGTAATTTATAGCCATAAAAAGATAATAATGCTCAGCTCTAGTGTTTCATTATATATCGCCATCACATAGAAAAGTAAATGCTTATTTTTCACTAAAGCCAAGTTCTTTTACATTCTGTAATAAAAAAAAACACCTTATCAAAATTTGCGTTTCCTTTTCAAGGTCTATTATCGAATGCACTTCAGGATCATACATTTACATCGTCAGTATCACCCTAACTTTTATAGTTTCCATATTGCTACTGTGATGGTAATGCTGACAACAAGATATTAAAACTGCGAAAGGTGGATGGCTTTTGCTAGCGTGATCATTATACACCGGGTGATTATGATTATGGAGAATTTGGTGGAATGAAGATTGGCAGGTGAAACCGAAGTACTCGGAGAAAACCCGCCCCAGCGCCACTTTGTCCACCACAAATCCCACTGGACCAGACCCGGGATGTAACCCGGGCCGCCGCGGTGGGAAGCCAGCGACTAACAGCGGCCTAACCCGACGTTAGTAAGGTGGGGTTAGTAAGGTGTAAATTGTGCTGGGGTCCACCAGAGCCCACCTTACCAAAAGTGTGACTATATTTTCTTCCGAAACTTAGGTTGTTTCCACGTATATTCTACTAAAATATTATAATTACTGCTGTGGGTTCTATATTTTTACTCGTACATACCAACTACTATAAGAAAATACGTTTTCATAAATATTTAGAGGGTATTTTGAGAATAATATATTCTTTTTACCAGATTAGTTACGAGCAGGAAGAACAGAGGTTACGTCAACCTATAGATGACGCTTTGACAATCGAGGAGCCATTTGGCCGAGATAAGGATATTGAAATTGATTTAGAATTAGTCATTAACCATGAGTCTGATACTGAACAAGATTGTGAGGAAGAATCCACAGAGGGAGCCTTTTGCTTGGCGAAGGATAGGCAAACAAGATGGAGTAAAAGCAAGTTATGATCTCGAATAAGAAATCGAGCTCATAACATAGTGTCCTGGTGTCCTCGGCAACGCAAAAAATGCAAAATCAATTTTAGATTGCTGGGAGATATTTTTTCCTGATGAAATGATAGACCTAATTTTGAAGAATGCGAATGACGAAACACAGAGAAAGCAAGTAAATTATGCCAAAAATAATAGTGTTCAAAAGAGTGATATGAGTGAAATAAAGGTCGTATTTGGACTTTTATATTTAGCTGGCTTCTATAAGTCTGGTCACCAGAATCTGGACGATCTATGGGCCACGGATGGTACCGGTGTTGAATTACGTAGAAGCACAATGTCACTTGTTCGTTTCCGTTTTCTTCTTAGATGTCTACGATTTGACACCCGAAGTACTAGAACTGAACGAAGATATTACTATAAATTGGCTCCAATTAGAGACATTTTTGATAAGTTCAATGAAGTGTGTGAGCCTGTATATTCTTTAGGAGAAAACGTAACGAATGATGAAAAGTTAGAAGCGTTTTTCTTGGACGGTGCAGTTTCCGGAAGTACATTCGAAGCAAACCGGCAAAGTATGGCCTGAAAGTTTACGTTGGCGCACAATCTGAAGGCTCATACAAAGTTTCAGACACACCTTCTGAAGTTGTTACAAGGATGATTGCACCTATATCTGGATCAGGTCGCAATGTGACTTTAGATAATTGGTTCACAAGTTACCCATTGGCTAAATCCTTGTTAGAAGATCATAAGCTATCTATGGTGTGAACAATCAAGAGAAATAAAGGAGAACTGTCACCTCAGTTCATCAATGCCAAGCGAAGAAGTCTAATGCCTACCATTTTTGGTTTTCGACCCAGTATCACCATAGCTTCATTTGTGCCAAAAATATTATGATTTCCACATTACATTATGATGATAATGTTGTAGATGAGAGAACATCTAAGTCAGAAATCATTCTGCTTTACAACCAAACCAAAGGTGGGAGTGATGTAGTCGTCGGAATGTCTGGGGTCTGTAGGACCCAACCTTACCACTTTTGTTACATTTTCCAACCTCACCAACGCCGGGTTAAGACAAAAATATCTCTGAAACGCAGGATATGTTTCATTACGTATAAGTGTTATTAGTTTCTTCGGTGTCCGTTCAAGGTCTCATCTGAAAAGTATTTTTTTTTTTGTTCATATGGTAAGACAGCAATAGGACGTGCTTTATCACGGGAACTAAATTTGCTTATACTTACAAATCCAAATTTCTCAGCGCCAGACACGATTTGTGCGAACTTCTTAAAAGACAGCAATTTTAGGGAACCCAGGCATGAAATTTTAGATGACTCGAGGGAAAACATCCCACGCGAAATGTTAAATGTGCCTTCAACCTGATGACTATCACTTTCAGTACATCATATAGATCTAAATTGTATTTTAAAGAGTAATATGATTTATTGGAGTAGTAAAGTAAGTTATATTGTTCATCCTTATTGAGTATTCTTCGATTAAATGACATTTATATGAAATTTCGTTAAAATCGATTGAATGGTTCAGAATCTATGAGTGAGGGACATGAACACAGATTACTTCTCACTTTCCTTGGAATAAAAAAATATGATCTATCACAGCGCAACCAATTTTCAATTTTTTTTTTCGTAAACATGTTTGACTAAATAGAGTACGATGATCACGAGATTGACAGTCAAATGCTCCCATCATGTACAGCTGTTATACTCGTATTAATTTGTTTTCTGTGCAACACAATGGCCGTTCATAACAATTTATTACGCTTCAAATGATCAGGATAATTAAGTGAGATTAAACTTTTACCTACTAATAAAACATTTTTTACACTATGANTTAAAATTGTTGACAATCATAGTGTACTTCTTTTGGCTTCTTTTGGACTTCACCCATCGTCTGGTATGTAAAAGACAAAAGACCACGACGTTTCGGAGACTGGATCCAGTCTCCGAAACGTCGTGGTCTTTTGTCTTTTACATACCAGACGATGGGTGAAGTCCAAAATAAGCCAAAAGAAGTACACTATGATTGTCAACAATTTTAAGAACACTGTGAAGAAAGTACAGAAGTGAAAAGGCATTCTACTTCGACTCAAATGTCGGTACAAAAAAAGTTTTGTTTCCGGATGTGGGTTCAGCATACCAAGATTAATTTAAAATTTAGTTTTTCTAGTGTTACCATAACCTTATTGTCTAGTGTTATTTACGTACCAGAAGGCTTAGAGCTTGTTTGTAAAATAAAGATGNGAGTCATAAAAGTAATCCGGGTTCTTTATTGCCACACCTTGTACTCTTAACATGTTTCAGATGCATCTGGTTCTTACTCGACATGCTAATTAGAATTTGTCTTGCAGCCAGTACCGGAGGGCTGCTCGGGTTGTTCATTGGCTTCAGCTTCCTCAGCGCAGTGGAGGTTTTGTACTTCGCAACCGTAAGACTTTGGTGCGGCATTGTGCGAAGACGTAAGAAGATGGTGGACAGTTATCCGTTTGTTAAGTGAATTTGTCATCTCACCACACCTTAAACTGAAGAATTTTCTGTTTATCTCACAAACGGACTAATTACACAATTATCGAATTATCTTTCGTATTTATATCTCACAAACTTATAACCCTTACATAAATTGCATAACCCACCTATAACTTATATTAAATTTATAAATTAATAAAGTTATTTAAATGAATAAATTATAAATTTAGGCAATATTTAAAAGTGAAAGCGAACTTAGCGTTTCGAATTGTGAATACCAACTCTTTCAAACAGTTCTGCCGGGCATATAATTTACAGACTACACGATTACACAAGGATTTGTGTTCAACTCTATCCCTCACCATTATTACAGAAACGTCATGTCCTTACGAACCAAGGCAGGCGATCCCGTGCCCATAACCTCTTCGACTTTTCACATTTATGGTCGGGATCGTCGTGATGGGCAAACTCAGCCTCTGAAATAAATGGGCGGAAATGAGTACAGGGAATCTTCCTGGGGAGTAAACGTGTGGCCGGTGCACAGGGAAAACAACCTCACTGTCATCTGTGAACAGACTGTCTAGAAAAATGTGGGAGCCTCGAAGTATTACAACCCCATGGGCCTCCAAGACCTGTTATAGGGATAGCTTTACCATTTTTATGACATACCTTTAACCATTAAATACTAATTCCTTGTAACCCTCGTGGCTGCTGTTTTATTCAAATTAATAGATAATCTGTTAATCCACACTGGAATCGTGGGTTTGAATCCCACTTGAGGTGTGGATGTCTCTGTTTATTCTGTTTGTAATATCCTGTGTAGGTAGCAGCCTTGCGACAAGCTGATCTCTGTCCAAGGATACCTACCAACTATCTGTAAGATTCATAATTTCAGAATTAATTCTGAATGGGAAAAGGCCACAGAGCCTAATTCATCAAGGCAAATGATGATGTAATTCATATGATATAATTTCTGTCCAGTTTGTTTCAATCTATTCACTGTTTTGTACACCTTTTCCCCACATCACATTGTTTGTATTTGGAAGTAGCCAGTCAGTATGAGTAGGTACTATCATAACATTTTCACATTTTCTTTCATCTCTCCATGTAAAAGTCTTAAGCAGATAACTATTTTCATTCCAGATCCTTTCCTACATATAATTCATGATATTTTTTTCACTCTCATGTGATAATTAATTTCTTCCGCTGAGAAAGCCTTACTAAGTAGATGAGAAATCTATTAATGCCAATTTTCACTTGTCAATTATGAATATTCCTCTAATTTTAGCACTGGGATCATCCAGTACTGCATTAAACCTGCAGGGAAAGTACACCCTGGTCACTCATCTATATAACAACAATCCTGACCTTAATTTTCATTTTTACATTCTTTACACACCTATAACTTTCAACATAATTTTATTTTCTCACACAAATAGGAGTGGAAGTTATTTATCAAATATATTATTATTACTATTATATGCTTTTCAATATATATATTAATCCTATGTAGTCAGTACTGCAACTGGCTATGGGCTGGAGCTCGAGTCTCAATAGGGTCAAGAATTTTCTGTTGTCCACATCCTGCAGACCAACTCTGAGGTACACCCAACCTCCTACTCATTGGGTACCAGGGGCTCTTTCCAGGGGGTAAAGTGGCCAGGGTGTGAAACTGACCACTCACCTCCAACTAGTGATGAGGTCAAGAAAATGTGGATCTATACATCCATTCCCCCATATGCCTTCATGGCGTAGTCCTTAATTACTTATGGATGGGGACAACTTTGCCTTTAAACCTAACAGCAAATCACTTACTGTGTATGCCACGTAACTACTTCTGCATGCACCCTATTTCACTCAATGCAACACACCAGTTCATTAAGGAAGTATGAATAAACTATATACGATTCTGAAGTTTTCAAGGCGAAGATGATTTATATTGTGGTCCTCTGGCTTATAACACCACATAGCTACTTGGAGCCGTAGCCCAAAGACAACAATATGAGTTTCACATTTTTTTTCTTACACACCCTTTTTATGTTCAAATATTTCAATAACTGTCACACAGAGCAATACTTAACATTTTCCACCATGTTCAGTTTTCCAGTTGTCATCAGGTAGAATGATTCATAGTAAATTCCCACTACTGTAGAGCAATTAAGTGCAAACAATTATATTGCTCTGTGATGTAAAATATTCTCAAGTAGAATCCAGTTTGTAAAATATATATCATAACCTTGTCCCCCCCCTTAAGATATAAATACTGTAAATCTAAACACTTCACTTATTCAACAGATAAATCGGCGTATCACAAAATTCACTAATAGAATATACAGAACATATCTTCCCATCTTATGGTTGCACTACAGAATTTAACTTTGGGGGTAAACAATTTTTATATCAACAAATTAATTACTTTTATCACATATAAATTACAGAGAATAAAATGTAAAAAGTAAATAAAGTAAAAAAAGTAAAGCTGTCCCTGTAACAGGCCATGAAGGCCCATAGGGTTGTGAGACGTTGAGGGTCCCACATTATCTAGATAATCGGCTCAAAGATGGCAGTAAGGTTGTCAGCCTTATGCGCTGGCTGTGCTTTACTCCCCAAGAAAATGATTTAATTAATTCCAGGTACTCATTTCTGTTAGAGGCTGAGTCGACCCCAGGGCCATAGTCTGGCTGGAAGGCTTAGGTCAACTGAAAAAAATCCAATGACCTCATCAGGACTTGAACCCGTGACCTTCCGGCTTGTAGCATAGTGCCTCAACGAACTACGCTACCGCATGACCCGAGAATAAAATGTGTGTTTACAAATATATAAATACTGTGTACTTCACTTCACATACTCTAAATCCAACCACGGCACACAATATTGTTCAAAAACAAAATACAGATATTTTATTAAAATGATGACAGCTGACCACACGGAAACTACTACTACCTGCTGTCTGCACTTCCTCTCTTTACTTCATGCACCACCATACCAGTATAAGAGTACACAGATATGTAGGACTCAAAATCATAAAAAGGGGCTTGTTTGCATCACAAATAATCACTAATCACATATGTCCTACAGAGATGATATTGCGCTGCACATAAATTGGAATTTTTATAAATACTTGTACATTTAACTGAACGTTTCAACCATGAATGGATATTTAACACATTGATCACACATAAATCTGCTGGCTGTCAACCTCCCGCACATTGAACTTGGTTTTAATTTATTTGCTTAGTCTGCACTTTCTCATATCACAGAGCCAGTGCTCCTCATAATATATGAGTACTGTTTCTATTGGTTAAAGACAGTATCTTTTTCTGCCTGATGCATCACTCCATCTTACTTCAACATTGCCATTCTTCTTTTGTGGAGGTAATTGTTCAAATCAGTGGAGGAACTGGTATCATCGCTGTGTTTACTTCAGTCCTTCCAGTTGAACACAGGGCCACTTCAGGATGCCACTCACCACTTTCTCCACACATCTCTGCATAATTTAGGTAAAAAAATTCACTTATTTTTCTACAAAATAGCCAAGAACAGCCTTTGTTGCCTGACATCCTCTTGTATTTCTTTTCAAGGTCTTCATCTGTCAAGGACAACTACCCTACAAAAGATTCTCCATCCTATGGCACTAATGCATCACAATACAGTAAAACTTGGTTATAGCAACATCGGTTTCTGCAACACCTTGTCTATTGCGTCAAATATTCAATGGTACGAACTAATTCCTCATAAAGCAACTGTTTTTATACCTTGCTTAGTACGACATGCACAAATGCATCAACCTCGTATGTAACGTCATTTTCATTCCTGAATTTCTCTGATATCGTGGGAAAGTTCGATGTGTCTGCCAACCCTCACTTTCTCTACTTGCTGACGTGACTGTCCTGGAAGAATACGACCGCGGGCTGCAAGAGGAGTGTGGGTTTTATGCGAAAACAAGGGTGTGGGGTGGGACTGCGTGAATAGTGCAAGAGGACGCGGCAGGTTGTTAACTGCATTCCTTTCCTAGAATCTCGTCTAACAGGACCTCACATTGTCTACTTACCCTATAGTGTTCCTGCCTAAACCCAGAGAAGTGCAGTAGCGAAAACATGGCAATGAAAAGGAAAGTTTTAAGCATTGAAGAGAAAGTTAAAGTGATTCGTGAAATATTGTGTGTATTGTCAGTGAAAAGCGCTGTAATATGTCTTTGATATTACACATTTGGGCAATTCCACGTTAATGTTACGTTAGTCTGTACTTAACTACGTATTTCACTAAAAAATGCAACATTTTAACTCGGTTTTTGGTAGATTTTTACGTGACTAACATAAGGCTACTGTGGAAGTGCCCATTTCGGTTACAACGACATTAGTTTATAACGACACTATTTTTAGGTCCCTTTGATGATGTTATAACCAAGTTCTACTGTAATTACTTCCCACAACACTAATAATAACTCCTGCAGTTAGCACAGAATCACTACATGAACTAGAAATTAATCACCAAACACTTGTGCCTATAACATTAGTTTCAATTCTACTGAAGATTCACACACCTTTCCTTGACTCCATACAATCTGTAATCCCTGACAATAGATGAGTACCACACATGCCAAAGCAGCAGAAAGTGAATGTGAAACACAGCTGAATCAACAAGGAAAGAATTTCCAGTTGCCATTAAACATTACACTTTCACTGTCAATACATCCCTGTTGTTAGATTCTATACATTACTCTTGCAGTCAGGCATACCAAAGGGAAGTGTCAGCTTACCTGAACATCATACCCAAAAAGACAACCTGTTAAAGGGGCTGGCAATACTGTTTGTTACTTACTTGTAAGAAGTTGAACTAATCATCCTCGGTGTTCTGGTACCAACCAATGAGTCAATTACTGTGAACTTTTATATATTTCTTCAATTTTTGGTATGTTTCCAGAGTGACAAAAATCAAGCTCATTTTATTTATCAGACTGTAATTCAATAAATAAGCCATATGTCATGAAGAAGTATGGGGGAATGAATGTATAGACTCATGTTTTCTTGATCTTAGCACTAGATGGGAGTGAGTGATCAGCTTCATGTCCCGGCTGCTTCATTCCCAGAGAAAGAGCCCCCAGTACCCATTAGATAAAAGGTTGGGTGGACCTCAGAGCCAGTCTGGAAGACATGGAGAAGAGAAAACTCTTTACCTTATCAGGACTTGAATTCTGACCCCAGTCGTCCAGTCAGTAGCCACTCACTATATCTACTGCACTACCCCAGCCCTCATTTATCAGATAACTTCCTAGTTATTTAGAGACAACTAGCAAGGAGTGTATCAGAAAATAAGCACTGTGTTTCCTCGTAGCTACCTTTCTGTAGGTAATCACACTTTCTGGTACTAAGAGTGGAAACAAAACAAAAATTCATATTATAAAAATCTGATCCAGTGACAAACTTGACCTCAGTGCGATTAGCTCAGCACTCCTACCCTAGAGAGATACAAGTCAACTTACATCTAAATTGACTTTTCTGTGCAAAAAATTCACCACAGTTGCTATTCTTCAGTGAGAAGAACTGTAAAAGCAACTGTTCATCACCACAATGTACAGTCATATTCCTAAACGCTATTCAAAAATAATAATAGTAAGGCAGAAAGTTATGCAAAGTATTGTTACAATGAATATACATTTGTATCTGCATTTATTACCCATTCACATGTGACACTTTATTAAAAATTAGGGAATTTACAAGCAGCCTTTTGAAGCTTATTAAAAGTGTTGTGGTTGTGTGGATTGAACAAATACAATTAAACAAGATTCCATCACCACAATATACTTAGGAGGCTATGAAAATGGTCCTCAGACAGTTGCATTTTAAGACCCCACTGGAAGTCCTTAGAGAGCAAGCTATGGGAAAGAACCTTGTAAAAATATCAATGTTCTTCTAGTACTGTTGCTTTGACTAATCTACAGTCTTTCAGGATCAGATTCCATTAAATCTGTAAAGGAAAAGTTAACTGAAGATTGATTAGTGGATTCTGTCAGTCATGCAGAATAAATTTATTTATATATGTATATATTCTTTTTAACACTCAGACAACACTCACATTTACTCACAATCTCAAATAAAAAAAATGTTCTCTCCACTAACTGCATGACAAGTTCCTCATAACCACTAACAAGACAGACAAGATAGACACAGTACCTAACTCCCTAAGAGAAAAATCAAACCAGCTGTCTGTTTACATGCACGCGCGCGCGCACACACACGCACACACAAAAAGTACATACATGCACACATGCACACGCACACACACACACTCAGTGTAAAATCAACAAGATGCGAATCAAACAAGTATTTCAGTTTATCGATGGACTTTAATAACGTAACATTATTTTGAAATTAAAGAGTTGCTTACTTTAATAAGGCGAAATTTTAAACATTTACAAAAAAACCTCTAGCAATAATTACATGTAAATATAAATCGTATGTATGGTCATCCAGTTCTGAACAACACTGACTGCTGTGAACCTTTACCTACTTTCATAAAAATGAATTCATAATTATATTATACGTTTCTGGAGCTACACAGTAGTTCTACTTTAAATACAATATTTTACAGTTAAACACACATTTTGTTTACTTTACTTCCTGCCTCTAAGAATATTGAACTGACTCTGCCCATCTTGCACTAGCCAGCCACCACAATACAAAGTGCAGCCGTTTAAAAAAAAGTTACATATAAGTTAACATATACAATGACAATATCAGACCTCTATCCCATACCTGAACCTAAAGTTATCTTGGGTTCTGGATACTGCAGAGGATGGAGACCATTTTAATTGTAAAATAACACTATAAATGGCCATTTACACAGTAAAACATAAAAGACATGTTATGACATTTATTTCACAAAAATTTACGCATTTCAACCATGAAGATGGCAACTTTGTCTACACATGTTCGTGGATGTGGAAGTAAATATAGCAAGTTACAGAATATCGCAATAAAAATTAAGTAGAAAGTAGTAAATAAGAAGAAACAACTGCACACACCAAGTTCATGTTAACAAAATTATTGCTCTATTTCCAACCAGTGTACTAAATTGGCACTTCCCTTAGTCAAATTTTTCAGTGAGGAAATCATGATGCAACAAACATCTCAGTCTTTTTCCAGTTTTTAATGGTATTATTACCTGAAAATTCATCAACAGCTATGAGTATATTGAAAATTAAAGCTATGTTAGTAATTTCTACAACTGCCACTTTTCACAGTGCAAAAGCCACAGCGGAAACATCTTCAAGATATGTCAGTAGAAGTCCACATATTAAAGAAAATATCATATCACAAGATCTCTTAGGCTTTGCTGTGTAAATGACTATTATAATCAGGTCAGACGGTGCAACCCGAGTAATTCAACTGGATGCAGCAAAGTATTTGATGAGCTCACTTTAAAATGAAATGACACCGTTACTGCACCTCAGTAACACACTTGCATGAACACTCCTATGCACACTGCATGCTATGTTCATAAACACAGTTTCTTTTAAAGCTACCATCGGTCATGAATGTCAGTACTCGACAAATGGGCAGTCATGGCCAGGTACGCAGTGTCCACATACCCCACGTCACATCGCTGCAGCATGCGAAGACACAATTTTGATCTTACTGCTTAATAATCTTGAAGTACATGCACGCAACTTCTGCATAAGCATGAGAGCTTTCTTTCGACTTTTCATCTGTCTAGACTTCGTACTTTCCATCCACTGTACAACCCAGACTACAAGACACTGAAATGTGAACCATCTGATGATTGTACTCCACTGAAACAGACAGAACAGACACAAATCTGCTGTGTGTTCTCAGTAAGTCACTGCTATTCAAGTTATGTCTCTCTCCTAATTGCTGATGTACATGGCACCGTCTGACCCGGTCTTGCAAGATAGATGGGAGGAGGAGCAATGCCACAGACACCATTCTGCTTGAGGGAAGAATGTAATGAAAGGAGTCGTTCAGATTGGCATCCCCCTCTTGACTTACCATATGACCCCCACCAAGTGCAATTAACATTTGTTGTTACAAGCAGCCATACTGTTTACCATCATGAGATTCACCACTGTCAACATAAACTGCCTGCACTGGTGGCAACCCTCCCACCTCCCTGCTGGCGCTGTTCTCTGTCTATTCATATTTCCCTTTCATTGCCTCAGTGATTTCACACAAACACCTTGGCAAGAGCATCAGCACCAGCACTTGCAATGTACGGCCGTGAAGGGTGAAACGCCACATCGAAGATACTCTCATCAAATTTTTTACGGTGGGCTGTGATTTCTTGAACGCATGTTTTGTTGTCTAGATTCCACAAGCGAATGCTGCAGTCATGACCTGCAATGTTCAGAATTATACATTTTAAAAATGCAATGTATGCAGTTTCAGAGTATGATTTTGTTAAGAAACAGCTGCTATTATGCTACTAAGACACAGGATTTAGAGTGACAGTAATACTCACTCCCTGAAAGTAGATAGAGTCCATTGGGGTCAACAGCAAGACTGGTAACTGAATCAAGATGTGCTACCATTGAATGAACCAACTTCCCTGTTGTATTATCAAAGAATCGGATGTGCCTGTCTTCATGCGCTGTAATAGTCAGTGGTAGAGTCGGATGTGCCACTACACAGTTGATCTGTCGACCTATCACATTGTTGTCAACCTCCTGAGGAGATCACAAAGTTAATTAAAAATGATCTGAGTGATTTATGATAGAACCAACAGTAGCTTCAAAACTAGGCATAGGGAAATAAACTCTCCCCCTTTTCCTCCTCCTCCTTACATAAATAAAATGTATGCTGCTTTTCTGGCTATGCATACATAAAAGCAACATTCTTCTTCCGCCAGACTTTCTGCAGCATATCACTATGAATTCTTCTAATTGCATTTCACACTCTTTCCTTTAACATGTGTGAAGTTCCTGACTCCAGGCAGGAAAAAATTTCATTCCAGACATAACCCTACAGAAACAAGTCGAGAGGGTTCGATCAGGTGTAATGTAACATAATGGAAATAACCACTCTCAGCCAAGTCAATTAACAAGCAACTGTTTGTTCATTAAGGATAAAGTGAAACTCTCATATAAGGTTTCTTCAGACAGCAGTGGGAACTGGGGAAAATCTTACATGGAGGTAATTCAACACTGAAATAGATCAGGAAAACCTTAAACCGAAGAACATTAAATCGGGTGTTCCACTGGAGTTATAACAGATGTTCTGGCTGCTAGAACACAAAATGGATGCTGTGTTCTAACACGACAGTGCATCACTTCCACAATTTCCTCAAGGTCACAACATTCCTAAATGAACATCTACCCGATTTAGATCGGTCAAGGGGGACACATTTCCTTCTAGATGCATTCGCCAAATCTAAACCCCCTCGGCCTTTTATCTGTGGGCTACACCGAGATGCAGTTTTCGTTCTGCTAGAGCCAGAAACTTTAACTTTTATTAAACATGGGTTGCACTACTGTTACGGGGCAGGAGCACAGGCTAGCAGCAAAGTGTTGCATTTTATCAATACTAACATTGTTATCTCAAGTTAAAATCTGGCCACTACTCCCATAGTCTCAGACATTTAAAATTTACCATTTCTGGAAAACAAATGTTAAAGGGAAGGATAAGAAGCAGGTTGGAAAGTTCATGTAACATATCACAGAACATCATGGGAGAAAGTGAGAGAAAAAAAGATTTCAGTTCTTGTAGCTTCATTTCACTGTATCACTGTTAGTCATTTCACAACAGATATTTGAAGTCACATCTGTCATCAGCCGGTACTTACTACAATCTTCCCCCATTTTTCTAGTCATAATATAATCTGTTGGTCTGAAGAGAATGATAAAAAATTCAGTCTAATCCATAGTGACATTCTACTAACATAACCCTTAATCAATGTTTATTATCTTATACACAGTACAGAGAACACACTGTAATGAGAAAAACATATTACAAAAACAAGTATCTGAAAGAAGTTTGGGGTCTTCAGTATATATATTTACTATTTTCACTTATGCTACCTGAAGAGCAGTATGAAAAAGCATAGTGGACCCACTCCAGATTTTCAAATTAGTGGGTGTTCACACATTCTTTGCCAAAGCCCTTCAACAAGTATCAATATCTTACACATCACAGATATGAGAAGAAATTTTGTCACCTGAGTTGTTTCAAGCCGTACAACGGGTTTCCCTGATTCCAAATCATAGACAATACAATGGGCAGAATTATACGCTGCCACCATACGATTTGGTTCATCTCGGATGAAGTCCACTGAAGTTGGGGCTCCATCTACATATAAGTTACAACACAATTATGTTAATTTAGAAATTACATAATAGCAACATATCCCCTGAGTAACCAAGAGAGTTTCACTAGAGAACTTGAAAAACTAACATTGCTATTGCCTGTGTTGTTGATATATCAGTGTCCCAAAACTTTATCACCTTACTTTATTCTAAAATTTCTATCATTATTTTTTCTTTACAGCACATATTTCATTAGCTACAGCGTTGAATATATGTGCAAATATTCTTTAAAACAAATTAAATAAAGCAATTGAGAGTTCTTTTCCTTAAATATGGGTTCATGAAGTTTTAGGAATGGAAGACATTAAACCTGGAATATTACTAAAAAAAGAAGGTAGAAATAACAAAAACAACAATGTACCATGCTGCAATTATGTTTCAATAAAATACAAAATTAAACAAAGAAATATTTAGGTAATAATCTACCTTGATCAGAAATATACGTGGAAAGAAGTGGAACTTTGCTAGTAGGTGACCAGAGTTTAACCGTGCCATCAGCTGAGCACGAAAGCAGCTGTAGACGTTGACTGTGTATACTGAGCCCCCAAACAGCATCTGTATGCCCTTCCATGTTCCCGGTCAGCACACCTGGATCTAACGGAGAGAACAGTTATTACTACATGCAGCACATGTACAATGAATAGCCCAAGAAAGCAGCACTTACAAGAGCAAGAACATAACACAATGATGGAAAACTATATACTTCATGAACTCTATAGATTTCCTGTGTTTCACATAGCTTTGTGCCTATACAGCTACACTTCAGACAAAACACAATGCAATATCATTTGCCTCAACGACTCTGATAATCTGCTTCAATACTCCCAACCAAGAAATACCATGGTATCTAAGCCACATATGTTCACTGTCAATTTCACCAACATATGCAAGGTAACAAATAAGCAGTTTGGTTCAAAGACTAACAGTGCAGTGGTAGTATAACGGAAGGCATGCGTTCTGGATACACCTGTCCATTCTTATGTCCTCTGATTAAAGGTCCCCTTACAATCTGGAACACCCATACCAAAATGTTACTCAAAATTGAACAGGGCTGTGGAAATTTCTTTGGCTCACAAATATAGACTTTAATTTTGCTCAATAAATCATGTTATAGGTGCTGGATTCCAGTTTTGTATGTTAATTTTTTCCTGTAAAGCATAGTGCTACAGGTATCTCCATACTCCACACGAAGCTGACAGCAGTGACTGAAAATCAAATATTATTCACAGCAGTACTGAAGGTCACTGTCACATGGTTAACAGTCCTGCTTCAACTTGGGAAGCACCAGGTGCAAATCTTTGCCCAGAGACCAAATACTCTGACCAAGATTTTCCATGTTCTTTCCAATTCATTAATCATGCCACAATTGGACACAGTATAATCTTGGCTATTGAAAATTTGTTAAAGGAAGAAGTTATCAGAGGAATTAATCAACCACTTTCCTTTCACTATAATCTGAGTAGCTGATATGACAAGTAGCAAATAAGTACTTCTGTATGAAAGCATAATGAAGTCAATACAACAATATAATTTGAGAGGCTATGATGTTGGTATTACTAATGGGAGGAATTTATGAAGTATGCCTTTCAGATGGCCTCTGGTGGCACGACACACATACCAAGTTCCATGATGATTGGTTCAGGCATTCAAGAAATATTAAGATTATTCCCTCAGCTATTTATGAGGCTAGAGTGTTGGTATTACTGATGGGAAGGATTTATGAAGCACACTGCTGAGATGGCCTTCAGTGGCATGATATACATGACATCTTATGATGACTGGTTCAGGCATTCCAGCAATATTAAGGTTACTGCATCAACAATTTAGAGGCTGCAGTGTTGTTATTACTAATATGGGGCATTTATGAAATACACCAATGAGAGGGCCTCATGTGGAATGACATACATAACAAGTTTAGTGAATATTTGTTTAGGCATTCAAGTAACATTAAGGTCATTACCCAAACAATGTGAGAGGCTCTGATGTTGGTATTACTGATGGGGGGAATTCATGAAGTATGATGTGGAGAAGGACTCAGGTGGCATGATATACATACTAAGTTTCATAAATATCAGTTCGTGTATTCAAAACTTCTTGACACGCATACACACGCAGAGATGGCAAGGCAATCTCATAATCCTACTTTTTTTTTTTTCAAATTATGAAAAGCAGGCTAAAAATATATGGCAATATCTTAACATATAGAGGATTACCATAAACTAAATTTAAAAAATTTACAGCCCTAGTTTTACTGAAGATAAAAATGTGAAACAGGTACCAAATGACAAAGCACATCCTTGAGTTGATTTTAGAAATCCCCTATGTGTACTTCTCTTAACATAGCATACTTCCCAATAGTAGCCCAGTTTTGGCCAAATCCTATTAAGCGTGCTCTTGTTCACTTCCTGTTCACCTCAATCTTAAAGTGATTCATTACTGCTTGGCACAGATGGCTAACATCATCATTCATGAAACTCTTTAACAAGAAGTTCAAGGACAATAAATCAGATAAAGCTCGGTTATAATGGAGATTTGTTCACCACTGCCAAATATCTGCTACAGTAACATCACAGAAAGAATGCATGTCCAGGAAAAATGTGGAAGCATGTCATCAAACACCAAGTAACTATTACAGAGAAACACCTCTGGGATATACTGCACACTTTGGCACAGGTTTTATATTCATATTTCTAATAAAAGCTACAAAATATATTTTTGTAGCGAAGTAAACTTCTAAATACTTCACTGACATGTGTATGTGTGATTGTGTGATTATAGATGGTATGGGTTGGATATTGGATTTACTGACCACTTGTATACACCACTTAAACTACACTTTACAGATCACTGACAAACAAAGACTAGTGACCTCAGTCAATTACAGTCTCAACTAGCCATCTTCTGGCAATGGCTTATACTGAGAGAGATTCTTCAGTTTCCTGTAATCAGGTCCTCATCAGTCCCCCATGCAGAACTCTTGTCAACTGACAAAATCAACTAACTGGGTCCCAGGCTGGCAGTCATTTCACATCAACCTTCTAGTCTTCTCCTCACAGATTGACATTCAACTGCAACTGAACTCTCTCGCTCACCAACCAGCTACTTCATGTCACTTAACTCAACAGAACTGCTGACAACCGACTGCAGCTCAGCTGGTGTCTTTGTTATATAACCTCAGGGCATACTTCACCATTCCTTCAGTCAAATATTTTCTTGGACACTCTGTCATAAACACTTGTAATATTGAAATTACATGAAAATAGAAAACCAGATCATACTCAGGAGCCAGACAAGAGCAATGCAGTCCTAGCAGAACCTGACTTACAAGCTCAATGGGTTCATTAGGAAAGAAACACAGCAAACAATGCCAAATCTTTGTATGCCTCTTACTTCAACATATGTGACAGCACATACCAAATGAATCATATGGATCTATGTTGGCGCAAGGTAAGTTCCAGCAATGGATGGCACCATCCAAGCCTCCACTGTAGCACTGTTCTCCTGTAGCACTCATTGCAAGACATAAAACAGGCCCAGTGTGGCATCGGAATGTGTACAGTGGCTCCACATCTAATGAGGCTGACCTACAAACAATACAACAATGTAACATGTGGAGGACTACATCCTGGTGTATATTAGGGTTCTATAACTGTTTTTATTTTATTCTCAGAAATGTATCAATTAAGCTATCACAGACATTAGGGGTTCTTATTTGCTTCAGGATAACAGATCTAGGTGGCATTTAAGGGCAGATAATAACAACAACAAAAATTCATGCCATGCAAGATGGACAAATCTAAATAGTGCATATACGTGAAGGAATTCTTTGAGTAATTACTTGCAGACAGTGCCGACAACCTCCAATAGGAATAACGGTGATGACAAGATAACAGTGATTCTATGTTAAGTAATGACATTCTTTATTATGAAATATTCCCTGGATATTCCTCCACACCCCAATCTTTAAATCAATCATGTATGTGCATTACTTTGGAGCTAAAAATTTATTTTATAAAATGATATCAGAACAGTGATTATAAGCCTCAGAAGTTATCCTACAGGAATGATTCTTGCACCCATAGATCTAATGTTTCTGAACACCATACAATATATTTTGACATGTTGCAAGTCAAGTATGAAAGTGATGGATGAATGTGATACAACTGGATATTCGCTCACGCAGCAGGAATCCGCTCGAAACGAGCTGGTCTTAAGAGGGGAACGGTTGTAACGGCCGGATAATAGTCACTGCGAGGAGTAGCCAAAACAGGAGACGCAGAAAGCACAGCCTCCAAAGAAACGGAACGGGGATGCACAGTTAGGCTATTTGGGATGAACAGCCTTAAGGAGGGAGCAGTGTGACATGTTGCGCAACGGAGGACCCCTACCTCCCCAGCGGCACGTGGCAGTAACGTAGCGCTCTCGTTACTATGGTAATAGGCGAGTCATCACCCCGCCACTCTCCCCACGGTGACGTAAGATGGCGTGAGGTAACAGCATTGCTAAGCTATATGCAAACACGGCGACGTGGCACCGATTCCTACTATGACAAGGCACTTATTACGCAACAGGCAAGCACTGCGGCTATATAAGGGAATTGGAACAGTCGCCGAGTTCAGTTGAAGTCAAGTTATCTTGTAGCCGTCCCCAGAGAGAGTTAAAGTGTATCAGCGCTGAAGACAGTTCTCCAGTCAGCAGCCTACAGTTGGAGTCTAGCAGCATTCGCGGAAAGAAGAACCGGACATGTGTAGTTGTGTAATTGGGAGTGTGTGATACAGGGACACTTACATAGCTCCTGTACCGTAAACGTGCAGACCACTGAAGACAGAGTGAACTGATTTGCGCATAGGGTTATAAGTCGTGAAACCCCGCAACAGTGTTAACAGATTATTGCGATTAGGGTTATAAAGTGTGAAACCCCGCAACTGTGTGATAATTAATTGTAGCCATTACTTGTAGGTTGTTGAATAAACAATTAACAATCTGGGCAGCTGCAATGGGAAGTCAGCAACTAACTGCCTGAGCTATGACACAGCCACCTTTTTTATTACTAAAGCAGTTTATATATGGGTTAAAAAAAATTCTATAATCGATGATTACAAGAGTTCAAATACATCATACTTATGTTCTAGTCAGCTTCACTGACTCTCCTAAAGGCGAAATGCATTTAAAGGGTGAGGACACCTATAAGGCACTCTGCTACCTCCAACAAAAGGATAGCGATGAGGAAATATACAGCTTAAACACTTTTCTCCACCTAAAGAACAGAGCAAAACTGACTGGCCTTTGCTTCTTCTAGCATATTAAAATGTAATAAAATCTTATTTAAAAAATGAATACCTCAAATAAAAGGACTAACAGCAATGGACACTAATATTTTAAATGGAAGAAGCAAAGGACTGAAGAGTGAACCATACTGAAGCCGTGGTGTTCCACTTTTAAAAGAGGTAAGGGTGGGAGAAAATCTGCAATGGCTCTAACTGATCTCGAATCCAATACCTTCTTCATGGCCAAAGAGCACCTTAAACCCTTAGTCACAACCACAAAGATTACTGTCTTCTGGGATGTGACACCATGCAGTTCAGCAGATGTCTACACTTTTTGCCTCTCCCTTTACATCCATGAGTATCTAGTGGACTATATGCCATAACATCCCTGGATACAATATTAAGTCACAATCATATTTCATAGAATTACAACTAATTAATTTACTAATGAGAGAAGCTTCCTGAGCACCATATATAAAATGTTCTGGCTGCTGTGGTGGGCTCAGGGTCTTAGTATTAGTAAAGAACTTCATAAGTTTTCAGCACACAACAGGCCTGCAGTCATGCAAATGGATTGAGATGCAAATATATACAGGATGTCCCAGGAGGAATGTGCCAAACTTCAGGAGGGTGTTCCTTATGTTAAAGTATGCTGATATAACCCAAAACACCTATGTCCAAAGTTGAACGGTTACAGAGATAATGGCCCGAGAAAAGTGTGGTCTTCTGGCAGGTCCACGCACTGTACCTGTCAGCTGAGATGTCTTATCTATGTTTGTCCTTGAGTGTGGTGATTCACACTACCCGTAAGCTCATATGCTACGTACAGAGTACGCTGCGGCCGCGTCGTGAAAGGTTGGTAATTAGTTGTGCGGAGTTGCTGAAATGTCCTTTGTGCTTTCACACGTGGAATATTGTGATATGCATTTTGTGTGTGGATTTTGCGGTGGCAATGCACGTGCTGCTGTTGAAGAATACCAAAGGCATTTTCCCGATCGAAGGATTCCATCTCGAAGTGTATTTACGCGAATTCACCAGACATTGCGTGATACTGGTTCTCTTGCAAGTGTTTCTGTGCACTCTGAAAGGCAGGATGTACGAATGATAGACACACGAGAGAACATTCTTGATATGGTTCAGAGAAGTCCGCGTCTGTCCACTCGTAGAATGGCCTCTCGCATCGGCGTATCACGTATGCAGGTGTGGCGAACTTTACATGATGAAGAGTTGTATCCTTACCATGATCAAAGGGTACAACATCTGGAACCAGGCGACCATGCACAGCGTATGGATTTGTGCCACTGGATAAAAGCTCATCCCGAACTGTTAAGCGTCATTTTATTCAGTGATGAGGCGTCTTTTACCCTGGATGGTGTAAATAATTTACGAAATGTGCATACGTGGTTCCATAATAATCCACATGAGATAATGGAAACGAAATTCCAAAAGAGATTTCCTGTGAATGTACGTTTACAGTTATGTGGTCGGGTTATAGCGCAGCCATATTACGTCATCGCTCGCCAGTCATGTGTCATGTATAGTGCTTGGAAACCCTAAGGACAATTATGACATGGCGAGCGAGTATTTCGTACTTCAATTTTATGGCTTTCCGTCACTCACAAGTTAGTTTGATGTTACGTACATTATTAACATTACAGAATCCACATATTCCTGCCAGTTTTAATATGTATTTTGTAATCAACAAGCGTGTAACACCGGTCAAAGTTTCACACTTCTCTGGCCATTATCTCTGTAACCGTTCAACTTTGGACAAAGGTGTTTTGGGTTATATGCATGTGAGATGTCTCACATCAAGAACTCACTTCTTGGCAGGCACTGTTTTTTGAAGGTTCCATAGTTTGAGTGTGTGATCTTCACTTGCTGTGATGAGAACAGGCTCCACAGGATGAAATGCCAGGGCACGTACTCCATCAAAATGACTGCGAAGTGTGTACTTCGCATTCCATGTCTTTCTATAGGATTCTTTTGTGGTTGCAATCTGTAATACATGAAAAACCATAAATATTAAATGTATGCATCAATGCTTACTGTGGATCTGTATGATTAGTTCTAAAAATGTAAAAGTAGGTTCATACGGAACCTAACTTGCAACTTTCCAAAGGTAAAAGGTGCACAAGCTTGTGCATGTGTGCACATTGTGTGTGTGTGTGTGTGTGTGAAGGGGAGGGGGATTAAAGGCATGTCAACGTCAGTGGCTACAGATGCCAGTATAAAAATAACATTTCTTTATGTTAATACTTTAATAAGAACGCAAACTTCATTTTAACAAATTAAACAAGACACTTTGTTTTCATATTAGTTAAAACATTTAGGGAATTTCAGTTGTCAAGATATCAAACTCACTTCACTGGATCAAATATTTATTTTCTACGCATGTTTGTGGCACAGAAATTAAATTTAAGTTAGAAATGCCTGGCAAGAATGCAATTTGGAGCCCAGACACAGGCTACAGTTCTAATGAGAAGACTTCAACTTGAAAATGAACATGTATGGAACTGGCACAGACAGCATAAAACATGAAAACAAACATCTTTTAGGCCTGATATTCAAGTGGCTAAGTTAAATAATGGTACAATGTTCCCACATCAAAACAATCATAAATTTACTTGGACATCTCCTGATGGAAAGACTCACAATTAAATTGACCATATTTTGATAGACAGGAGACAATATTCAATTGTACCTGATGTCCAATCATTCAGGGCAGCAGACTGTGACACTGACAACTCTCTGGTGGTGGCAAAAGTTAGAGAGAGAAACTGGCAGTGAGTATGGCTATAGGATCCAAGTGAAATAAATGGGGATAATCTCAAAAATATAAGATGTGAAGCCAGGAATAAAAAGAGGGACATCTGAAAGAAAAAACAATGAGCTTGTAATGAACAGTAGGAACAAGAACATTAGAGACTTGTATAGAGGAACAAATGAATTTAAGAGTGGTTACCAACCTACAAGTAATTTAGTGAAGGATGAGAATGATGATTTTGTGGATTGCCACAACATTTTGAATAGGCGTAAGAACTACTTCTCTCAGTTACTGAATGTACACTTGGTATAAAATATCACATGGCACTGTCTGAGTTGAGGTAGCAGTTAACACTGTTAAACTTATATTCTGAAGGTGCTTAGGGGAAATATGCAGTGGGATTGAGGTTTTCTGTGAGTTTCCTCAGTGCCTCCAGGCAAATGTCTAGCCTATACCCTGATTAGGCCATGACCACTTCCTTCAAAATCCTTTCCAATAGATCTATTCCACAATTTTATGCTATACAATACAGCTACTAACAGCATTATAAAATGGCCCACAAAAAAAATTACAAGGCAATCATTTAGGACAATGAAGAGTGCCATCTTCTTGGATGTGGCAATGTGTAGATCTTGTGTGAACCAACATTTCTGACTGCAGACTGCAGCCACCTACTCACACTGGTTTCTTGTTCACAGATTTTTCCACAATGAAGACGGAGGCTATACATTCCTCCAAAATATCAATTCACAAAAGCTCTACATGACGCCACATCCCAGAAGACAGTATTCTTCATGGTCACCACCGTGAAAACCTCAAATCTTATTTAGGACAATGCTAAAATATATCCAAACCTATGGAATACTGAACTATGTCGATTCAGGTTCACACAGTAACACCGTGTGATTCAGCATGAACATACAGAAGGTACTTCTTACATCATATGCAGCCTCTGCCTCATTGTTCACTGTGAGTTGTGCAAGTTCACCTAAACCAAGATTTGGAACGTCCTCATCTCCTAGGCCTCCTGCTCCCATCTGTCGACGATGGCCTGCACCAGGCTGGAACCCCATACCTGCACCTCCTGTAAGAAGTAATCAGACAATCTATCTATATCTATCTATTCATGCTACTCCCACTTGGAGCACAGGATATTCATGAAATGCTTGTTTCACTTAAGTTTCTTAGATAGATGGCAGCACTCCTTGGACACACTCCTTACACACAGGCAAATAAACTCAGACTTGAGTGGGATTCAAACCCACAATCACATGTTCAAGTGGGTGAAGACATGTCATGCTCTAGGCCACGCAGCCACTGTGACTGGCAATCAGATGATCAGAAACTAAGAAGATGAATAAATAATATTTGAAGATAATGTCATAAACGGTGGTTTCCAAAAGTTATTCTCAGAATGCAGCTAAAACCAGTTAATAATGTGACATGTTGCGCAAAGGAGAACCCCCCCCACCAGCAGTGATGCAGCGGGTGAGTCAGCGCTCACCTCCCCCTCCTTCGCGGTGACGTAACGCGCAATGCTACGTACCCGTAATCAACTTCCTACTGTGACGTGGCACTCATTACGCAACAGGCAAGCACTGCAGCTATATAAGTGAGCTGCACAGCAGCTACCAGTCAGTTGTACTGTGACAGCCGCCGAGTTGTAAAGTAACAGTCGCCTAGTCAGTTGTAACCTGGCCATCGCCGAAGATAGTTCCGAGCAAGCCTACAAGCGAGTGTGTTATCAACAGTTCTCCAGTCAGCCGACAACGAGTTGGAGTATAGCAGCCGTCGCGGTAAGAAGATCCGGACGTGTGTGCGATTGTGTAATTGGGAGCGTGTGATACAGTGATACAAAGCTCCCCTACTGTAAACGTGTTACTACTGAAGACAGAGTGAACTGATTTGCGCATAGGGTTATAAAGCATGAAAGCCCGCAACAGTGTTAACAGATTAATGCGATTAGGGTTATAAAGTGTGAAACTCCCCAACTGTGTGATAAGTAATTGTAGCCGTTATTTGTAGATTGTTAAATAAACCAATTAACCATCTCTACGGCGTCTTCAGTAACGAAACACGTTACAATAATTTAGCAGAGGAATTTCTTTGAAGGTGACTTCTTGGAAAACTAAGATTTTAGATTAATTAAAATGGACCCTAAGACAGTAGGTTAGATTTTATACAGTGATGTAAGAATAGGAATACTGTCTCCATGATGAATGTTTTACAAAACATAAACTCCCCACTTTCCAGCAAGTATGTGGAGAATGGGATATTCCAGTTACATCAATCTGCCAGTTGCATGTAAACACAAAACCCAATTTCAATGCAATTTTCACCCTTTTCTGGTCCTTAATATATTTCTATACTGTGCTTCAAAGTTAGAACAACATATTTTCACTTAGTATTGTGTAAGAGTCTTCTTAGGAGACAGGAGATTTACGGGTGAAAGATTCTGGATATACTATAATGCCATCACATATATTGAGCTAACCTTTGCTGTAATCATGGATCAGTACAATGGTAATGCACTTGCATGAGTGAGAATGGACAGCCCTGAACTAACCATACAAGTATTAAGTTTCTTTTGAAATATTCACTGATTACATTGAAATTCAGAATTCAATACTATATTCCATTTTGAATGAACTTTGGAGATAGATGAAGAACTGTGTGCTTGCTTTATAGGTTGGCAGAAGGCATTTGACCGTGTAAATTGGACCAAATTAATGCAGATCCTAATGGAAACAGGTATCGATTGGCGTGAAAGAAGCTTGATTAGTAAATTGTACATGGATCAGAAACTTAGAGTAAGACTGGACAGAGGGGAGACAAGAAGTGTGAAGATTGGAAGAGGAGTTTGACAAGGATGCTGTTTATCACCAATTTTGTTCAACTTGTACAGTGAATGACCTACCAAAGAAGCTCCGGACGGGCCAGGAGACTTCAAATTAGGAGGGCAAATTATTCAAACTGTGAAATATGCAGATGACCTTGTGTTAATGGCTAAGGAAGAAACTGTGCTACAGGGTATGATTGATAGACTAATTGAAATTGGAAGGTGCCATGGCATGGAAATGAATGTGGAAAAAACAAAAGTAATGAAAATTTCAAGACAACCAACCCCAGTCACAATAAAGATAGACCAAAAACAACTGGAGAATGTGAAATGTTTTAAATATTTGGGTAGCTTGTTAACAGATGATGGAAGGTGTACGTGTGAAATTAAATCTAGGATTGTCATGGCAAAAGCTGCATTTAGCAAGAAGAAGAATCTTTTTACCAGCAAATTGGACTTAAATTTGAGAAAGAAACTAGTGAAATGCTACGTTTGGAGCATCGCTTTGTATGGGGCTGAAACTTGGACACTTATGGCAGTAGATAAGAAACACCCGGAAAGCTTCGAAATGTGGTGTTGGAGAAGGATGGAGAAGATCAGTTGGACCGATTATGTGAGAAATGAAGTGTTATTTAGAGTCAGTGAACAGAGGAATATCCTACACAAAATACGAAAACGGAAGGCTAATTGGATTGGTCATATCTTACGCGGTAACTGCCTTCTAAAAGAAGTTATTGAAGGAAAGATAGAGGGGTGGATAGAAGTGACCAGAAGATTAGGAAGAAGATGCTGGATGACCTTGGGGACAGAAGAGGATATTTTCATTTGAAGGAGAAAGCTCTAGATCGCATCAAGTGGAGGAACTGTTTTGGAAGAGACTGTGGACCTGTCGACAGATTACAGATGAATGAATGAATTCCATTTTGTGACAATATGTCACCAGTCTTCAATAAAATGTCTCAGTTACTGCCTAGATGCAGTGACCTACCACTTGTGAAACATGACACAGACACAACATGTGAAAGCATACAATAATATATAGATCCTATGAGTGTATCTGTGTGTAAAGGAAAGAGAGAGCTGAGAACAACTAATTACTGAAAGTAATGAAGTGACAGAAATCAGCATCCTTATTTCTATTACTTGTTTCTGTGATGAATGTTAAAATGGACTGCAGGTCCACATCAGCTGTAATGTAAACAGACTAACATGAAACCTTAATTTAATCCTTCTTGATTGATGATTACCCTCACTTAGCACTGAATTCCTACAGATCTAGATTCACTATTGCATTAAATCCCAAAAGTTTAAAGTTCTGTTCAGTGCTGTTGATATCCAGTGTCTCCCAGGTAAATTTTACATATCTGAATTAATCCCAACAAGGTTCTGACAAAGGCTTTTTACTGTCATGTTTAAGTGGAAAACAAGGAGTTGTCTTTATCATAACTGCTTCAGTTCCTTTAGATATATGGTAATACAGTTCTTTGAAGCTCGTACCCCAATCAGTTGGATCGCCTTGTGTATGTATATCAGAACCAGAATCTTCTGTCTCTGTCAGTAGGTTCAACTCATTGAGGACTTCTTCTGCTTCAGCATCCACATCATCTGCCAAACCTTCATTCAACATTAGAGACTGAAAGAAAACCATTTTGATACATATTACCCTCAACATTGCATGTTCTGTGGACTACAGTGCCTATATGATCCGATCTGTATCACATCAGAGAACATCACTGTTGAGTAGGGTGGCACTCCTATATATTTGGAAATTCGCAACTTCAANAGATGGACAGATACATATATTTAAAAAAAAAAAAAAAAAAAAAAAAAAAAAAAAAAAAAAAAAAAAAAAAAACTCCTGGCCAATACTTTAACTTATGCCCAGACCACATCCTTCAACATTCTTGGTAGTTCATTATTCACCAATCACCCTATCCTCTGACACAAAATACTTCAACATTCTTTGTAATTCATTATTCACCAATCACCCTATCCTCTGACACTAAATAATCAATCACACACATGCACATTTATGTAACGTAGGTATCATTAACTTAAGCACTGTGTACTATTTTCAATACATGCATATACACAGAAAAATGAATGAAGGTAAATACATGCTTCAAAAGAATAAAGTGTAATGACACCTGATCTGCTGCTTCCAAAGCAAGCCTGAATGATTGGATGTACAGTTTCGATCAATGTGTAAGTATTTCTGGAGGCTACAGAACATATCTTTCTTTTTACTTTTTAGAAAACAAACCTTCAGTAAATCACATCTGTGTATTTTATTATTCTTTTTAAAGCCACATACACTACCAATACTCTACATATACTGGCAAGACCATGTACTAAAATTATTAAATATGGCTTCACTAAAATTATTCTCAGTTTACATAACAATGATGCTTCCACCGCAGATGTTATGTACAGTCAAATGTAATATGAAGATATCACATATGTGGTCAGCAGGAATTTGGAAGACAGTGCTTGTGTCCTAGTATTTCAAGGTACTAACCCAGCATTCAATTGGAAACTGCGGAAAACCATGAGACACTTGTCAGGATAGTCAGTACTCCAACTGAGACTCACACTAGGTACCTCTCAAATACAATTTTAGGGCATTACTGTATCATCAACCTGATTGGTTCAATGCACTTACAAATCCAAAACCAATCATGAAAAACGCATATTAGAAGTTATTACCTTTCCCTTACGCTTGGTTGTCTTAACATCATCTTGATCATCATCATCAGGTGGCTCAAGATCATCACTCATATCATCATCATCATCCATATCAACATCAGTTTGGGAGAGGAATTCAAAATTTGCTATAACTGCTGCTTCTGTGTCCAGAATCATTGCTTCTGCTAAAGATGATGGCTGGGCCTAAAAAAGGAAATACATCAACACGATCATCTACAGGATGTCTATGCTTATGCCTACAGTGGGCAGCATGTGTATCGCTGTTTGTATGTCCCATGTTGCTACCCTCAAAGTTATGCTTGGTTGCCTCTACCTTCATTTGGTGGCAGAGGCTGAGGCCAGAGCCCTGGCTTACAGGCTCAGATATATCAGTATGTAGATCACACTCAAATCCTTGGTGACTAATAGATTCAGATCCCATGTTACAGATGTGTCAGGATAAAAAGATACCAATAATTGCTTCTGGGACTCCCTTTAAGTATAGGTCCCATCATACGAACACTATTCACTTGCCTTATGAACCTCTGATCCACAGGGCTAGTCTGGTATATAGCACAGACCAGGATGGCAAGACTGGGGCATGTGTAGGTAGGTCACCAAGGAAGAGGTCATATCAAAGCTTGTCTGGGAATGTTGACAGACAAGGTGTGCCCTCTCTATAGTCAGAACAAGGTTATGCTCATCTGTGTCTGCAGTCACAGGGAGATTCAGGGTAATGAGAATGCATATGTCTTGCGTACAGATATATCAGGTAGGTCGATTCTCAGTCCTAAACCTGCAATTTCAGTCCCACCGTGTGCTTGGAGGCTCTAGGTTAATGACTGGCCAAAGAGGACGTACTCAAAACATTGGGCTGCCACACCAGGTATGAAGCAGTCTAAGCTCTTCATTGAAAGACCTTCAAGTACACTGTCCAGGTACCTACTGGCTTCGGACAGGAAATAATGTAGGCTACTAATAGGGCTGTTGACTAGCAACTGTATACTCAGCCAGCATTCACATTTTACAGCTCTCTCAGAAAGTGCCAAGTGCAGAATACTGGGGGAAAACAGAAGAATTATCCTGCCATATACTTTATCAATGTCCAGTTCTGGGTAGGCATAGAATAGAGACTTTCAGCTTCCATGATTAGAGCTGGCAGATACCAGGTAAGCCTCAATTAACATGGTTTTAGCTACAGCATTACATCAATGTTCTCTGAAGCACCCTAGTAAAACTGGAGGATGCAATGAACCTTGGACTTGTCTGAGTGCTTGGGGCAACTAAAACGGTCCTGTCTTAGTCAATACCAGAACCAATCAAGTGATATTTCCACCATAGTGGTTATCCTGTAACACAGCCCCATCCGTTCTTCTCCACCCACCGTTAAAAGCGCCCTCTTGTACCTGTATCCATATTTCCCTTCTCTACATCATGCAGGGCACGCGGTAGTATACTTGGTTGAGGCAATATGCTACAAGTCGGAAGGTTGCGGGTTTAGTCCCCACGAGGTGGATTCTTTTTCAATTTACCTAATCCTTCCAGCTGCACTATGACACTGGAGTTGGCTCAGCCTCTAACGGAAATGAGTACCAGGAATCCTCCTGTGGGCTAAAGAATGGCTGGCATGTAAGGCTGACAACATCACCACCATCTGTAAGCCGACTGTCTAGAAAATGTGGGAGCTTCGACGTCTCACAACCCTATGGTCCTTCACAGCCTGTTACAGGGATAGTTTTCTTCATACACCTTCTCTCTCCTGTCCATATCCACTAGCTGCTGGTCTCAGCAACATTCACTCAACTTCTTCATATTGTAACATGAGGGCTCAAAGCCAGAATTGTGGAACCAGAAGACGTCCACTCCTAGGGAATGGATATGTAAATGCATCTCTTTGGCAAAGGATATGCACATGCAACAGAAAAGCTGCTGGAAGTGGTGTTTTCTGCTGAGTCCACCCTGAGGCTATACAACATGATGTAATTCACAGCTGAGATTGTGAGTGGGTCTGCATGCAGTTGGTACTAGCCAGCAGCAGCCAGACATGGCTAGGAGGCAGACAATGGCCAGGGGTTGCAGCCTTGAAGAGTTGTTGTGAGACAGATGCCAGCCAGTAAGGATGCTGAACATGGAAACTGAGGAATCTATGGTAAGCCACGCCTAGTGAAGACACAGTATACTGAGAAGTCTTAGTGCATGTTGTATTGATTTATTAAGTGTGTCGATTCATGAAACTGTTATAAGCTAATTGTAGTTAAAAGTTTCAAAGGTCCAATAAATCCAATTACCAGTCCGAACCCCACCTATCATTATAATTAATACAGAATGACTACATTAAATTTACTACACATAATCTAAAATTTCACACTAATGCCAAGTTCATAATTGTTAACATACATAAACTGGTAATGTCAGATTATGCCACACCCAAACTGCACCACTGACTAGAAAGTCTGTTCCAGTCTCTGTAAGAGGGCACTGTCATAAGGGAAAATGAAGCCCTGACTATAGTAACAAGGGGGTTTTCTCTGAATTGACTAATTCTAATAGAATTCTAAACTGTAACAGTATATGGGCTTACATGAAATGGTGTAATGTGGAGGAACATTCGGGAATAAAAATAACATTAATCCAACTATTAACAGTAGTGTGTGTTTCTGTGTCTTGTCATTTTGTCCAGCCTCATCCAGTGTCACTGAGCACCACATATACATTTCCTGGCACAAAGAACACCTCTACCGACTCAACAAAGCAGATGTTGGAATTGTGGTCACCAATTAAGGACAAAGAGGAGTGATAGATAACAATTATTACATAGTAGCAAAAAGAGGACTTACAAAAATAATGCCAAAATGCGTTTCAAAAGATGGATAACAAGAAACCATGGCAGATATGAAGGCATAGTAACACAAACATATTTCACATAGCTGAATTCAATTCTATGAACCATGATGATGTAACAATTTAATTAAGTAATTTCATGTTATATAACAGCATCATGGGCAGAATGTATTTTAAACAAATCTGTTGATGATTCAATATGATTATTAAACTCTTCCTTATGGTGATCATAAGTATTTCATTTCAGCAAAGCAGTTCACCCTTGTCACAAACAAGTATACTTAATCCAAACTTTATACTGGATTTGATTTACTTGATACTTCTCTGAATTGCATTATTGTCAAGACTGGATTTATTGAATTCTCACAACTCATAACTACAAGTAAGGATTATGCTCTCCCTGTTCTACACTTCACAAATCACTACAGGACACACTAGGTCTTCTCAGTCTGTTAGTCTTTGCCAGCTAATGCTTGGTAGCGGCTTCCAACGGCTGACATGCCCCTTCCTCTGTGTTCCTGAACTGTCCCTGGCCTTAAGATACCAGCTCCTTAAAGCAACAGCTCACAATAACCAAAACCCAGCAGTTATGTTACTAATTAACTCTTAACTTGTCCTGCTTATAACATCTCAGCACAGATTTCACAGAAAACACAGTTCTTCCATTGCTCTTTACAGCCTGCTGCCCAGTAACGACCACTGCATAGTTGCATATTTCACAGTTGTTTCCTAGCAATGGGTCTACATGCCACAATATTTCGGCAGTTAATAAAACATTTGTACATACTATATGTTTCCATCAATCTCTTCCTTGTGCCATGTTCCCATGAAATATGCGCAATTTTTCTCAATGAAGGAAATAAATTTGGAAGTCTCTTCTGGCCAACATACAAAAGTGAAATAACTGCTGAAAATAATTCAAAATGGTGCAGCTACTAATGTATAAGTGGTAAAGCCAATTCTTGGGCCACAAACCAGGTACAGAATATACTTTACAGAATTGTACAAAGGAATATGCAGGAATCACACTTTTTTCTCAAAAAAAAAAACAAAGACCATGATCCACATGTTTCACACCAATTCAGTTTCATAAAAAATTAATTCAGTGATATATGACAATGGACAATCACAATAATTTGTTAATATAATTACTTTCATACCTTTTTGGCGGGTGTCCTGCGGCCTTGATTCTCACTGGCCCGTTTATTGGATGACTCATTTCCATTGAGCGCTGTTACAACTGGGGCGTTATTTAGGTTTTCTTCACTTTCTGCATTATTGTTAAGACCAAGTAATGAGCGAACACGATTTGAACGTACATCTATTATTGTATCAGTATAACCAATTTCTTGAAGATACCTGAAAAATGTTCATAAATCTAAAAATATAAGGACAATATTTCTTAATAGATCATTCCTTAAATGATTAATAACAGAACATTTACTGAAAATGAGACCATAGGAATACCAAATCCAATGTACCTTAAAATACAACACATCAACCTACTCTCTGAATATTTTCTATTACTCATAACTCTATTAGTCTCTTGAATTTGTATAACACTGTGTATCTCTACATGAGGAAATTCAGATGAACTTGGAAAAATTTCGAAGGTTTTTGATTTGTGAAAACTTCTGGATGTTAGGTGCACACTGCCCACAAGCAAAACCCTTGACATGAAAATCAGCTTCCTTCATCCTCAAGGTCCTTCACCATTCAGTTATTTCGTTAATTCATCGATCAGGAGGGTTAAGAGGATTGTAAAAGTATGCAACTGTAAGCTGACTGATGCTGAAAACATACCAACAACAGAAATTCCAGAGAACTGCTTAAAGAAGACAACAAACAGCTTCAGGGTACACTGACATACACACAGTTAAATTTAACTCTTAAAACTTCATTCATCAATTTTTCAGACAATATTTACAGCAAGACTGCCTTCATCTTCACTGTATATATAATACATGATTTTATACAACCTCAACCCATGACAGTCCCAACATGAAACTGGGTTATATTTAATAGCAAAACAGCGTGCATAAAATAAGAGTTAGAAATTCAGGGACCAAATTTTGAAAAATGCAAGATCAAAGGTCAAATCAGAAGACCTTAAAACAATCTACCCTGAATATAGCGCATAATACCTCTATACAAAGTTTAAAGTTTAAAACAAATTAATGTCCCTTCATATCTCAATTACGATCATAGTTACAGTTATTACAGTACATCCAATCTTGCCATGGAATGCCATTCTATCAGAACTTCACATATCAATAAACTGATGACTGTTACAGCTACAGATCCAAGAACTGTCACAGCAACTGAGCTCTAAAAAAGGTTGTATTTTACCAAATTTCATTAAAATCTAGGAAGCTAATTTGAATTTTTTACTTTTCTGCAATTTGTTTTGGAATTACCCCAAATCAAAATTTGATCCAATGGCAACAAACTACAGTATCCTGTATTTACCAGGGACCAGAGAAGGATTCTGCATCCAAGGAATGTTGCTGTCTTCAAGAGCAAAAACATTTGAAATACAGAATATTATCACCCTGTGATCCAAAGATGGGGAGGTTGCTTGTCAGCTGAACAGCAGAGGATTACCAGATGATGGAGACTTTAAAGTGCTCAGCAGCAATCTTTGATACACACAACAAGCACTTTCTCTTTTAGTTTTCATAGCTTACAATGCCACTCCTATAACATAATGTTTCAGACTCTTTTTTTTTTATTTTAGTACCCTTTTACCGTTTTTAAAAATGAGACCCATGTGTCACATCCTAAAGAGGCAGGTCAGTGAATATTCATGGTACCCAATCAGTTCAAGCAAGAAGCAGAGACTTGTGGCCCTGGTTACAGTGTTGCCAAGTCACAAGTACACACCATTTATTTTTAGCATAATGATGCATAAAAGTCAAGTTCAAGCAAAACTTGCAACACTGCAACCTTGTAGCTCTGTCTTTCTTAGTACAACCAACCCTCTCATCTCCATCTACAATCTGATTCATATTATAGTAGTTGATAATAATACTTGACGTAAACAAAATTCCTCTTGTAATGACCACATGCAACTGGACAACATGAAAAATTATTCTTTCATTGCTCCTGGGTTTGAACCACAACTTAAAGAATTTACCAATACTTTTATTTAAATAGAAAATTAGTTTTTTTACATTATCACCCATATCAAAATCTAGCATAAGTAAAACCAATGGAACCTAAGATCACCCTCAGGATTTTTTGGAACGCAGCCTGGGATTACTGTTCTAATGGCTTTCATACTGGATTCAGGCGTAACAGCTAGCAATGCAATGAAACATTAATGAAGTTCATTTTCTTGTACATTTGCTAATTTAGTCTGGTTATTTCAGAATAATTCCAATTATACTGAAATTGTGATGAAACACGTTACAATATATATAGGCCTGCATGTACAAATACAATTCTGCTGAGATACATTTTACATATACATATAACACTTCTTTCAGAATAAGTATGTACCTGCATACTTCCAAACCCTGTACTGATTAACTCTTTGACTGGCGCGACGGGTATTTAAATGCCACCCCTGTCCTGGCAGATCCTTTAAGCTTTAAGTCGCTAAAATGCATGCGTTTACTTTTTTTTAAGTAACTTCAACAAAAATTGGTTTTTAAAAACGAAATTTTCAGGATCTAATAAAATGACAATATTTTATGCAAAAAAAAGTCTTTTCATACCTTTTTAGTAGTTTTTCTTTGTGATAAACATTGAAACATGAAAGTTTGTAGAGAGCCACACCACAGCTCATACACATGACACTTGTTTCTTTTCTAATCTTGTGCTTAGCACACACGCGACACTTTCTCATGGCACCATTCTTCTTCTTGTTACTGGGAGGAATATGGGCCATTTTGTGTATTTTCAGGCCACCCTCTAGACGATTTGCTGGGTCCTTCACTGGTGGTCTTTTCAAGGTCGTGGGCGGAGGCGTGACTGTACTCGAGTCTGAAGCAATAGATTCGTCATCCACTTCATTCCTTGACTCTTCTCCCTCTCCACACTGTTTGGTTCTGTCATTTTTTTTACACAGTCCATTATAAAATCTTTGAATTTGTATTTTCTCTTCTTGTATTTTTCGTCTGTTGTGTTCTTTTTGAATAGAATTAAACTATTCAATGCTGCCATTTGCAACAAGAAAAACTCGTTTCTTTGTCCACTTTACAGTTTTGCGGGAAAAAGGATAATAATGCAGCATTTGACTGGCCCTGTCAACCCCTCTCATATGTTTATTGTAGTCCCCAATTACCTCGAGTCTGCATATTTTTTCTCCTTTGCGGTTCGATTTTGCAGATTCCACGATTTTTGCTGTGTGAAGAGTGGAGAAAGTTTGATGTCTCTTTTATCTCTCCACACCTGTATGAGAACCTGCCCCTTCCTAGAAAACACAGATTTCCCCTTTTCAAATATTTTACATCATCCTTTAGTTCTTTAGGAGCTCCTCTGTCCATTCTGAAGATACCACACACATAGGTATTTCTCTGTAATAACATCTCACACAATTCTACACTATTGTAATAGTTATCCTGGTAGAGATGATACCCTTTATCTAGAAGCTGTGGCCCCAACAGATCGACAACTAATTCCTTTATAGGTCTTGATTTTCCGCAATAAATTTCAAAATTCCAAATATATTCACTTGTCGATTCACAAACAAGATAATCCTTTATACCGTACTTATCAGGTTTGTCAGGCATATATACTCGGAAGATAAGACGTCCTTTCCAAGCGATCATTCCTTCATCTATTGCAATTTCCTTGTCAGGGATATATGTGTTTCTAAATTTCCCCACTAATGAGTCTATAATTGGTCTAACTTTATACAGGCGATCTTCACGGTCAGCTGGTCATGCATCATTGTCTGCAAAATGAAGAAATTTTGAGATCTGTTGGAACCGCCACAAAGACATCTTTTGTCCATACCATGGAGTGTGAAATAGGGGCCTAGTGGACCAATATTCTTCAATTTCGGGGCGTTTGTCGATTCCTGTCATGAACACAATTCCTAAGTATGTCCACATTTCATCTGGTGTGATATATTTGTAATTGTGTTCTCAAGAGTGAGGAGCTAATTCATGTGTGTTGAAGGGCTGGTGAGCATAGTGATTTACTAAGTCGTCATTCAGAAAACTTTTAATCCATGAAAATGGGTGCACTTTATGTGTTATATCAATTTTGATCCCAGAACTACAAGTAAATGGAACTATTGTTGGTACAATGTCTCCGTACATCCATGAGATGGGCATGTCAGGCACCACACTCATGGTGGCTAAATGTTCATGATTACTGTCTTGTGGATCATTATCTGTCACTGTATTATTGTCACTATAAACTTCATCTAATTCAGGAATCATTATTTCTTCGCCACTTTCATCATCAGCACAAATCTCTTTCACAACACTTTCCAGCTGGTCTGTAGGAACACTCCGACACTTGCTGCGAGAAGCCATGGTGAAAGTGAATGAATGTGAAATTTTTCTGACCTTTCTGACCGTAATATAGACCACACAAAGTCAACAAGGGTTCTTTACAACCATGCACAAAAACTATCATAAATATGTCTTTGTTTGATGAGTGCCAAGACAGCAAAGAAGGGAAGAGTGTATCAAAGCACTAAAACACGCCAACGCCAGGAAATGGCTGGCATCGTCTGGTTACTTCTGATGTCTTCCTATGCATGCCTGGTATATTTGACCAATTTTATCTCAGATGTTATGATCCTGAAAGTATCTATTATGCTCACTGTACAGATTCTTAATGTACAGGTGATTTAAGAGACCAAACATGTTCCAGATTCTTATTCTTGTACTAACGTTTTATGATTTCCATGCCTTCTCTCCTTTTTAAAATACAGAACATCAATGAAAACTGAAGACCCTGACTAGCTATTTCTCTTATTATTAATCATAATTTTGCCTTAACTTTGTCCTCTGAATATGTTGTTTCTCATTTATCTGCTGAAATTATCAATACACGCTTCAAAATAAAAATATTAAATCAATTTCACATTGGAACATAACATATTCATGTAATATTAACTTACTGCCTGAGAAGCTGTCTTCCTTGCCGCCAGCTTACATTACTAACAGAAGTGAAAGGTGCTTCTCCATCTACTGGAGCTTCCGGTCCCCCCGGCTCATCAAAAATTGGTGGTTTCATGTCACCTTGCTGTAACTCGGTTCCATATTTTAGCTTGTGGTATTTTGCTCTAAAATGTGAAAACACGTCTATTGAACATCATTCTAATTCAACTAACAATTTTTTCTTTCTCCTAACTCATAATGTATTTTATGTTACAGACTTATAGAATTTCTTTAACACAAATTTTAAAGAACTCCCCCATTCGATCCAAAATGTCTTAACCCACATACCAACTGCCAAGAAATACAATTAATATTCCAGCATGCCTATAGACATGCACATACAGAATTAATGTCTCTAGACCTATAAGTTTTAATGGATACGCATTTACTTATACGCACTGTCAGCATCTAGACTACACAGCATCAAATAGTATGACAAATGATAAACTGGAAAGAATATGCAATGAAGTGGTCATGATCTATCAGAATAATTTCCTGGCATTTGTCCGGACAGACTGAGGGGGGGGGGAACCCTCAGCCAGAATTTCTAATATCCTTCACCAAAATTCAAACCAAAGACCTAATGAATACAAGCGTGGAGCATTATGGTAATACCAACAGATTTCTTAGCCTTTACAAATGGCAGCTGGTCAATAAGAAAAACTCCACTGATTTTACATCACCACTTTTCTTATATTATGTGGAATGTACAGGGCAGGTAGCACAACATAGAGGCTCTCCTACCTTAAAACCAACACAGTGCCATGTTCTCCAAAATGAGACTCTAGTGAGCAAGTTATAGTAGTACAATCATTACATCTCGGGTTTGATGAAATACCACTACATAATATAGGTTGAACTAAACTTTATTTATAAAGTTCTGAGGCTCTGGTGACTGACTTATGGCAATACAAACACTGAATATGGTCTGGAGGCAATTCTTCTATCTAGTATGCATTAAGATTAAAGTTTAATTACATTACTAAGTTTTGGTGTATGTTGCATTGGCAATGTGAATAACCACTATGATTGGACTGACTTTACAGACATTCACAGACACACTTCTGAAATGCTTATCACAAGGAACAGAAATTATTCCAAATTAATCTGTCCTATCTATCTTATGAATACAAAGTGTTGTACTTTGACTGGATATTGACTAATAACTTCAGGCTTTGCTACTCATTTTAAAAAAGCTATCAAAGCTTGTGTTTTTTTTTTTTAGCACGACAGGAAAAATGCCAATGAAAAGTACACGTAGCAGAGATTGAACATGCATACAAGAAAGAGTCACTGGTCGACAAACTGACAATCATTTAAATTGGAAATCAATGCAGATTTCAATCTATTTAAGTCAAGCAAAATATATTCTGCAACAAGGTCCCTTTTCTTTCTAGGCTGTCATCTGACAGTAGTAAAATATTTCTCTTGCAAAAGAATGTTATCTGAATCATGGCTGGTGCTCAGAAAACATGATCATGCACTTATTCAAGAAATTCCACATACTACCTACAGACAACCATACATGGGTGAGTATGAACTGACTCTAAACATTTATAACTGAGAACATAGGAATGCTTCAAACTCAGCAGTCCATACTGAAAATAAGACATGAACTTGAACTTAACAGACTAACTGCTAACATCAGGTTATCATAAAAGAAACTATGCAGGGATAAAAATGCCCCCCCCCCTAAAAATTAAATGCTTGTCCAGAAATAAAGACAGCATTACAAGAATTCCTGACTCAGTTTCAACCCTACGGATGAATTTATATTATTACAGAATGATTACAACGCTGTAATCATGAGATTAATTAGTACAGTAATTATTTATGTGTACATACATAAGATGCTTAATGTATTATTTTCCATGTAAAAAGTGTTCTATGTAGAGCTCTCATGTAGTGTGTAATTATGTATAGGGACAATTATCCTTTTTATGCATAGAACTTCTCTAATAACCTTTATCATTCCAAAGCATCTCACCTTGATGTTTTATAAGTATGCTTATGATGCTCATTTTAACCTGTGACTGCATGCCATAACAATACCATCACTAAGCTAAAGTTGTCTCTGTGCTTAACTAATTAAGCACTAAGCTACAAAGATGTATGGGGGAGCAGATGTATAGATCCATATATTCTTGACCCTGGCTCTAGTTTCAGGTGAGTGGTCAGCTTCATATCCCAGCTGCTCTACCCCAGAGCTTATCTGGATGATGTGGAGGGAAGAAAAATCTTGCACCTACCAGGACTCAAACTCTAACCCCTTGGCACTATCCCAGCTCTCTTATACGTGTTTGCAACATACTAAACTTACAGACCTACTCTTATTTTACACATGGGTGGCTCACAGCTCACATGCCATAATCACATCACACTCATCCAAATATAAAAATTTTTGAAGCCCTTGCAAATGGTATGGCACAAGGGACTGACTCACAAGACAGATGTTAGACAACTGTTTATAAATTAGGAGGCTAAGAAGAACTAATATGCTACAACTCTAAACCTGAAGCATATTTCTGTTTACAAAGAGCCCCAAAATAACCTCTGGTATGCCTACAGCTCACTCCATCTATTACTGAATTTGGGTTGTGGTTGCATTATAAAATTCAGCCTTCATACTGAGACTTTCATGCTTGTGTTTTACTTGTATTTTACTTGCAGGACTTTCATGACAAAGAAATGTTCCTCAGAGGTGTCCATTTCTTTTCTGGCAAGCCATCTGGCTTAAGAACTCAGGTCAACAAGTGCTCATTTTCTGCTGTTCTCACAGCAGTTTTCCAACTACATGAAAATGCAACAGCCAGGTACTAACACAATTTGTTGGACACCCATGATGAAGGGTCCTTCCCACAATCTGACATGACAGTACCCAATGTGTTTCTTTTTTGGCCATGATCACAGAGTTCAGACATGACTTCCAGAATCTCTGAAAAGAGTACCAGTAAACTCAGAACGATTTCACCAGCATATACTGTGATCCTCTGGGTCATGACACCGTGCTGTCTGGTAGGCAGGTACCATCACTTTGGATTAATATACTGCCCCCATCTTCACGGTAAAAGTGAGTAGGTTGGTAACATGGCAGGTTATATAGTAGCAGGGGGACAGGCAGTGAGTTATGGATGAAAGGAGCATTAGGCTCACATCCAGACTAGGGGTGACCTAATGGCCACAGTCTGGAAGCAAAGAGCCAATTATATCCTACATAGTATACTTAACTATACTTACTGAGGCTGTTTGTACTTTTCTTTAATTCTGCCATGCAAAATCCAGTATAGCACTTCAAACTGTACCATGACTATTTCCTTCTATATCCTTTCCAATAATAATTCATTAACCATCCTACCATTCAACATTTCATACTCCAAACTACTGACACCTGACTACATAAACCACAAATATAACTAAACAAACATCCAACAAAAGATGGAAATTACTACTGTACCCTACAAAGTTGGTTCAAGTCACTGAGTTTCTAATTTCTATCCAAGAGGCGATCAGTTGAAACCTCTAATAGGGCACTGACTATCTTGACCAAAGTTGTCTGCAGTGTTCCTAAGTTCCTCCAAGCAAATACTGGGATATTACCTAAAACTAGACCATGGCTACTTCCTCACACATCCCTTCCAATAAATGTTCACTAATCATTCCACCACTCAACACTTTACATTCTGAGTTACTCATAGCATCACTATATAAACCAGAAATATAAACATGCTACTACTTATCATAAGATGGAAATTTCTGTAAACATGAAAATGATATGAAACTATAACTGTTGATGACTGCAAAAAAAAAGGCATTTGTTTTTGGTAAACATGCCACAGAATGGTAAACACCTCCTCAATAAGAGGTGATGCTGTGATAAAAATATACTTCCTGAAAGTCAGTAGCAACAATCACTGGCCACCCAGAAGGAAGCATCTGCAGTATTGTGTTTCATTCATAACACAGACAAGCACACACCAACATAAAAAGAATGTGACATTCATCTGTGCAATTAATGTGTGCTTTAGGGATTATCACACTGAATGCATTTGTGATAACAGGAATTTGGCATAGGACAACAATAGGATTCACAGACACTTGCCACTTTGATCTGTTATCTTACAACAGATTTATACCCATGTCTCTTGCATGTAACAAATTACAGATACAAAATTTTGCAGTCCTGTCATCTACATTATGTTCACATTAAGATATGTATTAGTTTATACTTTTCTCCTTGACAGTTTTAGATAAACTTATACTGTTACAAAAGGGGACAATGGTTTAATTAAATGCCATCATTCAGGCCATAAGAGAGGATTTATCACTCTGCCATCATTAACAGCAAGAGCAATTTTAGTTTCACTTGTTCTTACAATGTGTTGTTAATCTTAATGTATAATAGGTATTTTGGTAGTCTATTGTCTTTTATGCACTTCCTAAGTATACTGCATTGTATGGCGCCCTGTCCCACACCCTGACCATAACAATCCATAGAATGCCCTTTATCTATTAACATTAAGGTTTCATTAAAAAGGCCATCATTACAGTATCTGAAATTAATGAAAAGGGAATATTATTGCTAATGAAATACCAAACATACGATCATCACGTCAGCTGAACAAAGCAGCTGTCATTCTCTTAAATTGTTATATTTTAAATCAAACATGAAATGGTTGACCTGCTGAACTTACCTTTCTTGCTTTAGTGCATACTCCAACATCTTTATTCGTCGAACTAAATCATTTTTTAAATTTTCTTGCCCTTTCCTTTCTCCTTGAAGAAAAGCTATCCTGGCCTAAATTGGGGACGAAAAAAAAATATGTTAGTTATATTACTACGCTCTCTACTTTATACCAGTAATAATTCAAACGATAATATTGACGCAATACCTAATAAGCGCACTGGCCTAGACTTACCACCGTATTAGGCCTAGTTTATTTGTAGAATACTGACGGGAAATTATTTACGGCCACTCATTTTACATGAAAGTACCGTCTTTCAAACATGTGGAAATACAAGGTGTTAAACGACGACTCTATGAAATAACGATACGTACATTGACAATAATTACCTGTAGCTCAGCTCTATCCACTTCCCATTGCGACCTTTCCATCTCGAACCTTGCCCACTCATGTTGAATGAAGTGCAATATACCAGGGATGGAGTATTGAGTTTTTTGGTTTCCTTCATCACTTTGCTTATTGCCTACATTAATTCCACCACTTGAAGGTCCCAGTTGTCCGTTGTGATTTTGTGATGGAGAACTATCTTCCATTGTGGGCCCACCGCACTGACTTGGTATCTTCATGACATGGCCGCCATTACAGCAACTTCGTGTGCTTTAATGAACAACTCAAGTCAAACGGACAACCGCCCTCTTTCAGAGGGTATACGTAACAAAATGCTTTATTAAAATAATTTATTTTGCGAAATCAACCAGTAATCATCAGAAGCAAATAGCACGATAAAATTTCACCTCATTTGACTTGTGTGCAATCAACATGATCAACAATCCCACTCCCTATCGAATTCACTGCTATATCGGCCATACTTTACCCAACCGTTTCGAATGTGAAAATGGCAGTTCAACCCAATTGAACATAAAAAAAAATGCACACAAAAAATATTGGTTCGTTGGGCTTCGAAGCAAACGGATTTCGGTCATCTTCGTCTTGTAACTGCTAGATTTCTTGCCTTATACAGCAAGTTCCATCAACTCTCAACCATCCAATTCTTGTCACATGGATTAAAATTAAGAAACACATTTGTTGACATAAAAGTTTTATTTGTTAAAAATATATGATCATATAAAACATTAAACTTGTTACGACAGTTTATATACACACAGATTACATTACAAAGATATTAACTCTGAAAATAAAATGCTTTCACATTTTTAATGCATCATTTGGGAAATATTCCACAAGACGATTTTAACTATCCATGCTATTTCACTTCAGTTCAGCTACCTTAGGTAACATCTTAAAATTAATTAGGGCCTTCTTTTTATTGTAACATTTTGGAACAGTTTACCCACATTTTGTAGATTGATGCATTTCCTGGGCCATAACACTACATTATTTTCATTTCTACATAGCATTCCATTCCACTTCAGATCAGTGCTCAAAATAAAAATTTGAATGGTGTTATCTTTATTTCAGGAACTGCAACAAATGAAAATGCTGGAAAATAAGGGTTATATTTAACACATTTTCTGTAACTCAATACACAAGCCAGGAGCTGATGTCTTGCATCTCAAAGGCTTTTGCCTGTTTAAACTGATCAGTGCTAAACTTTAGTTTCTTCCCCTTCTAAAACGGTATACTGATTCATGTAAAAGATATCTGTGCATTCTGGTTTTTATCCCAGTGCTTTTCTACGTCTATAAATATTGGGAGATAAAGTTGATTATTCTTGTAACAACTCAGTCCTTTGTGACTATGGCTACCCTGATGTGCTGCAGTGAAAAGTTATATGGATGATGCAACTTCAGGTCTATTATAGCCTATATCTGACTACACTGGCAGCAAAACTGACAATTCCACTGACTGTGAAAGCAGCAGCCNATTTTTTTTTTTTTGGGGGGGGGGGTACTCTTCTCTTCTACAGTAAGTGCGATTATTTCTTCTCCTCCTGTAGGATTTGAGGCTCTCACAGTGGTGGTTATCAACAGATCTATGGGATATAACCTTGTGTAGTCTGTTCAAAGTTAACTGATGTTAACACTGATTCCACAAGAACAAAACCCCGAAGAACAAACACAAGTAGAAAATGAAGGAAATGATGTTCCATTAGAGCCGAATGGCTTAGAACAATTAACAGGAAATTTTGAAGAAAGACGATATCCACTTCGGAACAGGAAAAAGAATTTCCAGTATTTATTACCTACTTAGCCATGCATAAAGATGAGGAGTCAGAACCAATCACATATGAAGAGGCACTGTCAAGCTCCAATACTTCTAAATGGAAAGCAGCTATTCAACAGGAGTTAGAAGCTTTCCAAACAAACAAAGTATGGGCAATAGTAGACAGACTGTCTAATAAGCCAATAGTGAAGTCAAAATGGGTCTTCAAAATTAAACGAGATGCTGAAGGAAATCTTGCATGTCACAGAGTACATTTAGTGGCGAAAGGTTGTAGCCAAACAAATGGAATAGACTATTGTGAAACTTTCGCTCCTGTCGTGAAACACTCATCAATGCGTTTGTTATTTGCTTTAGCTGCTAAGCATGACTGGAACACTGACCACCTTGATGTCTGCACCATGTTTTTAAATGGAGATATTGAGGAAGTTACATATATGGAGCTTCCTGAAGGATATGATACTAAGGGGGATTCTAATAAAGTTTGCAAGTTAAAAAAATCAGTTTATGGACTAAAAGTCACTACGTCATGTAATAAGAAAGCAACAGAGGTTCTGAAAAGCCTACGGTACAAGCAAACTTGTTCTGAACCATGTATACCAAACAAAAGGGTAATTCTGTAATTAATACAGCATTGTATGTTGATGACTTCTTCATATTTCATAATGACAATGTTGAAATTGAGAATTTAAAAAGAAAATTGCAACAATGTTTTAAAGTCAAAGATTTGGGACCAGTTAAGAAATGTCTAGGAACAGAAGTGAACAGAGATAGGGCAAAGAAAACTATAAAGTTAACCCAAACTCAATATTTGAACAATGTTCTTAAGAGATTTAATATTCCTAATAAGACTAAACCAGTTAGCCATCCAATACAACCAAATAGCAGATTGAAACCGTTGCCTAAACCAAATAAATCGATCGGGAATCTAGATGATGTGCCATATCAACAAGCTGTAGGTTCAATGATGTATTTAGCCACATGCGGGTGCCCTGATATATCTTTTGCTATGACTTATTCGAGCCAATTTAACGCTTGTTTCATGAGAGAGCACTGGGTTTTGTTGAAAAGAGTTCTAAAATACCTAAATACTATAAAGGATGTAAGTATTGTATATTCTCAGAATAATGATCAATTGAAAGGTTTTTCCGATGCAGACTGGGGTGGAAATTTAGATCGTAGATCCTTTAGTGGATCTGTGTTCAAACTATCAAGGAAATCACCATTCCTATTTATTGTGATAATCGTGGTGCTTTAGCTATAGCAAAAAATCCTGTCAACGACCAAACAAAACATACTGTCATAAGAGTTCATTTTGTAAGAGAGAGGGTTTAAAAAAACAGGTTATGTGCCCAGGATCATATTATTGATAAGTATAAATAGTAAGAAGTCAAAGTGTTATTTAAAAGTGATCCCTTGGACTGACACCACCAACAAGACATAGAGACAAGTTTCATCATGGCCACGTCAAAGCCCTGCATGAATATTGATAAACTCAAAGGATGGGAAAATTATAGAGAATGGTGCTTTGATATTCAAAATGTTCTAGTGATTGAAACTGTGTGGGCAGCAGTCAGTGGATATGCTGTAGAAGATACAACTCCCGCATCCCTCAAGAAACAAAAGAACGAGAAAGCCAAAGCCATCATTTGTCTGACATTGGAGCCCCAAGTTAAATCTTACGTTGTCCAGACAACTACAGCAAAGGAAGCCTGGGACACGTTGGAAAGAACATTCAAAGATCAGGGTGTCAATAGTTAGATAAGTATTTTAACTGATTTGTGCTCTTTGAAACTTGAGGACTATAAAAGTATGCAGCAATACGTTAATGCCTTCATGTCAATAAATCTTATATTAGTCTCAATGGGCAAGAATATAGAAGATTAGCTATTAGCCACTTTAATGTTAAAGGGTTTAACTAAAGAGTATTATCCCATGCATATGGCACTTGACAATTCCAACGTCACTTTGACTAGTGAGCTCATTAAATCTAAGCTAATGCAAGATACTGAATTTGGTAAAAATGCAAATTCAGATTCAGCCTTTCTGTCCAGAGATAAGTTTAAACATAAACCACCAAAATGTCAAATTTGTGGTAAGCTAGGCCATATCAACAAAAACTGTTGGTTTAAAGATAAGGATAAGGCGAACAATAATAATCATAACAATCAACAGAACCAAAAATTTAAGAGCAATCAGTTTTCTAAATCAGTTAATAGTACTGATGAAAATAAAGAAGGATCCGATCAAAGGTATAATGAAAATAAATGGAAAAATAAGACCAGTAAAAATCCATGTATGTGATATCTGCCTATCATGTTAAAATTAAGGATGATACTTGGGTAATAGACTCTAGTGCTTCACACTGCATGACCAGAAATATGACAGTTTTGCAGAATTATAAAACACATGATTCTAAGGAACACAAGATAAGTTTTGCTGACGATAACATGTTAACTAGTGCAGGTTTTGGTTATGTAAAACTTGTGAATGACAATTTTAGCCATATCTCAGATGTATTGCATGTACCAAAATTGTCTGCAAATTTGTTATCTGTGAGCTCAATTGTAAACAAGGGTATGATTGTGTTATTCACCAAAGACTGTTGCAACTTATATGATTCTGATAATTTTGAGGTAACAGGCAAAGTTCTTGCCAAGGCATATCCTGAAACTGGGATTTATTGTTTATATACCAAAGCTAACTTGACCCAATCTGCAAATATTGCAACTAAAGATAAGATTAATACCAAAGAGAATAATGACAAATGTGTAAATCTTGTACTAATATTGTAAAGAATGAACAAGTTGCAGGTACACAGCAAATTGATGAACAACTGTTGTGGCATAGGCGTTTGGGGCATTTAAATAGGGTTAGCATGCGGTTGCTTAAAAAAAGGTTTAGCTAGTGGCAGATTTTCAAGAACAAGAAGATCAGTCAAAGAAAAGTGTTCCATGCCTGGAAGGCAAGATGACAAAGAAGCCTTTCCTACAATCAAAGAACAAACGGTCAAAAAGGATACTTGAACTATTACAGTTAGATCCGGTTGGGCCATTTGAAGTACCCTCTTACGGGAATGCTAAATATTTTTTTACTATTGTGGATGATCATAGTAGAAAAATCTTCATTCGTTTAAGAAACAAAAATGTGACACATATGAAGCCTTTAAAGAATTTATGAGAATGGTTGAGACAGAAACTGGAGTGACTATAAGAGCTGTCTGTTCGATAATGGTGGTGAATTTTGTGGCAAATATTCGATGACATGTTAAAACAAAAGGGAGTTAAAAGGGAATTCTCTGTGCCATATACTCCACAACAAAATGGAACTGCCGATGAGCTAATTGCAGTATTCTGGAAAAAACTATATGTATGTTGTATGATTCTGGCTGCAACAAAAGATTCTGGGCTGAAACAGCACAAACAGCCGTATATCTTTCGAACAGATCACCTCACAAGAAACTAAAGAACCAATTGCCTGAAGAAAT